GGTCACTAGCTAACACATTTGCAAATTAGAAGAAACAGCACAAACTACATCGGCATTCGAGCAAGTGACGAATACTCCCTCGTTTCACCTCACCCCCAAAGAAAATACCCTCCAACAAATTCCGTTTATTCCTCACCCAGAAACAACCGCCCCAATTCCAAGCCATTGCTCTCCCAAATATCCTTCGCCATCCCCATCTCAAACCACTCCGCCTTACTAATACTCGCCTCAAACTCCAATTCCACTCCAAACTCCCTGGCACCCTCCTTCGCTCGCTCTAGTTGCGTCCATGGCCACCCGATCACTTTCCTCTTGTCCGATCTACTCACGTATGCTCGGCCTCTGAAAACGTCGTAGTTGAGTATGATCTTGTAACGTGCGTCTGATGAGGTCTCTTGTCGTGTTTCTGCGAATGCGATGAACCAGTCGCTGGTTTCGGCGGTGAAAGCGGGTGGGTTTTGAACGTAGCGGGGCGGGGATTGGTAGCAGTGGGATGGAAAGGGGAGGGTTAGGATTTTGAGGGAGGATGGGAGGAGGGTGGAGGGTGAGGGGGTGGGTTCCTTGGATGGCTTAGATGGACGGGTGGATGGCTTAGATGAATCGTCTAGGGTTATAAATCTCCAGGCGGGGAAGGTGAGGTGGGTTAGCCTTTTGAAGGTGGAGAGGTCCGGGAGGCCGTTGCAGATGTCGGGCAGCTCGATGGTTTGAAGTGTGTCGCGGTGCGGGTTCAGGATCCTTTCAAGGGCTGCTTTGTCGTAGCCATAAGGCGTGGAACCGCCGTGGATAGAGAGGTGAGATAGCGCGATCGGCCAGATGAATATCTTTTCGTAGAGCACGGGGAGATCGGCGTCGATGTAGAGGCGCAGAGTCGTTATTGCGCCGGTGCGTGCCCATCGCCAGGGGGTTTCGGTTCTCCTTTTGGGCGACGGCGAATCGTCTGAATCGCGATGTGTGCTACCGACCGCCTGCGTCCATTCATCGTCCATGTAGTGGAATATCAACGTCTTCAAGTAGGGCAGTTTGAGGGCCGCGATGGGGATTCTGGGACTGTCGAAGCGGGCTTCTAGTGTTCGGAGATTGAGTAGTTTGGGGAGGACCTGATAGAGGGAACCTTTGTCGATACACACGTTTGTTCGAATACTTTGGATCCCTAGGCAAAGTTTTAGAACCTCGACAAACTTTTCGATTGCTTTCTTATCTTGTGCTAGGTATTGCAAATCTGTCCTAGGTTTCATCTTCCTCTGGCCAATTTCTCCTTCGTTGCCAAGATAAAACTCTACGGTTTGCGGATACCATTTGATTCCTGGCCTTAATTTCGTAGCCAAGAGGAATAATCGCACGTTTTGAGATCCTCCGGTCTGTTTGTGTTGCATGAATTTGAGGTGCCGGTAGAGAAGTGGCTCGTAGACATGTCGCCAATGTGGACATACGTGTGATGGATTTGTGGCATTGCTTGATACTGGGTAGAAATCATGAGGGTTGTAGGAGAAAATGTTCAGGAGGATCTCGGTTGGGAGGAGGTTTATGTAGTTTGGTGTTGGTATTGGTGTTGGTGTTGTTGGGAGGTCTGGATCAGCCGAAGGGGGAAGGAAGAAAGGCGAATCAGGCGATTCGGGAGGTACGCTGTCTTTTTTGGTGTGGGCTTGTTTCGGTCGAGGGATTTTTGAAGGGGGAGTAATTGACTGATATTGCGTAGAGGGAGTCGGAGAGGTAGCATTGGGTTGGTTGTTGAGGAGGTAGGTGGTTCGGGATTGTAGAGGTTGATTGTCGTTTAACGCAGGACTTGACTCTGGTTCGACCATGTTGAACGATTTAAATTCCGAAGCGCGTTTTATGTGAGGACGAGAGAAATGATTGGTGTTCCCTAAAATTCAATTGTCTTCGAATTGTTGAGTCTTGAGACATTGAATTTTGACATCTCATGAATAACTTATATCTCGTCGACCATCGGTGACCATTCGAGCAAGCTGAGCCTCATTCGCTTAATCCGAGCTGCTGCCTTTGCATGCCTAGAACAAAGTTCACAGAAATCCTCCATAAAATTAAGCGAGCCGGGGTTTTAATCCAAAAATTTGTTGGTAGTAGCACAACCAGCCACTGCATTTTTCTTCTCCTACCATTGTTCCAACAGATAACTGTCACAACACCTTATCATCTAGGCAATCGCCGTGGCATTTGGAAGGTAGCCTATTTGAACTGGAGAATTGGTAAAATTCATGCCGTCATGTTGTACTTTTGCTGGATATATGAAAATCTGATTGGGAAAGTCAAGGGTGGCTTGTTGGTTCAAACGGAGCGCAAATTGAAGGAGAAAGAAGTGGCGGGACTTTTAGGACTAAACGTTCCGGAATCATTCCGAGAATTGTGGATTGGTAAGATATTACAACTCTTGACGATGTCTCGAGATACTGTGCTGTGCTGCCAGTGCTGCCAGGTGGGTCGTTGATGTGAAAAATGGAGAAGTCCTGCTACGCTAGCTAGATAAAGATTAGCTTCTCGACATAACGAACAGCAAAATCGCTTTGTCATTATTGAGGAACCTCGATAATGAGAATAGAAATCAGCTCTTCGACGGAAAAAATGGAGAAGCTAGGTTTGGATAAAAGAAACATGTCTAACCTATAACTGTGTATAAGCAATGGATTGCCAATCGGGTTCAACTACTCACTCCCACCCTTTCCTCAGCAACTGATATACTTTGAAGTATTTGCAATGTAGTGAAGGCTTCTGGTCTTCTAGTACATAGCTCGGCTCTAAACGTTTAAAATGAATCCTGACATAACTTGGAGAGTGTTGGCGCTGGTTACTTATAGATTATTGGCACACGACGAAATAATGACCAAATTCTGCAAAGCAAAGGTTAGACCTCAATAGAAATTTCTCATCAAGACATTTGTACTTTTGAAAACAATTTCTCGAGAGTTCGGTTTTGAAAACCTCCCTATCGGAAGACTCGTCAACAGTGTAACCACGCAGGATAGTATCCCATGAGATTTCCCACCATTCCACCTTTCCCATCCAACAACGACAATCCCTGACTCTTCCTTTGAAACCCTAGATATGAACTAAACTCTAACTATTACTAGATTTCGGGTGTGCTCTATGTTTAATCTAGACGCGTTGTCGTCTCAGAGACTTCTGTCGGGGGCTTCCTCTGACCTTGAACTTTTAGTAGCTACGCGGTGTCAGGCTGATCAAGTCTCGCTCCGTGACTGGGAACGATTAATCTCAGGTTCTTTGCGTTATCATCGTCTCTTGATCATGCATCTGATCCCGCAGAACAGTTCCATTATCCTCCCTCTTTCTCCCGAGAAGAATTCTCGTCCGGTAGTCTCATTTTAAAGCCGTTTGACACGTCAGAGAAACCCAGCAGCATCTCGTATGTTACGTGCGTGTTCTTGAACGAAGCCAGTTTCTGGGCACTCGAAACAATATTGTGAATTTCTCGGCCGTTCACTCTAATATCGGCTAGTTTATCCACATATCCAAGTAGCTCATCGTTTGCAACATCGTTTTGCACCATTTCTACCAAGTGCTTTTTCCACATACTGGTTCGTTGCTCGGGCCCGAGCGGCTGGAAGTGAGTCGCAAAGTTTATCCTAGATTGGATTACGTACTTATTAATTATACTAGCCCGAATAATCAGGATAAGAATACCCTTGAACTCTTCCATGAATTCCACGACCATTGCCATGGCATGTGGTTCTCTGGTGGCGGAATCTGCGTTTTCGAAAAGAACAACGCAATCCCACGCCGTGCTCAACATTGCGATCTCTCTCAGGTGATTTTGCATTTCACCACCAGTTCCAAACCTCGCGAGGAGGTCGACTCGGTAGAGCGGCTTTTGGATGAGTTCCGCAATGCTTTCGGCAGCGAAAGTCTTTCCGGTACCATGCCCTCCGTGGAATAATAAATTCACCCCATGTTGCGTTCTAGCCGCTATTTTCAAATTATGGCTCTGCCTGTTAGCGATCGTACTTGATACCATGGCTTGCAAGACCTCTTTTGTTTCATCGGCAATGATTAAATCGTCAAACGGACGATGGTGCCAGATGACAGGTTTGATGTTGGAAACAGACAACACCAGCCACTTATGCGCTTGCATATCAAATCCATGGATAGTGGATGGCAGGAGAAGCTCAAAATCTTCTTCAGGGGAACAATCCCGAGCCATTAGTTCGTCTCCAAGCTCGTTCGATAGCCGGTCATTATTTCGTACAACGTTGGAGGAGGGGAACATTCTTTTGTACATTGCAATGTCTATCATGAACCTTCCTTTCTCCTGCAATTGTAAATAAGTGAACTGTTGAAATTAAGTGTAGATAGTGCTTACTATGCGCTCAGAAGCTGAGATAGACCCGGTATAAAATATGTATCGACCATACCGGCAGCTCCAGAACATTTGACCTCTGCGTTCAAGTGCTCTTTTTTCATTCGCTGTGGCATATTTGAGTGGGAACACTGGTAGATCGCATATATTGATTTCTGCATCCTTGTCACCAGGAAACTGTGAGCGAGAAATACTGAGAGTCGATCCTGTAGAGTAAAATTTCCCATCAAATTCCCACGACTTAACTGCCAGCTCGATAGCTTTTGCTTCCTGTGTTTTGGCAATAATCGGCCAGGTCCTTTGCTGGTAAGCTCTGTTGTGCTCTATATTTTCGTTTGTGTTTGGAACGAGGATGATACTACCAGGAAACTAGACGTACATGTTAGTTCTACAATAGAACCCGTACATTGTACACAGGATAATGGATATTTCAGGTTGGAATATAATCGAATATTGACTTACAAAAATGTAAAGTAAGTATCTCCACGAGATGGCCTTTCGAGCAAGAAGAACATCCACTTTGGCATACTCGGGCTCCATAAGACCGCAGATAACACCGGCAAATGCCCTGATAGATTCTTGGTATACCGAATTGACATCGTTTGTATGGAGAAAGAGCATCCTTGATTGATAAAACCACATGTATGGAGCTTGTAATTCAAGATCAACCTTGAAGTCAGGATATAGAGAAAGTTCCCCGGATGTCTTGCGTACCCCTCGAAGAGCGGCACAGAGTTCTTCTGAGAGAAGCCGTACACATTGACCAGTTGGCGGAGGTGGTATAATCCTGGATACAGGTAAAATATCGCAGCAGCGATACTCATGTAGCACCACAAATTGCAATTGGCGATTTTGTTGTCGATAGGCTTCCAAGCTTGGAATGTTCCTACGGCCGCGAAGGTGATTGATTTGCTCCTCCTGAGTAGGCTTGTCAGGGTCCAGAAATGCCCATTGATCCTCATGCTGCTGGCCAGCTAAATAGCTGGGTTTATCCAGGAAAATGAGGGCGGCAACTTCATTTGCACATCGTACCCTATGGAGGACCTGATACCTCATTTCATCACCCACAGTCCCCACAGACTCATTCTGCCCTGGAAGAACGTCCCATTCCTTGTCACTCGAGGCTGCAGATACTTCGTCCATTCTGGTCTGCTTACTTCCTTCAGCGGTCTTCCCCCCAATCAAGAACTGGTCACGAAGCTTCCATAACTGAAGACTTGCTGCATCAGACACAGCATCTATTCTTCCTAGGCGTGCTTCTTCGATATTTTCGAGTATATCAAACTCCGCTATCGACTCCACCTCTGCCTGAATCATATCTCGTTGGCGATCCCCAACGTCAAGATATCTTGTCAGACCCTCGAGATCATCGATCAAATCCTTGAGATGCTGAACCAGCTCTGTAAACTTGCTCTTATCCTCGATAGCCCACATCCCAGAATCTCGAAGTCTTGCTCCCTGCTGAATCTTTTTCGTACGATTCATCAGTTCCTGAAATTTCTGACCATAACTGGTCGCACTTAAGCGCTCCAGTTCCAACCCTGCGCCGAGGAACGGACGCGCTCTCTGCCCTCCCTGATCTTCTTTCAATCCATACTTCTTCTTGAGCTGTTTACCGTCCTTAAACAATTGAAATAATTGAGTGAGCGTTGCTTCTATGCATGGTCGCAAGCCTTCATCATCGAGCCTCGTATCGTAACCCTCGGGATCCATCATGCCACACGCGCGGCCCCATGTCGCAAGCCGCAGCTTTTGGTTACTGAACTTCGTTTCAAGAAGAACGTAGTCTTTACCCAGGTAACGTCCTTGCTGGATGAGTTTAAAGCAGTCGATGCATGTAGAGAACAAGCCGGCGAGGCCAGCCACACCGATACCTAGACCGGCGAGTTCCATAGCGTAGGACTACCGAGATTGAGATGAACGAAACCAAGATGATCGAAACTCAAGAATGTAGAATGCCAACTCAAAGAGAATTATACGTGCCATCATGACCGCAAGGCTGGGTCTGCTGCTCAACAAATGGGCTGCAGCCTGCAGCCTCATTTTCGACTGATAGGCGCAGCAACATCTCACCCATCCCAGATCAAGTAGGTCTGCGCTTTTGACAAAAAGAGATAACAGTTGGCAATCACTAGTCATATGGATTGTAAAAGGTGTATTCGTGATGAATATCTAGCAATTCTTTGTATTCACGAAGGAAATCAAGGGCGCTTTCTGAACCAATATGAATGAGTTTTCGTCACATGATACGGGCCGGTGACAGCCCGATGCGCCGAGCCACGCAATAGGACAGTCGAAGTCACATTTAGATTATAGTTCCTGCTAGGAGCTACTCTAACTACTTTCTACTTTCTTCTTTACATCGCACTTAAAAGTGGGCTTATTTATTTATATGGGAAATCAGCTAGTAAAACTAGCCAAAGTGTGTCTACAACTCTAAAAGGAAATCTGTGCTTCGCTCATCGTTTCATAGTCGATGAACTGGCATGTAGAGATTTAAGCATCTCTTTACACCTCACTCGACGGGTTTGGACTCTAACTCCTAAGGTTTGGGCACCGAACAATTGGTGTGACGAATCTGCTTAAGAAAGAACTGTAAGAGGTTAATACATGTACGCGAGTTTAATAAATGCCATCGTTCCGTAACAATCAAAAGATATTCTGGTGTAGAAAGATGGACAAATTCTCTAAAGCTTTACTCAGCGACTCCTTACGCCAGAGTATTGGTCTTTCATGCCGATAGAAGTCAGCTACTTCAGAGAAACATCACTCTGGATGTGCAGTTTCAGAGACTCCGAGTAGCGTTGCAATGTCGGTGGGGAACCTTCGTGAGACTGAAATAGGTATAGGTTGTGATGGCATTATCTTCAATGATCTCTTTTGATAGCTGAACATGATTTGTGAGAGATACTGCCAAGATCTTGTAAAAGAAATGCTCAATGTTGAAAGATGGAGTCAAGAGTATCAATCTCTTGACCAGTATTTCCCCTACCCCGTTCCAAAACCACGACTTCAAGCTGTAACAGTAACTGATAACACAGAACCGAGCCCTTAAAATAACGTTTCGAAAGAACACGAGTATTAGATAACCTATAAAGGTAAACGATACGTCCTTTTCATATGTTTTGTTGCACATCGCATTAGACGACGTGCTTCTGCTTTCTGAATCATGAAGATGCGATAAGCGAGCTTGGGCCGAGGTTCGGTGAGTCGTGCTAAGCGGTGTGAATTCAGGGGTAAAACCAAAAGCATGTGATGAGATTGTATGGTACGCTGAGGATAATAATAGAAGTGTGTATAGAAAGATTGATAAAGAGGATATTATTGGAGGATGGTGAGGCTTGTTCGGCCACGAAAAGAAGAAGTGGCAAGCAAGTGTACAAAAACGTAAAGTTACGAGCAGACCAATTCTCTGGGTCGCCACTACATATGCAGCAAACCCAAGTTCTTGGGACGGGGATAAATGGATAGATGGCAAAGCGTACTCCGTATGTTCTGGATAAATTCGTAGACCGTGTTGTTGGGAGCTGGAGAGGGGGTTAAGTGTCCTGGGTAAATTCCAATGCGGAGAGAGCAAGTCAAGAAGACGTTAGTCTGGAGCTATAACTTAAGCGTTGACGCCGTGGCGGGAAGATGCTCTAGTCTTGCTTCTTTTGTGACGTTTGATGGATTGTAAATACTGGTGGCAACTTGAGGGGACTTCTGGCCAGATCAAGCGAGGTTACTTGATTGGCTGACTGAATAGTACGAGGATTTGAGCTAAAGCAGAATTTGGATCTTGCGCGTTCGCACATCCACGCGACAAATCCATTGACGAGGATACAGCATACGCCATGACATTGCGGCGTCGAATATGGCTTTGAGGATGTGAACTTTATTCCGACGACGAAGACGACGGGGTTGCGGGAAGCGCTCGAATTGCGGTTGAGACGGACCGTTTCGTTTGCGCTGAACGAAATCTGAGATGAAGGACGGGAACTGGGTCGAGATTGATTACAGTACTTCGCCGTCGAAACATCGCGAGCGGAATGCGCGACGCGCTGGACTACGGATTTGGAAAGATATACTGGGGAATACGGCGTTGCGACGGGTTGAGAGTCTGGTGGGGAGGATCTGGATCCTTTGGGGGACAGCCAACGAGAAGGAGGGGTTCACATGTACTGTTCCCCGGATTCTGGCGATCAGAGTGGCGAGAAGCATGTTGGAGGCATGTTTTTGACACTACAGCGCTGATCGTGAAGAGGGGTGCAGTCACTACTGGCATTTTTGCAATCACTGGCATTTGAAATACTTCCTGAGAAGTTATCCTCGGTGGCTTTGCTCGTACAACACCAGGTTGCGATGCAATGCATGCTCAATCCCATATGCTGCTTCAAAACTACGGGTGGCTTGCTTGCAATGGCAGCGGCGTAGAAGGAGGGCGGGCAAAGAATCCAAGTGGATGAGAAAGCTGCCGACTTCCACCTTCCCGTGCTCTTTTGTTGTTCTTGTGTTATGGTGGTCAGCAGATGGCGAGTATTGGCCGCTCGGTATTGGTAGCCAAAACTAGTCCATCGAGTGATGGAACTGTGGCCATTTCAATGATGACTGGATTCCCATCTGAGCCGCTTGCTCCCAGAGGAACTGATATGCGAACTCGCTGATATGACTCTTTCAAAGTCACTCACGAGTCACTTTTCGTGTACACACGGGTACAAAGTACGGACGAGCACTTCTCCATCTCGTAAACTGATCACAAGCTCAAGCGAGTTTCTTCTTCAATCTTGGAGACGCGGACCGATCCTTGCGAACTGCGCGCTTACAGAGAGCCTCTTTGAGATTGATTTCCCCAATGTGGAGAGCTGGAGAAGATGTCGGGGTATGTACCAACTTCTCGGGCCAGTTTCCAGCAATACTTGCTCCCCAGCTCAGATGATTGGTATGTACGTGTCCTCCGTGGGATACTGAAGCATGGCAATTCAGTAATATTCAGCATGTTGTCTCATTTTGGAGTTGGGGTGTCAGTGAGTTTCGACACGTGCTTGTCGTAAACCAATTCCAGGTCAATTCCGATCGGTTTCGACAACTTTAGGAAAAGTCTACGAAGTGGATAACAGATTTCCCGTCTTGCGGATAGAAATCTGTCACATGAATGGTCCGTTTCATGTTGCCAATAAATCTTATTCTTTGCATACAATCCACTTTTAGCGATCCACTTCTCGCGTACCCTTTTGGGGAGGCTTCATCACGTTATTTTGGCAGCAAGAAAAGTTTTCTCAGACTGAAATGGCGTGTGTACCTCCGGTTCGTGGCATCGTGCTCACACACACATGTCACTCGGAGTGGTTGGGCCGGATTCCTATCAGTATCTCGACTGTCGACTTGCGCAGATTGGGTACGAGGATACAAGACGGCACAGAGATGCATTTGTTTCCAGATCAAGCTTAACGAGGACTATTATTCTCAAACCCTTTGGGCCGTCGTGCGATTAAAGTACATTTATGGTAATCCCGCAAAGTAGCAGTGGATAGTTCGGGAGCGAACCGATCGGTGCATGGTTTGAAAATTCCTCCTAATCTAAACTGGCGATACATTCGTGACTTTGAGATTAAGTATACCCTGAACAAAACAGGTACACATGGTCTACAAAGTACACAATGCATGCCTAGAAAGTGGCTAGACGTCTCCTCTAGAGTGCCGGTTCCCAAGTCTCGCTATTTTGAATTTAACCGTGAACGGTTTCTCCTCGCGTAGTGGCGGGTAATTCAGGCTGAATGCAAAAATGTCCTCTCGTCAGCCAAAAAGGCTTAGCTCACGATCCGTGGCGTGGAGTGGTCATCTCCACGTATCAGAAACCTGGCACAAGCAGATCTTGTTCGACCAACAACTGGCTTATGCCCGAAGGCTTCGGATGGCTTAAGCGCCTCGCGCCTCTCCATGGGGTATCGCCTTGGGGTAAATGGGGGGATGCTGGGGTATTCCCAGGATGTGTCGCCGAGGAGGCTCCCCACTCAACACGCGATTAGAACAAATTCGAACAAGTGGATATGGCCAGCTTGGGAAAAGAAGACCCAGAACCGCGGCTACACTTTGACATGAGATCTACAGAGTCTAAGGGCGGATAAATGGGTGGAGGGAGGAAGGGATGGGTACATTGCGTCTCATGGGTGTATGGACCCATAGCTTGATATAAAGCTGATCCGAATTCCTCGACTTTTTTTCGATTCTGCATCGAGGCATCAGTCCACGTTCGACAGGAAGTTGTTCATTCTCTACAGACAGCCGCCAATATGCCGTTCTACACATCATCAAAAGACACCTTCGAGGTGGGAGGACGCGAGTTTCCTCGAGTAACATGGTACAAAGAGCCAGGAATGAGGTCTCTTTACATTGCCCTCATGTTCGCCGTTCTCACATCCGCAACCAACGGTTACGATGGTTCCATGATGAACGGTCTCCAGGCACTGGATGAGTGGAAAGCTTGTGAGTTATTTGGTTTTATGTCACATTGAATAACACTGACAGTAATAGCTTTCAACAACCCCAACGCCGCCACTCGAGGTCTCCTCAACGCCATTATGTCTGTCGGTTCCATCGTCGCTCTGCCAATCACCCCATACATCGCCGATATCTTTGGCCGAAGAATTGGTGTCATCACCGGTTGTGTTATCATGATTGTCGGTGTCGTTCTTCAGTCGATCGGTATCAACATCGAAATGTTCATTGCCTCCAGATTCTTCATCGGATTCGGTGTTGCCATTGCCCACGGAGCTGCACCACTTCTCATTGCTGAGTTGACTCACCCCCAGCACAGAGCCATTTTCACCACCATCTACAACTCTACCTGGTACTTTGGTTCCATCGTCGCTGCTTGGCTCACATATGGAACCTTCAAGATCGACTCCGCCTGGTCATGGAGAATTCCATCCATGGTTCAAGCCGCACCATCCGTTATTCAATTGGTTGCTATCTGGATGGTCCCAGAATCCCCACGTTATCTGATCGCCAAGGGCAAAGATGAGCAAGCTCTTAACATTCTCGCCAAGGCACATGCCCGTGGAAACATTGAGGATGAGCTCGTCCAGATCGAATACCGTGAAATCCGTGACACCATCAAGCTCGAGCAAGAATACGAGAGCAACGGATGGGTTGAGCTCTTCAAGACCAAGGGTAACCGCCGTCGTCTCATCATTCTCGTATCTCTCGGTTTCTTCTCCCAGTGGTCTGGTAACGGACTCGTTTCCTACTACATGGACGATGTTCTCAAGGGCGCCGGTGTCTTGGATCCTCAACTCAGACTCGAAATCAACGGTATCCTCAACATCATCAACTTCGCCACCGCTCTTACCATGTGTTTCTTCATCGACAAATTCGGTCGTCGTCCATTGTTCTTGTTCGCTACCGGTGGTATGCTCATGGCTTTCGTCGCCTGGACCATCGCCGCTGCTCAATTCGTCAAGACTGCCGTCAAGGCCGCCGGAACCGCCGAGATCTTCTTCATCTTCTTGTACTACGTATTCTACAACTCTGCCTGGTCCGGACTTCTTGTCGGTTACGGTGTTGAGATTCTCCCATACAAGCTCCGTGCAAAGGTAAGCTCCCTCGCTCCTCCCCATAAATCACACATACTAATTTACTCTCCAGGGTCTCACCATCATGTTCCTCGCTGTCGATCTCGCTCTCTTCTTCAACTCCTACGTCAACCCCGTCGCTCTCGACCACCTTGGCTGGAAATACTACATCGTCTACGACTGCTGGCTCGCATTCGAGCTCGGCATCGTCTACTTCTTCTTCATCGAGACCCGTAACACCCCACTCGAGGAGATCGTCAAGTACTTTGACGGCGAGGATGCGCTGCTCGGTGGAAACCTCGCTACCCAGAAAGCCAAGGAGCTGCTCCAGGAAGACGGTATCCATGACGAGAAGATGGCTACCAGCGCTCACCACAGAGAGGTCTCGGCGACTAACTCTCACGAGGAAAGTCCACGAAATGAGAAGATCTAGAGGTGTGCATTTAGAGGGTTGTGCTAAGAGGGGTTTGTGGTCGTGTGGTGTGGTATTTTAATTGAGATAATATGATATCCCTTCGTTTGAATCGTAAATTTACATTCATCATAATTCTTTGCTTCATATCAAAATCCTCTCTCCAAAATTTCCTATCCTTCTTTCTAACCTCATTCGTGGAAACAACCCCCACGCCAACCCTGGTCCAACTAAATCTCACTGCATATGCTATGATTCCACATCGGTAATATACACGGCCGCCAAGCACCCTTCCCTATTTAATATTCCGATATTCAATATCGACCAAGCATCTCCCCTGCATCTATGTATATTATTATCGCGGTATTAATTTCACATCGCATTTTTTTGGTGAAACAATATCCATCGCGAAATTCGATATTCAATCACGGCTTACACCGAAAAAATCTTCAACGCCAATTTCGATCCTTGATACGTCGCACATGTTTATTTAGCCTACAGATTAGCCACGTCCCGAGCCGGGAATGGATTTCGATTTCGGGATGTGGATATATTAAGGGGAGCGAGATCCGGGAGGGAATTAGCTGAATGGAATTAATAGTTCCTTCGCGCTCATGGTTATGTGGATATTGGTATGGTACGAGCTACGGCTTTGGGATGCTGGAAAGAGAAGTGTGAATTAAGGAAATTACTTGTATAACTTAGAAATGCGTTCTCGACACCCCGAGGGGCTGATGGTTTAATACGAAACGGTGATTTTGTATGGCAAAACTGTGGGGATTTAGAGAGAGGTCTTTGAAAATACCTTTTGACGAGAGGCGTAGTCTCCTCAAGCTCAGAATTTATGTTTTCTACCTAAAAGAAACTCTTGTTACTAGGTATGCCTAATATATCGATGTCGTTCGAAGTCACATCTAGACAACTTAGAGCGAACACAACTTTAAGATTTGTTAATATTAACACGGTATTAAATTCACATCTTACTCATATTATTTGATGAATTACTCGATGAAGTAAATTCGATCCAAGATCTACTGCGCTTAGATGAGGAGGTACTTCCGGAAGCGAAGGAAGGGCGCTTCAGGCTATAGGGACGTCCCGAGCCGGGAGTGAATGTTGGGAGATGTTGTTTGTCTAGCGAGATGCCATAGATTAAGGGGCGTGGCTACGGCAAGGAGATCCGAGAAGAGCCTCATAAGTAAGATGTACAGGCTGATAAACATAGGTCTATGTTCCGAATACAGTATTCTTATGAGTTTATATTATACCCTGTAAAGTACCTTTGGTTAACATAAACGTATCTAGTGACGATAGAACTTTATAATATAGATCAAAACGGTACGTAGAGAGACTTGTAGAAAATCGTGGTTATAAGCTGTAAGTACTTAATAGCTTGATATTTAGAATACTTGGATGTAAATAAGTGAGGGCTTCTTAACTGCTGATTTGTTTACAGAATCTATAGTTCTGACTAGATGGTAAGAATCCTTGGTGTCGTTTCTAATGGGGTTGGCTAGAGATGGGATGCTGTAACTCTTTATGTGGGTTGTTGAATTGCGGTTGTGGGTAGTGGTTGGGATGGGATTTTGGCGAGGAATGAAATAGTAGGGGAGATATTGAGGGGGTGCTTGTGGGATTTGGAGCCACGTTGGAAGAGGGATGAATGCGGGGTTAAAGATCTTGTACTAAAAGCAAAAGATACATTATAATTACTAGCGGTTAGTACCGTTCCTACCCCCTGAATTATACACTTTTATTGCTTATTATACTTAAAACGTCCGATGGATATCCATCGTATCCGCTAACCTCCTCATCTCCTTTCCCGTCGGGAGCTCTTCGACTCGATCGTAGAAACCCTTGGGAATCACGTATGTAGAGGGGCGTTATCGTGCCATGATTCGGGGATTGGTGGTTTCGGAGGACATGGCTGGAGTTTGTGATGAAGAATAATGAATGGTATGAAACAAAGGAGATGGGATGGATCGATGGGTTAGGGGATGGGATGTTTGTTGACTGAATGTATGGTTTTTTAGTATATTATATTGCAACTCGTAAGCAATCAACGGGTTTCTAGCTAAACTTACTTACTTCTATATCATGAGTTTGAAATTATCATGGTCTATCGCCCTACTTAGGGCTATTCCCTATATCCACCCACATTCCCTAAATCCTCATTGCGCATCTCATATCCCCTATCCTCTCTTCCGTTTCCCTCACAACCCTCCGTCCGATCCTGTACATTCTTACGCATATTTGTAAAATCACATCTAACTTCTTACAGGGTTCTAAACTCGTAAACTTGAATAGTAAGACCCATTTTCCCACCCCATTTTGATCCTCGACCTTCCCACCTATACCACACTCCCATCTCCACCTGCATCTCCCCCTTAGACCCCGCAATCTCATCCACACCTCACTTCCTCCCCAACAACCACCCCACCCCTCTAACCGAATCCTCCACAAACGCCCTACTCCCCTCCATCTCAGGGAAATTCGTCCAGAAATAATGGCCCACGCCCGGATAAACATCCAGACGCGTCTCCACACCACTTTCCTCCCTCAAGATGCGCTCATAGATCAAACCCTCATCTCTTAAGGGATCAAGTCCACAGACCTGGAAATACGCTGGTGGAAGCCCTTTGAATCCCTGCTCGGTGGAGTGGTTCAGGAAGGGCACGAAGAGAGGAGACGAGATGGGAGCGTGGAACCCGAGACGGCGGTAGATGGGGACGAGGAGGGAGAGCGGGAGGGGATAGAGGAGGGCGCGGAAGAAGAGGGTGAGGGGTGTGAAGAGGGGGCCGAGATGAGGGATGAGTTTGAGGATTGGGTCGGAGGAGGGGGTGACGAGGGGGTGGGAGAGGTATTCGTTGCGGTATTTGGAGGGGATGTGGGAGGGTGGGAGGAAGCAGGTTATTGCTGGGACGCAGAGGTACTAGGTTTTGTTAGTAAGTTTCGTTGTGGAGGAGGTGTTATCTCTAGATGGTTTTGAGCGCTCAGTTGAGTTGGTCGAGTGATGTAAATGAGTTGGGTTGGTTCAGTTGAAAAGATCGACGATTATATCAACTCACACAACTCTTTAAACCTTGAGTGTGAGATGAAACGGAGTTGGGGTGAGTCGAGAAGATCGTCGGACATCTCAACTCAAGTACTCATAAACGGTTGAGTTTAAGTTGAGATGACTTAAGAACCTTCTCTAAACCAACTCAACTCAACCCCCAAATACCCAAAAACACCCCGACTAATTCCCCTCCCCCTCCTCCAAAACTCCAAAACCCAAAAAAACCAACTCACCTGCCCACTCAACTTCCAACCCACCCCCCGATCCCTCGCCCTAACCGCCAACACAGCAGCAATATTCCCCCCCGCCGACCCTCCCCCAACCACAAACCCCTTCTCCAACTCCACCCCCAGTTCCAGCGTATGCTCCGCACACCACACAAGCGCATCCCACGCATCCTCAATCCACGTGGGGAACGGATATTCAGGCGCAAGTCTGTACTCGACATTCACGCATACGGCGCCCAAATCTCTACTAAACAGTCGACAGTTGACTTCTTCGTCGCTGAGGTCGCCCATGCCCCAGCCACCTTCGTGGAACATGACTATTAAGGGCCTCGACTCGTCCTCACCTCCTGGTTTTGTATTTACGGGAGTGTAGATGCGAATTGTGATTTCCGCCCCGTTACGTACGGGAATACGAAGATCTCTCTCGAGAACCTCGGGGATCGGACCGGGGAGATATCTCAACGGCCATTTCTCTCTCAAGATAGCGGCGCGATGGGCGCGGAGGTCTTGATATGAGAGACTGGAGAGATTGGGGGGGTTAGTGAAGCGAGGGTCCTTTTTGAGGGCGGAGAGGAGGGCGGGGGAGGGGATGGAGAGGGAGTTGAGGTAGGCTTTTGTTCGTGGTGGCATGGTGGGTTGTAAGTTGTGAGGATGAAAAAGGTGTAGAGGGTGAAAGTGAGTTGAGGTTATAAAGTTCGGTTATCTGAGTAGGAGGCTGGCTTACTCAGCTTATATGTCTCACCTCACCTGGGCAGTTGAGATGCAAATATTTATTTTCCCTTACAATGTTTAAAAGAAATGAAAATGTATCACGTAAATAAATGAGCTTATGTTGTTCCAGACCAAATATAAACACCTAGAAATCTTAGTTAGTAGTACTAACTTTATCCCACCTTATAATCATCACAAACTCGGTACCACACCTACCATTCCACCCTTACCTTAATAAACTCCCTCTCCCTCAAATCAATACGTATCAACATCCCACCTGAATAAAAAGGCAAACTTCACTTACCATATCTTTTTAAATTCTCTACCCCCTCCAAATACCATCTCCGATACCCTCCCTATTTTCCAGTTCCACAACCATCAGCCTCACCCAGTCATCACTGTCAGCATGTCCCTTCTTATTTTCGCATAACATAAAGAATAAGCTTTCTCGTATCGACGTTGCACACAGGTGTGACAAGATATGCATTCGGAGCTGTAAAGTAACTTGCCCATCACCTTCCCACACCGCCGGCAAAAAGTCTCTCTAAGTGCGGATGTTGGTGGAAGGGAGGCTGAACGTAGGGGAATGGAAATGTAAGGTAGGTAGATGCGTCCACATGGATCCAGTCGAAAACAATAAATCTTCAAGAAAGATTGGAAAAATAGCCGTATAGTCAATTCTCTTCATTTATTCATAAACCACAATAGCCAACGCCCCATGCAACCCATATGTACAATCAAAGCCAGCCCTAAGCTAAGCAAAAAAGTGGTATTCACACCAAAACTCCCTCACATCAATCACAAGATCTACTTTTCCCCGTTACACCGCCTTATCGTGCAACTGCCCCTCAAAGTCTCGCCTGTCCAGACGTCTGATCCATCAAACCGATAGTAGTTTGCGATACCGGGGAAATGCCATCATAGTTCTTTGGTGCGAGCTTGACGCTATATTCCAAGTCCAGCTTTGCATTTGGGTCTCCTTCTCTTGGGGTGAAATCGATGACGAGGTCGTCTTTGACGGCGTAGACGGTGTCGGTTGCGAGATATGGGTCGTCTTTGGGGAAGATTTGGGTGGTTACTGGTTTGTAGTCGTCATGGGTGATCTGTGGAATGTTAGTTGGATGCAGATCGGTGACTATGTGTGATTGCTTACCATAAGATGAATGTGAGCTGGTCGCATAGGATGACGATCCAAAAGCTTGAGGAGAACACCAGCTGGTCCATCAGTTGGCAGAGAGTAGGCGGTTGGCTTCAGCATATAAAAGTGATATTCTCCATTCGCATCTGTTCGGAACTTTCCTCGCAAGTTGTTGTCGCTCTGGTTTTCTGGGTCTTGGAAATCGTATTTTCCGTTTGCTGATGCTTGCCAGATGTCGAAAATGGCATTTGGAATACCCTTTCCAGTGACCATATCAATAACCTTTCCGTGCATCAACGCCGGCTTCCCTAATGGCGCTGGATCTTGGATGATGCTACCACCAAGCTCGCGGAATGGTGCATTTGGTGACCAGAAAGGACCGAGAATTGAGGAGGATGTAGGTGCGATAGTACCGTCGGTGACTAGCTTGTGTGCAATCTCATCGACGAGGCTGCTTCTGTTAGTGGAAATTGCAGGATAAACAGGTTGCAAGTGCTTACGATTCAAGACCGATGACATCTGAGATACGCTGACCCTCATTTCTGATGGGTGTGCTGGCTTGTCCAATAGAGTTGATGAAGTGAACACCCAACATCCATTCGTCGACGGTTAATTCGACCTCACGAGCAAAGTCGTGGATGTGCTTGATCAGACTTCCTAGGACGACGCGGTTCCGATCTGAGCATTTCGGGCCAATGGTGTTGAGAACATGCTCGGTGAACTTGGGATCGAACTTTTCTTGTTGAGCAGGCATTTTGATGTTGTTGATAGCGGAGGTTTGTTGCTGTATTTGGTCGTTCTCTTTGGTTGTTGTGCTTGGTGGGGTGGTTTGTAGATGCCTTGGTGGGGTAATTGAGATGGAGATTTGAAGATGGGAGGAATGAAATTGTGGAGGAAAGATTGATTGACTGTGAATCCTACCTGGGAGATCTTCTCCTAATATACTGACCGGGTCCAGACACGTCAAAGGCAATAGTCAGCGGCCATAACATTGCTACCCCTCCTAACGCCTTGAGCGGTCTCATGAACGGCATAGCGGCAGCTCAATCGGCTTCTAGAGCCGAGTGAGGGAAGTCTGTCGAGGATATTTTGAACGCGTTGGCGGTCCAGGGCAGTCCACATGGCAGTTGCGCGAATGATGGGTCAGATCAGCAAGGCGGTGAAAGGCTCAATTGAGTGGGAGGCCGTATAAGGGATATCTTTTCTGCCAGCTTTGCCGGGTATGACTTTACCCGCCGTCCCCCTTCTCCAGATTTCTGGCTCCCCACTACGATTCAACCGCGACTTACCGGCCAATCACCGAGTGCCCCACCTGGATTCCGTTTGTCTTGGGTACGTACCAAGACGTCCTTTCGAATTGCATCAACATTTTTGGACATTTTTCATTTTGCTTGTACGTGCTTACTCTCAAAGCCGAGACACGACTTTGACTTTTGGTTACAATCTTACTCATCAAAGCATTCCTGGTATTACATCAATTGAACTGGAGTCCGCCGAATTGCCCGTTTTTGGATATCAGTCGGGTGACTCTGGCAGCTAACCGTGCTTGCCATAATTCAGTAGCTGACTATTGCACAATCATTGCGCTGCAAAGAGCTATACGGCCGTAAAGTCCGGTGTCTTTACCGACATTGGTCAAGTATAGACTTTTGAGACTTACTCTAGGAGGATTTTGGATTTGTCTCTGGACCTTGAATGCAGAGGCTATCTCCTCTACCAAGACGCAAAATGCTTCACCATTTGATGGTTGGGACGTGGACTCCGCCTGGTGCCATATTCACATTTGAATTTGATGATGAGGCATTGACCTTGAAAATGATCAAGCGAACTTCAATTCCTGAAGATGAACCAATTTCATGGATGACCTTTAATGTGAGCAATGACTTGAGGATTGCAAGAACATAGGCTGATGGAGCGTAGCATAAGCGGAATACCATATATGGAGCAGCTATGAAGAAGTGGTCAAGTTACACTGTCAAAAGTCCAACGGAGATTATTCACAAAGCATCACATCCAATGGGTCATTCTCGTAAGTTCTTTAATGATATCACCTGACTATTAGTAACAACTTCACAGCATTAGCAGCAAGTCCAGAAACAAACACTCGAGCAATCTTCGTTCTGGCTGCACACAAGCCACCGTATCATGTATACGGAAACCCGTTCTATGATCACGCGGGTTGGGGTAATATCTTCTCAACTGATCAACACGGAGCGCTAGAAAAATGTGTTCAAAACTATGAGTATATGCCAATCACTGGAATTCATGGCATGGTATTCGATGAAAGTGAGACATATCTTTACTCTGCGGATTTACGTGGAAACAAAGTATGGACACACAAGAAAGATCCAGAAACGGGTCATCTGACGTTGGCAAATTGTGTTGAAGCTCCTGGTCCCAAAGATCATCCTCGCTGGGTTGCAATCCATCCATCAGGAAAATATCTCTATGTTCTAATGGAAGCTGGAAACCGTCTTGCAGAATATGTCATTGATGAGTCCACACACTTTCCCGTTTTCACACATAAAGCATACCCTCTCATCCCACCAGGTACTTAGCCCCTTTCCAACTCGGCTAATCCACTAACACTGACAGGAATCCCAAACGTCAATGGAAAAATGTACCGTTCAGATGTCTGCGCTCTCTCTTCAAGCGGCAAATACCTCTTCGCAACCTCAAGATCAAATGACTTCAAGGTGACTGGCTACATTGCTGCATTCGCTCTAGGTCCTTCAGGTCAAATCGAAAGACAAATCTGCTTAAATCCTACGCCAACAAGTGGAGGACATTCAAATGCCGTCAGTCCATGTCCGTGGAGTGACGAATACCTTGCTTTGACGGATGATCAGGAAGGATGGATTGAGATTTATAGATGGAAAGATGAGTTTCTGGGTAGGGTGGCTCATTGTGATGTCAAGGAGCCGGGATTTGGTATGAATGCTATTTGGTATGATTGAAACTAGATATAAGAATTGAATGATCCAATGAAACCAAATAATTTCATATTAATTCCTACAAACATGAGGGAAATATTAGACTCAAAATAAGTCGCTTCTCGATCTAAAGATATCAGGCTTGGCATCCAGGGGCAGATTCATTTCCCGCCCAAGCTTGCCGACCAGCTCCCCGCACTTCGTCTCCGTCCGGACCGTACCCCACCATGACAACCCATTTTAGGATAGTGGGGTCAATGGATGACCGACGAGCTGTTTGTACTTCGTCAAACCCTGAACAAACCACAGTGGAGAATCCGTGCATTACAGTCGGCTTTACCTTTTATAGTAACGATAAGTCAAATCCTCTACTTACTATTGGCCACAGAGCCCTTGTTTACCGTAACTTCTAGAAGACCCACTGTGGTTTATTCGGGGGTATACGAAGTATCACGGTTAAGTATTTTCCCTTTTCATTAATTCTCTAGTTTCTCATCTAAACATTGCAATTCGAATCGACCTGACGATATTGAACCTCAAACGGTATATCCATCGGCTGAGAAATCACATCATTGCCAATTCAACACCACAACACCATCATGGCACCTACACCCGGCATTCTCTACGTGACCATGCAGCCCAAACCCGGGCTGCCAGAAGAACAATTTCACGATTGGTACAACAATGAACACGGTCCTACAAGATTACGCCTAGATTTCTGCGAGAATGGCTTCAGATACCGCGCGAGTGATTTGGAGGGGGAGAAACCATCACAATCGAAACCGGAATGGATGGCTATATACGACATCACAGATATGGCCGAGTTGACAAAAGAGACGTATTTGCGACTTCGCGGGCCTCCAGTCAAGACTCAGCGAGAGGCGGATACGATGGCACAAATTCATGTTGATCGGAAGTTATATGAGTTTATAGAGAGTAGGGAATCGAAAGAATTCAAGAGGTTGGAACTTGTAGAAAATGAGGGGCGGGGAAATGTCATTGTTGCGGTGTTTTTGGATGTTAACGAGGGGATGACAGATCAATTGGATAGGTGGTATAAGGAGGAACATATCGACATGTTATCCAAAGTACCTGGATGGTTACGAACTCGACGATTCGTCACTTCCTCGATTGATCCGAAAGCTCCAAAGGAATATCTCGCACTGCATGAATATGCACCGGAGAATGGATTGGGAGGACCAGAATTCCAAGCTGTGACTTCGACGCCATGGACACAGGAGATTATGACGAAAGTGGTGAAGGATAAAAGGAGGAGGGTTTATGATTTATATTATACATTCGGCCCAGCACCGCGTCATCTCTCACCTAAACTCTCAGACTGGACATCAACAGACCCAACATCTCCCTTCCTAACTAAAATCCACTCAACAACACCCACCGACCTACCCACCGGCGCAATAGAATCCCACATCACCACCCCCGACGGCATCATCATCCCCTACATCCTCACCGGCTCCTCCTCCCCCTCCGCCCCCCTAATAGTCCTCTCCAACTCCATCCTCACAACCCCCACAATCTGGGACCCCTTCCTCACATCCTTCTTCTCCATCCCCTCCAACCAAAAATACCGCGTCCTGCGCTACTTCAAACGCGGTCGTTTCCCAGACTGCGGCACGCAACCCATAACAATCGACGTTCTCGCCGCCGACATCATCGCCCTCCTCGACGCTTTACGCGTTCCAAAGGCCGCAGCAGTCATAGGTGTATCCCTCGGGGGCTGCACAACCCTCAACCTCGCCCTCACCCACCCCGATCGACTCGAGAATTTCATATCCTGCGACACCTCCGCCGCCTCACCGCCCGGCAACGCCAAAGCCTGGGGCGAACGCATCGCCATCGCCTCATCCGAAGCCGCCATCTCCCCCTCGGGCCTCCCAATAGTAGGCCAGACCCTCGCCGAGAAAACCACACGTCGCTGGTTCGTCCCCGAGTCCTACTCTCATCCTGGCTTGGTAGGCAGATTAGAGGACGTGAAACAACAGGTCGCGACTAACTCCCTCGAGGGGTTCAAGAAGAGCGTGAATGCGCTTTTTGAGTATGATTTGAAAGCGAAGATGGAGGGGGGACGGGTGAGGGGCTGTTTTGTGGTGGGGGAGAAGGACGGGGTGTTGCCGGGGACGATGAGGGAGATGGCTGTGAGTTATGGTGGGAAAGGGGGGGCGAGATACGAGATCATTGAGGGAGCGGGACATTTGCCTATGGTTGAGAAACCTGGGGAGTTCGCTGAGGTGGTGACGAGTTTCCTACGGGGCTCGTAGACCCGTTATGTAGTATATAATAAGTCGAGAATATATTATTATACATAAAACTAGTCTCGTACTCAACAAAGGTTAAGAAACGTCCAGAACACGAAAGCTGACAGAGATCTCGCGTCATTTAAAAATATAGCATATACGGCTAAGCAAAGACTACCTTCTCACCAAGAAAACCCAACTAGGAGTCTAGAACCATGTAATTTTCTCCTCCTCTACCCCTACGTTCCCTGCCTAGTGTCGTGTAAATAGTAGTCATAGTTAGTAGTAGTTGGTATGAGTTAGTATTTATTTACTTACAGACACCTTTTCACCAAGAAACCCCAACTAGGAGTCTAGAACCATGCACTCTCCCTAACTCCCACACCCCCTAGTGTCTGTAAATACTAGCAGGTCCCAACTATTCCTTATTCCTCACTCACCTACCTACTTCCCTACTTCCCTACTCCCAACCCTCTCATCCCCTCCTAACCTCCCCTCCCAACCCCCCTCCCATTCACCCACCCATATAACAATCTATCTATCTATCCAAGATCCCCGACATACAATATAAAACCAACACAGAAATACAATTACAAACAAACAGAATTATCACATCCCATCCCATCCTATCACATCCACATTCCCCTCGTGAAAAAAAAAAAGAATTTCGTGATAACTGTATACGACTCGGACTAACCTCTTCCTCTTACTCTGATCCATCCCATACCACATTCAAACCATCTATACAACACTCAAACCCTATACACAGATATGGTAAATAGGGAAATGGTGTGTGTGGAATGATTAAGAAAAAAGAAAAAGAGGGGGAGGGGTGGGGACGGGAAATGTGTTAGGTGATAATACCTATCTGTATATGTTACACACGACCTCGGATTCACATACACACACGATCTTGAATTGACATATATATATACACGACCTCGGATTCACACACACACACACACAAACACTCACCCTCGGACTTCCACAACGAACGGTGCAGTCCGGACTCACTAGTCCAAGGAAAATCTTACTTACTCAAGAGTAGAGTACTTGACTCGTTACTTTCCCGAAATCATGAAAAGCCTATTTCATACGAAAAAGAAAGTCTTATTACGATAGACTTTGGTATTTAAAAAACACACCAACCAAACCAAAACACCAAAACTCCATTCCCCTAATCCGGTTCTGTACAAGAAAAAAACCCCCACCAAAGCCCAAAAGTATGTATATGCAAAAAAATGCCCATCGCTCGCTCGCTGATGCTTCATCGCCCCTTTCCCTTTCCAGTTCTTTCATATACAAGACCCCTCTCCTCCTCTCCTATTTACATACAATCCCCACCCCACTTTTCACACCCCAAAGATTGATCTAAAGATTGATAATGTCCATCTCACTCCAATCCGGTGGATTCCTCCCATACACCACCCGACATTTACTATCCAAACTCGCACCCACATTACTGATCCACACATTCTTGCCCGCCAACTCCCTCGTGCGTCTGATCTCATCATCCGAGACCCCCAAATCATCTCGAGGGATCCAGACCGTTGGTCTTCTGGCTCGGAGCGCGGCATGCATGAACGCGCGGCGGATAAGCACATTGCGTTCGTCGGCGTCAAGATCCTCAATCTCGTCGTGGAGATCACCGTAGAGGGCGTCTGCGATTTTCTTCTGTGCTTCGGTGTCTCTGTGGCGACGGCGACGACGGGTTTCGTGGTCCTTCTCGTTGTCGAAAGTTGCAGCGGCGAGTTTGCGGCCGGATTTCTTGGCCCAGGAGCCGGCGCCTTGGGCGACGGTTAGGGGGTTGAAGCGGGATTTGGAGGTACCGTTGAGACGAGACATTTCGATGTCGTCGGTATCCTTTGGTCCACTCTCGATGTCTTCGTCATCATCGACGTATCCGAGACGACGTGCTTGTGCTTTCTCGAAAACACGGTCGCGAATCTCTGCTTCGTCCTCAAAGGTGATTGGGAGATGGCGGAAGAGAGGACCGAATGAATCGTTCAAGAGGTATTGGTAGAGGATTGTCAAGAAGATGACAACAATCATAATGATTGCCTGTGGAGTACAAGTGACATTTCCGTCTTCGTCTCGTACCAAGAAGAACAATCCAACCATGCATACTTCCATCATATACAGTCCAGTAAAGGTCTGGTTGATAGCACGTGGATATAGTAACCCACCAGTATCAAGCTCAAACCGAGTCACATATACCATATTGTATCGATGTGCAACATAAAGTAAGCTGAAAGTGATGATGGCGAAAACGATAATGAGCGGTGCAACAACGCTGTAGATGATGGCAATGCAGGCGAAGTTGGTATAAACAGGGAAGAAGGTTCCCCACGTGATTGTTGGCAGGGTAGTGTTGCGAGTCCACTTTTGTCGAGCGGTGTTGTCGAATAGTTTCGGGAAGATGAACCACAGAATAAGAGTACCAATTTGAAGAAGAGTTCCCGAAGCAGTCGATAGAGCTTGTAGAATCATGTAAGAGAAGAAGTAGTTGGCAGCCTTTGGAAGTTGTACCGCAAGGGTTGATGGAACCGAAGTGATATTCTCAGTCGAGGCAGCCAGGAAAGAGGTGATACCTCCAGAAATGGACACAACCAGGAAAACTTGGACGAACAAAAATGCAAAATAGTATTTTTGTACAGAACCTTGCTTTTCCGAGCCTGTCTGTGCACCTTGGAAGAGGGCAAGAAAGTTCAGGATCAAAGGTACGAGAGCAAGCAAGATGGCCAAAGTCAAAGCTGGCAACACACCGGCAATACCTTGGAGGATATTGTCGGGAATCTTATTGAGCCAAGCGAGCCATGAATATTCATCAGCCAAGTTGGATAGTTGAGAAAGCGTCGCAGTCCAGGCAACGGGAAAAGCCCAAAGGATGACCATACCAGTGACAATTGCAGTGACAAGACCTGTTCTAGTCCATGCCTGCCACCATTTGATTGCCATATTTTCCCAGATGACGTCTTTTGGCGCGATTTCGACAGTTCTCGGTGCCATGTTCTTAGGCACGTGATGACTGACTGATTGACAAGCCATATGAGCAGCGGCTTGATGGTTGAATTGGATAAAGGCGGAAGTCATCAGAGGAAATCGCTCAGGCGACTTTTGATCCATCTCAATCTCCAAGTTCAATCGAGCCAGCTCAACACGGCAGTAATTGATGGTGTCAACTTTCTCGTTGATCCCAGGAATTCCAGGTAACCATGATGGCGTCCAGCTGAACTTGGCAATGGTGTACTTTGGCCGGTCTTTTTCCTTTAGATACTTTTTCCATTCCGCAGGCGTGGCATCCTCGTCATAATCTTCATTATGAGAAGGAGGATACTCGATTTCCTCCACTTTATCTCCAGAAGGAAAGAGGCCTTTGAATTTACCCCAAATTCCGACCTTCTCCTTCTCATCGCTAACACTTGGTTTTGAGCCGGTCGATGGTTTTCCATCGACTTGATTTAGAGGAAATTCATCACCATCCTCAAAGCCGGTAGGAATGGGCGAAGCGAAACCACCTCCTGGTGCTTTCCATAACTCCCACCAATGGGGCTGATTAGGGTCATCCCTCGCACCATCAGCTTCAAGTTCATAGTTGTGTCGGCGAGTTACGTTTCCTGGAAGCTTCATGCCACTGTTTACAGTGTTCAGGTTTCTCTCGCTTTGTGACGAATCGTTCGATGCTCGCTTCTTCTCGTTGTCGTCATCAGCACCATATGGACGTCCGGTATTCTGTTCTCGGAACCTTCCGTAGTGGTCATAAGCATCAGTATCGGGTAATGATCTCGCATCAATCTCTATAAAGCCGTTTGTGGTTTCGACTGTATTATCAAGATCTCTGCCAATGTTGCGAGTTCCACCGATGACAGTATCCCCTACCGCACCGAATCCTTTACCCACATTCTGACCAACAGCGCCGATGCCTTGACCAACTGCGGCTAAACCACCTCCAACAATGGGTAGCTTGAAGAGTCCTTTGCGATGATGAGGACCGGCATGCACGTGTTCGTCGGTTCTTTCATGGTCTTCCACCTCATCCAGAACATCGTCCATGGTATGCGGAACCTGATGCGGGTCTCCAGCACTTACACCACCACCACTTCTGGCAAGTCTCTGACCCTCTTCATCTTCGCGTCGTAACTTCTCTTCTCTATCTTCCTTGGTAGCCGACTTGGTTTTCGCCTTGTTAGCGTTTGCCTTTTCCTCTTTCTCCATCATCTTCTTCTGAGCCTTCTTTGCCTTTCGGATGAGTTCCGTTTGTGCGCCCTCCAAAACTTTACACATTTCATCTCGGCGATGGATTTTCTCCAGGAGAGCGCTGAAATCTCGATTGATCCAAACGTTACGAATTCCACCGGGGAAGACGTCGTAGAGACCTCTGAGAGCCTCCTCGCTCAACCACTTCTTGGGAATGGAGCTGACTAGAACGGTCGTGGCTGAAGCTCTCAATCGATGTTCGGCCGAGGTAAGGTAGTCTTGTCGGATTTTGATAAAGACTCGCAATTCGTTGAAAAACACCCCGCAGACCCAGCAGATAACAAACAATGCAAGAATAAGATGCGCCCAGTATCGATTCGTATGTGTTGGTCGAACATTTCCCCAAGCCAACTGATCCAATCCCGTTACATTTGCCTCGTTGGACCGCGAGCTGTTTCCGAATTCGAGAGCGTATGAGCCACCTCGACCGCCATTGTAGTTTAGTGGGAGGAGAATCGGGAGGACCACAACTCCGATAGGAACGAAGATAAAGAGCAGTGTTTGCAGGTATCGCAGGAAGAAGTACGCATCGAGACCGCACTTCTTGATCACTTCACGATCTCTGAATTGGAAGATGGCCACCAACCAGCCCCAAGGCGTTCGTGGGGGTGGTTCAGTTCGCTCTTTTTCGGGGACCAGATAGGTTTTCGGTTTGCTGGTAAGTAAGTTAGCAATGAATCACCTTGAGCTATTTGCGTGCTAGAAGAGGTTTGAATGATGGTAGATGATCAATGAGGGGCACCACATCGCCGCCAAGTCAGAACTGGAAAACTCACAAGATCCGCGCAATTTTATTCCTCAACAGAATAAACGCCAGCATTTGAATTCCAAAAATAACCAACGAAGTCACCAACGCCGTGACGAACGTGAGCAGACTGATGCCCTGCGAATTCTGCGCGGTACCAGCGCCTCCAGGGACCGAGCTGTTGGCCCCGGCCGACGAGGAGGTCGCCGTCGCTGCGCCTGTGGTCGTCGACGACATGATAACGATAAAGATGCTCGAACCAAAGAATGTCTATATGCGATGCGATCTAAAGGTAACGAAAGGAAAGGAAAGGAAAGCAGAAACCCTCATGTGCGTGCTAGTGGTGTATCCGACATGAAGCAAGGAAAGTGCGTTCGGTCGTGAACGGGGCAAGATCTTGGTTCTGATCTGATTGTGGCTTTCCCGGTTTGCAATGCACGAGGCAGGTGGTGTTGTGTTTTTGTTGCGGTGATGTGGATGGAAATACTTGCACGGGTGGGCAGCTGGAAATGAATCACGATTTCTTGGTTTGGGGATGGACAATCTGCAAGCCCAATCCGGTCGGGATGCGATGCAGGGAAACGAGTACGAATGGATCGTGAAAAAGCGCAGGACTAGCCTGTATGGAAAAATACGCTGTGTGTGAATGAAAAATAACCGTGATTCGTCGATTCTCCTGAATTGCCCCTGGTTGCCCGTTTCGTTTCAATCGCAAAATCAAGAGTTCGTTTGGTCTCCGACGTGCGCCTCCAAGTATCTTTCGTCGCTTCTTTGTGGTTTTGCCAGGTTCAGAGAGGAAATGCAGATGTGGTGGAGACATGGATAAGGGGTGCGCCAAGCATGACATCAACGCACAGGATTGGCCGGGTAAAGCGGAGCTCATTGGCTCGGCTCCCCACTCTGTTTCGCAAATCGCTGGTCGGCTTGCCACATGGCGCGTCCGCGTCTATGGGACAAGCTTAAACGGATTTTGGGGACGGTGATTGGTGCGACGTGTTTATGTTTCTTTGTTTCCAAACAAACGGAATAAACGCCAGAGAAACGAGTTGTCTAAAATTATCTTCATCATGGTTGGAGTTGCTTTGTTCTATTTCTGTAGAAAGCTTCCATATCAGCCTCATTCGTGCCACCACATATCGTGATTCACATCCCTTTGTTCGTGGCAATCGAAATAGACTCCCTTTATCTCTGCCATCTGACTCTTCCGATTTCGGCATAGGAACTAAAGCGTCTATTGTGATTTTGTACAAAAATCTTAATTTCAAAGACGACCGGAGTCACCACCGTTTAGGAAAGATACGAATACTTTAATTGTTGGGTAGTCATATTTGTACGAAATCCCCAGCTTGTTATACTCACCACAAAGGATGGCTGATTTGGTGCTTGCTAGCTACATTCAACTTATCACTATAAAAGTAGCTAATCACAGTTTACTTGACTCACTCAGAATTTTTCATTTCTAACTCAATCGCAAGTTAAGTTAATTCTCAAAAGCACATCGAGTTGACGTGAGTTTGTAGACTTTACATCATCCAAGTCAACTTCGCTAAACTCGATTATTCTCCAGCTTAACCCAACCCCACTCAAGCCATTCAACAAGTCAACACTAATAACAAGCACTAAAGGCAATTATAATTATCCTCCCCTCATCCCCCTCCTATCTCTTTCCCTTCCCCTTCCCCTCCGCTATCTCCTCCTCCAACTTCCTAATCTTCTCCCCCAGCCGCTCCCTCACTCCATTAAACGCCTCACAAATATCCACGGCATCCTCCTCATTAGCCAAACACGTCTTAGACAATACGTCAAATAGCTCTGTAAAAGTCTTTAAATCGCTTTTGAGTTTTGCGATCTCTTCTTTTGTTGTTACAGTAGGTGGCATTTTTCAGCGTTCAGTGACAATGTGTGTAGGAAGTAGGGGGTTGAAGGAGCGAATAGGAGATAGTAGGGTAGAAGAGTAGAATTTATAGGATAATGAAAAGGGAATTTAGTGATATAGTCACTAGTATTTTCAGATTCTTTTAGTCAGGATATCTACATACTGACACGTGTAGAAAATTACTCAAAACTAATTGTTCTTATCATTACAGTATTAATGAGCAAGAAACAAAAACTCTTCTCAAACCCTCGCATCTCATAATTACAGCGTTAGCAAGTCAAAACCAGAATGATTTTACCAAACCACTTAGTCATATTATAAGTGACTACTACCTAAAATTCACAATCACCCTTCTAACCGACTCGCTAATCTGACTATCACTTTTTCCCACCTTTTACTTCTTTCTCTCATTCCCTCTTACATTCCACAGCATCGAGGTCCTCACTTTATAGTCCAATTGCTTACTATCTCCCCCTATACCCCTCCAACTCCCCCAACCGTTCATTCAACTCCCGACTCTTCTCAGCCAGTCGCTCTAACGTCAACCTATCAACTTCCGCTAAAGCATTCGCGCTTAATTGAGTAAGCTCCTCCGTACAAAGGGTGATGTATTTTTGAAGATCTTGCAGTTTTTCGGGGGAAGTGGGAGCGGCAAATAGGTCGGGTAGGGGTGGGAGGGGTGGTGAATAGGGAGTGGTGTTTTGGGTGTTTTGAAAGGGTGAGGGGGAGGAGGGGTATGGGGATGTATTTTGGCTTTTTTGAGGTGGTAATTTTGGGGGAGAGGGTGAGGTGAGGTTTGAGCTGGGGGACATAATTGGGTAAGTAGCTGTGTTCTTGAGATATGTTGGAATTTTAGAACTCTTTACCGCGATTTCCGACGTCTTAAGAGCAAGTGAAGGTAGTTAGACAAGGAGACGGAAGTAGAGGAGTGTTTATAGGTCATCGAAACCTGGCCTTCTTGTTTGTTAGTGGTTTTACAATTACTCATCAGTACAATGACATGAGAAGATGGGATTTATCAAAAAAGCATTCCATTATCACTTACGAGTAACATCTAATTTTACATGCAAACCTGTCCATTACTAATACCATCATCTTCCTATATTCTTTAGCTCTTTAGTTTTCCTCTACGACATTCGCAAACTCCACAAGTAATTGTCCACACAGAACACTTTTGCACCTCCTTATCGCTACTCTTAAGCTCCAACTGGTCCCTTCATCTCCTCCAGCTGTCTCCTTAAAAAATCCATCGGATCATCAACCACCCCGGCCCCAAACGAAGACTCCTCCCTATGCGCGTCTCCAACGTCCTCCCTCTTTCTCTTGACTCTTCATTCTGCGCCATCCTTTCATACGCGATTCTCGCCAGCTCCTTCGTACAAGCATGGATATAGTGTTCCAGAGCTGTTAGTTTTGCTGGGGTGGTGGGTGCATTGATAAGTGCGGTTAGTTGAGGATAGGGATTTGAAGGTGTGGGAGTCAAGGATCCTCCGGACGATGACATGTTTGAGTGTGTGGCGTAGTTGATGGGAGGAAAATGTTTGGGAATGAGGTATGAAGGAGTGATTGGATTGCTAGGGATAGGGAAACATGGTGGTGTTTATATGGTAATCAGAGAGGGAGATGGTGTTTGTAGATGCTGGCACTCTTTTCTCCGTAACGACTGTTGTTAAGTGACATAAAGTTCGTCAAATATGACATGATTTGAATTTAACAACACCATTATTATGAGCAAGCCCCTTTGTTATCACTATTTCTCTCTCCAAGCAACATCCACTCAATCTAAAATCCTCCTAACACCATCCTTCTCTCCCTCTCCCCAATTCCCTCCCAGGAAAAGTACACTCCGCTAGTATCGCTTCCAACGCCCTCACTTGTTGCTTCAAATGACGGATCTCTTCTTGCGCAGATGCAAAATTTCGAACCAGTTCTTTGGCACGATCTACGAAGGCATCATGGGTTGCCTTTATCTTGTCTATAATCCTGTGTAATTCGGCCGCTTTAGTTGCGGCCGAGCCAGATAAGTTGGCGGTTGAAGACATTTTGGAATTGGAGGATTTGGCTGTTGTGGTGGTCGAGCAACCTCAATCTATGATTGCACTATTCTTTTCCCCTTATTTCACTTCTTTGATCCTTTTACCTAAAATTAATCTCTTTTTTCAAGCCTTCTCAATGTCCTTTCATACGCATTATTTTCTTTACACCTCCCCCTTTGACTCCCCTAATTCATCTAATCTCTTAATCTGTAGCCCCTTTCCTACCCCCCTTCTAATTTTCTATCCCATTTTCCTGTTCCAACCGAGTATTGTAGTTGATGTGTTAAAGAAAGAGTGGTGAGAGGTTTATAAGTACTTAGGATTTCTGAAATGATAGAAAACAGACAAACAGTAGGAAGTAAAATAATGTTCTACATATATACACAAAGTAGAATTTACAGTTTATGAGGATTTTGTGTAATATTGAGTAAAACAAGGCTACTCGCAAACCTCGTAGAAGGCTGTTGTTCTACTCAACCTCTCTACCTCTACTCCCACACCGTGATTACCCTCACCCATACCCTATTCCATCGCCCATTCTATCCTGACCCTACATTATCCCCAACACTCCCATCTACCCCCTCATATTGACGTAGTCGTGCCTCTAACATCCTCACTCGCCCTTCCAGCGCTTTTTTCGCTTCTAACGCATTCCTACATTCTTGGATCGCAAGTTTACCTATTCCAACCGGATTCTCTGCAGCAGCCAAGAGCTCTCGATGTCGAGTCTTGTAGTCGTCCGCAGTTTTACACGAACGGATGAGCTCGAGTATGAGAGTTGGGACGTCTAAGTCGGTGTTTAAAGACATGCTAAGCGAACTCGCGGGGTTGATTTAGAGTTGGGAAGGTTGTGGTTGGTGGGGGATCTGGAGAGTGGAGCTGGAAGGGTCTGAGGATGAGAGAAGTTGCCGGGATGATACGGAGATGGCATACGAGGAGATTATTATAAGAAGACAATCCTCAGAAGTTATGTTTGTACGTGGCTTGATTGCTTTTCATTGTTTCTCTCTGATTCATACTAGGTTTCGGAAGAGATGATGACTTTTAAACAACCTTTGTCACGAAAAAGACAAACTTAACTCTTTCGTGTCAATACTGCTTGTCTAAGCGTTTGTGGCTCTTCCCGCATTCTTTTAAAATTATACACCCTCCCCTCTCTTATCCAAATCTCCTATCTACCAACTTTAGCAATCTTAATCTCTCCATCTCCAAAAGCCTGCCCAAATCTTTTCTCCAGCCTCTCTCTCTCAATTGACTCGATCTCTCTAATCAACTGAGTTAAATTTTCACGATGATAATTCAATCGTGCCTCGTCCGTCGGTCGTCTACCATTTCTAGCGATTAGAGCTTGTAATTTCTGGAACGCAGCGTCGAAGTCGCGTTGGAGTGTTGAGGGTGGCTGGGGTGGCAACATAGGTGGTATTTTAAGGTGTAGAGTGACCGGGAGTTATTGATCAGACTCGGCTGGGTAAAATATTCTGCAGTTGGAGAGGGGTATTCTATTTCTAGTGATGGAGCAAATGGGGAGGACTAGTAAACAATTTATAACAATCGTTTGTTTGCAATGATTGAGGAATGTTTATATAGCAAATTTGTCACATCATAATTTGTCTAGAATTGTCACCCATGTTTTCTCCATATCGAGTCATTGACCTCAAACACTAACACGGTCACCCAAAATGGACGATCACAAAACCTAATATCCTCTTTCAACTGTCATCAATCCTCCCACGTCTGCACAAGCTGCTATTGTGCTATCTATTTCTTCTCCTTCTTCGTACTCGCCCGTCCCTATTCCTCCAAACCCTCTTCCGGTAATTTTCTTGTAACGTTACAACCACACATTTTAACTGTACCAATCCTAACAATAACCTTACTCACTTCCCCCCAGCTTCTCGAGCCCCTGCCAAACCCCCTCATCCATCATGTCAACCCCCATGTCTTCTTCTACATTCCTCTCACTATCATCCTCGCTGTCTGCCTTTGTCTGCTCTTCTTCTTTATCTTCTTCTATTTTCTTCTTGCCGTTATTCTCCTGATCCCATCCCCTAATCTTCAAAATCTCGTCCCACTTTTCTCTCCCTCGAATATGATCCTGTAGCATCGTAACTACATGCTCCAAACAAGAATTCTTATGCTCCAACTCCTTATTCCTGGCCTTTTCTGCCTCCAATTCAGCACTTAGAGCGTCGACCTGTGCACTTAGAGCGTCGACTTGTCGTTTCAGACACTCGATCATGACGGGGGTCTCGGGTTCTGAGGACATTTCTTTCGTGAAGCGATTTGACAATTTTATTGAAGCGTGAGTTCGAAGCTGGTGGAATATGAGTATTGAATGTGTGATGCGAAGTTGGAGCGCGAGGGAAGTTTGGAGGAAGATGTGTTGTTGATGATTAAGTTGTTTATGATTTAAGAAGGTTAGGCTTGTTTTGCGAAGTTCCCATTTTGGGGGAACTTTGTAGGTGTGACAGGCATATTGTAATTGGTGGATACCAAAATGAACAGTGAATTGACAATGACATCAAATTACACAAAAATGCTGGGTAGTGAATTGACAATATAATTAGATTATGATAAACACATACATCATGTCATCTCATATTTGATATTCAGGAGTGCTATTACTGTTTTCCCAAAAGGCAAGAATTTGATTTTTTCAAAAGCTATCAATACACCCCACAATCTTAAAACACCCTCCATACTTCAACTAGCTCGTAGCTTTACTTAACCAAGATTTCTTCATCTCTGTATCCCGGCTTCGATTTCCCCTCTTCTTTTTTTCCACGACCGGGTCTAGCGAGTCACAACGTTTAGTTAATGTAGCAATTTTCATCTTTAGCTTCGTATTTTCCTCTGCCAGTGCCTGATTCTGCAACTGATAATCTCTTTGGGCCCCTTCGAGTTCTTCTACTCTGCTTTTTAGTTGCTTGATTTGTTGTTCGGCGGTCAACGGTGGAGGATGGATGAGTGGCCCTCCAAAAGGGGAAGGTGGAGATGCGGGTGGTGGAAATGGTTGTAGTGACATGATTGAAGATGAAATGATAGATCTTGGACCTTGGTAAGGTTGGGCTTAAAACGCTGTGTTAGTGGGTTTTCTGAAGATGAATGAGCGCATATAGGAACTGGGTTATTTATATGACAGACTAGAGTCACTAGATAAGTGACTGCATGTTATTTGGTTGAGGATTACAGCCTCTTGTGTCAGAGTAGCGTCTTTTTTGTTCCAAACAATATGTTTAATATGACTGTATCAATCTCTGATTCATCCTCCACCTAACAACTTTCTCTTCTCAAACAAAAGAATCGCCAACAAAACCTTAGTCAAACTTCACCTAAACATTCCCTCCATTTCCTCTATCACCTATTCGGCTCTCCAAGCCAGCTCTATTCAATCCCGCCTTTACCGCGATTCCAAACGAGTTTTTAAATATTCAACCTCGGTCTCCAATCTCGATTGCCCTGCCTCTAGTAAACCTTCTGGAGAGATTTGATTGCCATTAGAAGGGCCGTTTGTATTCGAAGGCCCGTTGTTGCTAAAACATTCATTTCTATTATCGGGCGCATCTCTGTTGGGGCGCCCATTGCCAACAAATGGATCGTGGACGTTAGAGGTACCATTATTGTGAAAAGTTCCATTGCCTCTAGAAGGGACATTGCCATTAGAGGGGCCGCTATTATTGAAGGGACCATTTTTGTTGACGGGACTATTACTGTTGAAAGGTCCATTGCCCCTAGAAGGGCCGTTGCTACCAGAAGGGACGTTGCCATTAGAAGAACCATTGCCACCCGAGGGTCCATTGCCCCTAGATGAGCGATTGCCATTAGAGGGTCGATTACCGTTAAACGGAACGTTGCCATTAAAGTTTCTATTGCCGTTGAAAGGCTGCATTTTTGGTGTTTGATAATGGGTATGAGTTCGGGGTTGTGTGTTGAGTTTGGAACAGTAATGCTGTGAAGATATTTCTTGACTCTTAAGGAACTCTTTTCGGAATGGAATCAGTACGTTTGTTCTTTAAATATAAATATGATAGAAGCAATATGCGGATACTTTCGCTCTGAATCAAGAGTCATTCCTACGTTTTGCCAAATACAATACATATTTCATTAAATCACGACGAATGTCAGATCCTAGTTTGCTCAATATCGTCACATTCCCATCACTAAGTCTTCTCCATTAACTCACTTCCTATGGTTCTTCCCAGTTTGCTTCTTGTTGTCATTTCCCCCTTTCCCGAGATCCCCTTTTCCATCTTCCCTCTTCCAATACTTCTCCTCCTCTCTCATCTCAACACAATTTCCATACTTTTTCACATTCTCCTTCAAGACTTCTGGAATTTTTTTTCCAGCTTTTAGATCCTTCACCATATCGTTATGGCGAACCTCGCCTTTGAGAGCGCGTTCTTTCCAATAGTCACGATCACCCTCTAGATCATGTATCCGGCGCATCAGCTCAAGGATCTCTCCGTCTAGTAAGGCATTCTGCTTGTGCTCATAATTTTCTTGCTTTTCAAGTCGTAAGTGAGAAGGACTTTTTGTCGCTAGCTTTTGGTCCGAAGGGGGCATTTGGGGACGCATTGGAGGTAAACAAGATGTTAAATCTTGGAGGGATGAGATTGAGAATGAATTTCGATAGCTAAGTGGTGGAATGATGCAGGAGCTTCATCGCTAGAGTTTATATAGCCCTTCCGATGAGAACAAGGCATCCTTAAGTCATGGTCAGAGATGAATTTGGTGTGTAGTATACTCACCAGTTACTCTAATTATTCTGATTATTTACCATTTACTCAAGCAAGAGCTGAGTTTAATTTAAATAAAGACTCTAGTGAGTATCTCCTTAAGTCACTCATGAGTTATTTATGTCAGACTCTTTAGATGACGAGTGGAGGGTGCAAGTCAGCTGACATATTTAAGCGAGAACCCCCCTTATTCGCTAGAGTATTACTTATTTGGCGTAATTTAATTACTCAAACATTATCCATAAGTTACTCGGCGATAGGTAGTTGTGTTATGTTCAGCTACCCAATTTACTTTATTTAGGTTACTTAAATTATACAATTAGTAGACATAATTTTATTTCCAAGCTTTCCTAGAATAACCCACCAGCATGTGCACAGGAAGCAAGAACACAGTAAACAGTTTGTAAGTCAAATGCTTTCATACCATTTCATCTCATCATTACGATTTCCTCCTTTAGGAGTTGCACTTCTTCTACTATCTCTTATCAAGATTCGTGGCTAAAAGCCTCGTGACCACCACCCTTATTCATTCCTCCCCTTTCCCGCCAACCTCCCCCGCCAGTTATTGATTTCTCATTTCCTGCCTCCCCCACCTCCCAACTTAGCTTCATAGCCCCTGTTGATTTCTTTCATTTGATTGACATCTTGCTCTTTTTCTTTTAATTTCTCCTCAAGCGTCTTGATTTTCAATATCATAGCTTCCACTACTTTGAATTGATCTGGTTCTGGCATCTTTAGCAGATGGGCAATGTCGGCTTCTGTTTTTGGAAGTGGTGTGGATATTTTCAGGAAGTGACTGAGAGACTTGTTGAGCCTTGGGGGGTAGTCAAATGATGTGAGGTTGTGGATGAGTGGAGAGGAAGTAGGGTCATTCTGTGACTTTTATGGTCGTTTTGGATGTGGGATGGAAGTGTTTTACTCATTGTTTGGTGGTACTCTGTGACTTGTCTAGCATCACAGTGTTTGTTTCCTAGGCAACTGATATATTGGTCCAAGAGCAAACTATTTGCACAAATATTTTGTTGTAGTCATTTGTTACGACTGCTATCATCCAACTTTCCTACCATCACACTCCCTTAGTAGCCTCTGAACCCTACCAGCCCTAACCTCTTTCAAAACCCAACAATCCCACCGTTCAATCACTTTCCTCCAGTCAACTCTGATATTCGTTATCCTCCTTCCTCAACCGTTCATACTTCTTCGTCAACATAGAAACCTCTCGCTCAAGTTCCTTGACCCTTGCAATTGATCTTTTAAGTTCGGCACGTAATAACTGATTTTCTTCCTTCAGTGATTCAATTGTTACTGGTTTCGGAGGCGAGGAGGGAATTTTGTTGATATGCAGACGTGGGAAGATCAAATCTCGAGGATGCATAGTGATGAAGATAGCGAAAGTCAATCAAGAAAGTGGTAGGCTGGTAGTTTAGAAGGGGGTTGGATTGTGGAGGCACTCTATATTTGTAACTACTGCAATCTCAGAGTTGTGGCCTTTCAAAGATTCATGGTCGAGGATTAAAATACTCAAGCACAAAAAACCCATAATCATAGTCATAATTACCAACAATCCTGGAAACAATCATGGCTGAGTGTACCTGTTGTGAAACCATTGATGACAAATAATTCTCGAACGTTTCGATAATCTAGGCACCTTACTTCAAGATTAGTTTGTGCAATGGCACTTTGGAGGTTGTCTGGGAATCTTACATCTCGGTTTGTACAAAATAGTTTGAACACTTCCCAAAACCACTTGCATCCTCAAAGTATTCATCACGATATACCCTTTCCAAAACGCCACCCTTGAAATCCCATCAAAAAACCTCCTCCCACTGCCTCCTTCCCAACCACGTTCTTCCCATTTTCGTCCGATTTTCCCGGTGCCGTCGTTTGAAAGTTCTTCCTCTTAAGCGCCCAATCCTTGATCTTCACTAGCTGTGCTGTAATTCTCTGCTCTAACTTGGCGGTTCTTGTCCTGACGTCCTTCATTTTGATTTCGAAATCATTTCGATCTTTGTCTCTAGCATTTCGGTTGTGATTCAGGGGGTTGTAGAAGGCCATGGCTTTTGTTCGCCGAGTTTGATGGTGTTCAGTTGACGAAGTTGGTGTGGGTTTGGTAAAAGAGAAGTATGGAAATCATTGCGCATGGAGCCAAAGTGAATGAAAAGCTCACTTCATTGGACGTTATCGGGAAAGAGTGAATGTAGATTTCTTGTTAGCATGTTGTTTGTGACTCTAAATGTGTATTACCATTGGACCCTATCAGAATTCAATCATTACAACGCGCGGAGTTAAAGTCAATCTTGAGTTAACGAAGATATGCAAAGCTGTTGAGTAGCCAATTGATATCGACATCAGATGAAAAGTCAAACTTCGTCGCAAGGTTAACCAGTCTCCAAGTCATTCGTTTCTAAATCAGATCTAATAGGCATCTGAACTTCCTCAAAAAGATTCATTGCCACCAAACTCTACGCCTCCCATCACAAATTTTTCCACCCACCAAACTCTCATCTACCTCCCCTCCTCCTCAAATCACCATCCGAATCTCCATACCCACTAATCCCCCACCCTCACCTCCAACCCAACCCCCGCCACCCTCTCAAATCCAATCCTCAAGCCACTTCAACTCCCTAAACATCCAATCGACCACTCCCGAGAGTTGCTCACGGATCGGTATCGCTTCCTCATCCCGATCCTTTAAACCGCCCATAATTTCCTGCAACCCCATCACGACGTCCTTCGCGCTATTGAGTTTCCGCTTCAATCTCCTGTTCTCGCTTTCTAGTTCCGAGTTTCGCGTCTCTAATTCCTTTTGTGACTGCGCGAGTTGGTTGATGGCGTCGGTCATTGAGAGGAGGTATTCCTCGTGGTCGATTTTGTGGGTTTTGAGGTTTTGTTGGATTTGGTGGATTGTTGAAGTAGCTTCGGAGGTGAGTGTAGAGGAGGCTTGTGGAGATGGCATGGTGGTTGAGTGTGTTGATGTTTTGAGTTTGGATTCTTCTGCTTTGAATGGGAACACTTGGTTCTGTGTTCGTAGATCTTGACGTTCCAGGTAACGGAGGTCGTGTAGTTTTGGGAATGAAGAAAATGTCTGTAGAGTATGAAGTCAGAACTTTACCAGGCTGAAGATTGTTGATTAATACTATTTCGCTGAAAGAGAGACGACATTTTTCACTTAAGTTTCAACTTCCCATTGCTAAAGCTCATCACTCTCCCACCACAAAGACTTCATTGTTCGATAACTTGCCCATGCAACCATGAAAACACCAACCCATTGAGAGCAGCTGTGCGTGCATGTGTCTCACATCAATCAAAATGGTTCTAAGATAAGTTTCACGATATCAATGGAAATGTCTTAAAGTATCCGTTTTTCGAAACTGGATGTACAAAAAGCCCTTTAAGCCCAGACAAAGATTCCGCTTTATTTTTCTTATGCACCTAAAACCATTACAGCAAAACATCCACCCCAAAGACGTCGTGTTTCGGAGTGGGACATGAGAAAGAACAATTGTCTATGAAAGAACTTTAATTTTCGTGACCTGAAAAAAGCGAACCTAACACCTATGTGTTGCAATTCTGACGGGACATCTCGTTGCCATATAATACTGTTAAGCTCCACGCTTACTAAATAGAGTCTTTTGAGTAAATATATTGAGTTGTGTTAGAACGTCGTTTTCTGAAATTGGTATGTTTACATAGTGTCCCATCAGGTTTGCAGTGCACTACTGTGCATCGACCGCTTCTACATAGTCGAGCCATAAGAACGCATTTAAAATACCACATTCTCATCCCACGAGACCAAGAATACCAATTTCAAAGATATCAATAACGAATCCATGACCAAACAACTTATTTACCTGACGTTATCTCATGTCCTAGCTCATTCTCACTCTCAAACCTACAAACCTCTACCCATCCAAACACCCACCGCGCAATCTCCCAAGTACCCTCCCCACCACCACCACCACCTTTTCATCAAAACCAAACTGTCGCAACGCATCAAGTCCTCTCTCACGCTCTACTAATTTCTTCACGCCTCACCACGTTCACTATATCATTCTCCATCTCCCGCTCAAAACCTCCCCCTCCAACCGCCCAATCCTCTCCTTCAATCGCTGATTCTCCCCCAGTAGCGCGGCATACACTCTCCGTCTTACCTGGTCCCGACTTAGGATTTCCCGTATAAAATCAATCGTAATGTTGTAATCCATCCAACACTGTTCTTGGACCCCGCCTGGCCACGGAGTTGGTTCCGAACGCCATGTTGTATCGCGATAGGGTCGGTTGCGGGAGTGTATATAGATAGCAAAACCGATCGTGTTATATCCATCTTCTTTTTAAAGAGCGTTACAACTTCTTTGAGACATGCTATACATAAACTCTTACATGCGCAAGAGAGAAAGAATGTCAGTCTTAGCAGAGCGGTTGCTAGCAGGTACCTGTCAAGAATCAATGCCCGTTAATGCAAGATAAAAGGGAAGCGGCTTTTCTATCTTGTAATCCATCTAGAGATGAGAGAAAGAACTAAACCATTGTCATTTTAACAATGAATTTTCCCCTGTTTGTGCGCTAATGCTGGATATTCATAAGCGAATGAAGAGCAGATATGATCCAAGAAAAAAAGAGAAAACTAAGTATTCACACTCTGAGGCACTCTACAGAAAGACATCCTTAGACAGCGCTAATAAAGAACAATCATCACCAAAACCAATCCCCCTCCTCCCCCCTCCCCTCCTCCCTCCCCCCTCCACAACCCCCCCACCCTCCCCCAACCACTCCCGTCCCCTAACCCTCTCCCACCACTCCCCCACCCTCCCACACCCCCCCCCAAATCCCCTCATACCCACCCACCCACAACGCCTCCAAATGCGGCAGATGGAACAGATCCACCAAACTAATTTCATCTCCCGCCAAATACCGCTGCTTGCCCAGGATATCCTCATACACCTTGAAGACGGCGCGGAGATCCGCTTCGGCTTGCGCGACGCGCTGGAGGTCTGGGGGACCGAGGTTTTGATATCTGTGGGCGTGTGAGTTGATGGAAAGGGGGGGAAGAGGGAAGAGGGAAGAGGGGAAAGGGGGGAAGAGCCACAGGGGGGGAGAGGACTTTTTGATAACCATCTCCGTCCCAATACATTCCGCCGCGCTTGCAACATAACTAATTTCAATGGAAGCAGCCTGTTCAAACTTTGCATACGCTTCGAAATCGTCGTCATCTGGCATAAATTTCGTCCCCGATTGATACTTCCTAACCCCCAACACCATCAACACCTCTCTTATTTCACCATGAGTTTGGCACTTACCTGGCTAGATACCTGCAAATCGCTCGACTTTCATAAATAACGAGGCCGTCGTCGTCGAGGACGGGGACTTTGCCGAAAGGTTGCATTTTCATGTATGAGGGGTGTTTTTGCTCGCCCTTGGATATGTCGATGGGGATGTGTTTGTATTCTAGGGCTAATTCGAGGAGGACGACGTGGACGCGGGCTGTGGACATGGCTGAGCCGTAGAGGGTGAGGACCATGGTTGCGATAGATGGGATTCTAAATTAGATTAAGAAGGGGTTTTATATTTTGAGATGATTAGGCCATTGGTTTTATATATTAACATGTTAGGCCGGTGCGGTGGAGTTATCGTACTGAGGATGGAAGTTTGGGATGAGAGACTGTATGTTAGTCGTCTGGGGAGGCACGGCGAATGGAATACCGTGGAGGGGACGGAACTATTCGGCCGAAACATGCATATGGGAACTGAGCATGGTTGTTGTTTAGAAAATATGGGCAGTTAGCATGTAGAATCAGGACAATTCGCCTGACGGAAGGGTCTTGAGTAATTAGGTGTGAGGGCTGGAGATGGGCCATGGTCTATAGTATGCAAGTCATCTGTCGTATTGGCAGTATGCTGTAGAAGGAAAATTAGCGAAATTTTGCACTAGAGTAGAGGGAATGAGAGAGTGATCTTAGGATGTTACTAGTCAAGGGGAGTGTTGAGTATCCATCGTATTAATAAGACCGCCAAGCAAACAGTCGCAGAAAGTAATGTGATGGGAGTCCAACGAGTACTCTCAACGTTCATGGAAGTGTGGTTGTAGGCTTGGGATATGTAGATAGAAAGGGAACCAGCTAGTGCCGTATTCGAATGGTAATATGCAATAAACCTATGTGACGGAATATCCAGTAGTCCGGCTCATCTTCTGTTCCTCCCCCAGCGCTTTAAATACACAAGCAAGCCAAGCACTCAACCCCACCCCATCACCTACGAAGGCTTTCGAGCATGAATAGTACGTCTACCCCTTCATCAGTCAAGCCAATCACATAATCCGACGGACTTACATGGTAATATAACTATGAATCTTAGTATTCTTCATATCCTTCCTCACATCCACGAGAAAAGCCTCGAGTTCCTGCGTGCTCCAATTATGCACCCTAGTGAAGAGAGCCATGCTCAATCCGCTTAGGCCACCGACGAGGTTTTCGTTATTCCAGAGACCTACAGGACGTTAGCATTATCTCTCTCATCAGATGTCTTTATTAGTCCAATTTGTTGGGAGATTTGGATACGTACCCAATTCCTTATACTTCGGATCCTTAGGCCACTTATTAATAGGCCACAAATCAACATATTCAACAATATCCACAAATCCCGCTTCTTCCATCTCCTGCTTATAGCGAATCGCGCTATCCAAAGGTCTTCCGATCTTTTGAGATGCGCTGAGAACCATCTCACCCCATTTCTTGAGAGCAGAGTCTTCGGGGAGAGTGCCGTCGTCGCAGCCACAGGGGAATGTGACGTCAGAGTGCTCGATGTAGCCTCCTGGTGTTAAGTTCCTGATATTTCGTTAGCGTGGAAGGAGAAAATGAAGCGGGTAAGGAAGACAGACTCGAAGGCTTGAGCGAAATAATTGGACCAGCTGACTAGCGATCCAGTCATCATGCGACCGTGGATGAAGTCGAATTTGTGATGATAGGTCCATGGCTCTTCAACGTCATCAATCTCGAAAGTTACATTTGGCGGGAGACTGCTTATGTTAGACAGATAGTGAAAGACGAAGGATGATTACTAACAAGTCTGGTTGGATAGGGCTTAGATCAACACCCAAAACCTAAGGACGATTAGATGTCATGTTCAAAACACGCTATTATATTTTACCTTCGCTTCCGGGTGTTCATCCCCTATTCCAATTAGCTTGGAAAGTGACAGGAAGGAAGATGTACTTACCATAATCAATTGCCCAAATTCCTGTCCCCGTACCGACATCCAAAACTCGATGAACGGGTTTATCTTTATCAAAGACAACTTTATGAAGTTTATTATCATACATCAAACTATATATGTGATGTTGAAGATCTAGTGGGGTTAGTGATGGCTAAAATTTGTAAGTGCTGTGTGTCCTCACCTAGACGGTCATTTTCAGACTATTTGAACTTAGCCACGAACGAATTGAGATATACATCTTTCTCACCTCATCATTAGGGTACAAATATTCTAATAAAAATAAGCATATAATCTAAAACAAGGGTCTAGAATACTTACTCCCATCTTTGTATGCATGATATGTTCGACCATTCTCCTGCCGATGCTTCATGATACTCGACCCAACAGAGGTCGTCGAGCTGGCAAACGACTCGCCCTAGCAAAAGTCACAAACTATAACGACATAACCTAAAGCAAAAATACTCACATCACCAAGAGCAGAATCAGCATCATCCCGATGATCGTCGGCCTAGCCAAAGTCAATTCAATAGCCTCACATCAACAACCGTCACACAAACCTCAGCCTCCAAGCCAGCAGCCGGACCAGCAGCAGCCGGATCACTCGTAGCAGGCGACGCAACCTCCTCAGCGGCTACAGGCGTCTCGGTCGGCTGTTCAGTCGTAGACATGACTTCCTTTCCTCAATCGACACGTTTCTCGCGCTAAGCGTCCAAGCAAGAAGACTAGATGGCAGAGAAACGACGAGACGCCCACATCGGCTGTATTCATAGCAAAACTCGCACACGCGGTGCAATGGCTAAAGAGGTGGTGCTTCGCAGGGGAATGCGCCGGATGTGGCTGCCAGACGGACGCATAGCAGAGATGGGTGTGTTATTGGATGAGACGAGAGAGCTGGGTGGTGAAGAACGCGCATAGGGTTGTACGAATACACCATGGGGGTTGCAGCGAGGGCAGCGAATAGAGCGTTTTAAACGCTCGGTTTGTGTGAGTATTGCGTTTGTAGCCAGTACTTGGAGGAGGTGCGGGATGTGTGTGGACGGCTAGGTAGTTTCCCCGATGCACGAACGAGACGATACCAGGTACTTCTGTGAAGAGAATTATTGCCGTGGTGGGCCGTAAAGTGGAAAAACCAACATGGGCGTTCTGTGCCGATCCTATTCGGGAGGATGCCGTGAGGATATAACCAGTAGTAGGTACTTTGCTGTTACAACGTGATATTTCGAAGCACCTCTACTTCCGTGTCTCGTTCTGAAAAGAAATCCCGCTCATAAGCAGCAAACTGCCTCACGAGTCTCAATCTCACCAACAAACATAATCAATGCAAATAAACTCGGAACGACAACGGAGCTGTCAGCTCGGCATCCATCCGAAAGCCTCGTGTACGTTTCCCCAAACCCCACTTCGAGGCATTTCTGCTGACGTTGTGTGGTGGAGATGGGGCAACCCCGCGACTTCGTAGATCCGTTTGATAGCGGGTATTCGGTGGGTAAATTGCGTTGTGGGACGAGCTTGAGATACTCGAGTACATGTGGTCCATAATGGTCTTATTTAAAGTTTGAAAGACTAAGATGAAAGGTAAAGCCTCCAAGTACTAGGTATTTAGAGTACATATTTACAGATTAGGTAGTAGACAAGGTTCAATCAGGAGAAGTGGGCGAGCAAGGAAGAAATCACCTGACATACCTACTCGTCCAATGGAGCATATCTACCTAGGTAGGTAGGTAAGTATGACAACGTCAAAGCAACATCCAGACCACTTGATTTGTGGATATAGTTAGTATGTCATTTTTAGACATGTAAGCAAACAAACGTCGGGAGATCATAGAGCGAAATGTAACGTTCAAACAGAACCAACAAAGCTAGACTACCCCAGACGGGAAAGCTTCTCGCATGGGATGAACATGCATATCAAACGTCGCCGATCACAGATATAATCCAACAAAACTTGCAGCAAGGCCTTACCAGAACAGGAATCCAACAACAATCTAGCTGAAAAAACGAACATACTTCCAGATGATTAGTAGGATTGAAGTCCCATACAGGGTTGTGAGATTGGTATGATTTAGAGTAGAGCGCGTTGTATGTATTCGAAATATCCCCAAATATCATCTACAAAGTCGAGTCCAGAGGAGAGAAGCCGGGGTATCCACCACATGCAAACGCTGAAATGCAGCAGTAAAGATTAGAAACTCCTTATCCTTATTCCTCCTTGATTATAAGTCCATCCGACGGTTTGACACGTTGTGCCCATTCACTATAGCATGTCAGCAAAGTATTCTTCAGATACAAGTAATGTTCACTTACGTCCAGCTACCATCGTATATTTTCCTGTTCTTCTCGTCACCATATCCGGCCTCACTCAAAGCGGCATCGATGATCGCAGCAGTAACTCCTGTACCACAAGAGCTGATAATTGGCTTATTTGGATCAACGCCCTTGCTCTCAAAGACCTTCCGTAGTTGATCGCCTGGCAAAAAGGTTTTGTTGACCGGATCCAGCAGCTCAGTAATTGGCACAGAGATGCTCCCCGGCATATGTCCAGATGATAATCCTTCTCTTGGTTCTGGGTCTTTCCCGCTCCATCTCCCTGCCGATCGCGCATCCAAAATCTGTACGCCCTCAGCACCCTCCTTATTCTGATCCGAAACCACATCTCTAACTTCTTCGAATTCCGCCACTTGTGCTCCGTCAAAATCTGGAATTGGATACACACAGGTATCGACGTCCCAAAACTCCCCGCTTTCAGTAGGATAACCCTCATCCACCCATAATTTGAAGTTGTTTAAAAGATGAACCGAATCATGTCCAAATGCCTTCATTGTCCATCCTACTCTTGGCGCACTAAATATTCCAATCTCCGCAGAATCGTAAACCACAACTGTATCATCTCTTCGAATTCCCAACCCACTCATAGCTTTTGCGAAATCAGAAGCCGAAGGAAGCATATGTGGATAAGGGGAGTGTTTGTCGATAACCTTATCTAGATCAAAGAACCTGGAATTAGGTATCCTCTTTTTACGGAAGACATCGAGACCGTTGCGTCCGTCGTTTGGTAAGAACCATGAAGCACATACTGCGACCGTTCTTGGTGCTGTAGAGATCTTAGTCATAGGGTTCTGTTTGAGAGCTTCCTTGAGCTCTTTGGGGGTGACAAGATAGGATGAGAATGATCTTTCCGCAGCTATCGAGCTTAGTCGGAGGATAGGAGATCGTAATTGAGTCGTGCGAAAGATGGGAGAGTGCGCGCGTGCGCCTCTGGTGAGGAAAGCAACGGCCGCCATGGCGTGCTGTCTTGCGGATATGCTATCGAGAGCGCATAGAAAGAAGCTGTCGGAAGTAAGTACCGATAAGACGATGCCGAAGCTGTAGCTCTATCTCTTCAGTCCCAATCGTTCTGCGACAAAGGAAAATGGATGGTAAAGAAAGAGGGGTTTGGAATTTGTTCGGAACGCTGGAGGTTGCATTGACAAATTACTTGCTAGAGATGATAAGGCTGGGGCGGCGGCGGTAGCTTGGAAGCTTGGACCATGACGCATGTGAGAGTAATCGACACGATAGTTGCTGGATCAGCCAAGCTCAAGTCAATAAATAATAATTCAAAAATCACCAACATCATAATTTCTACTTCTAAAGCTCAACGAAGCTAAAAATTGATTTGCGACTCTGCGCTAGTGCCACCGAAATCTGCCACTTCATCGGGGCCGAAAAATCCAGCATGAAAGTCAAGATCCGCAAATGGAACGCGGTAGCAACATGGCGATGGGACATCCCCGAGGACGACGTCTGCGGTATCTGCCAAGTACACTTCGATGGCACATGTCCGAAATGCACATATCCAGGAGATGATTGCAAATTACGTATGTACCTCCAAAACCTCGTTCGGTAGCGGTGTTGCTAATCGCAAAATCGCAGTATCTGGGAAATGCGGGCACAGTTTCCACGAAGTGAGTTGAAAGGCAGTCTCGTTTTGAACGTGGGATTGTGCTAAGGGGAATAGCATTGTATAGATGAGTGGATTAAGCAGGAGACTTCAAAGGGACAATGTCCTATGTGTAGACAGAGTGAGTTACCCCACCTCCCCCGCTGTGCGGAGGGTTCTAACGGAAACAGAGTTTGAAGGGCCGGAAGGTACGGGTGCTGCTGCCAACGAAACAATGGAAGATCCGGCAGATATGGAGGTGTGATTGAATATATATGGCGTTAAGGAATTTGAGACGCAGGATGAATTGGGCGCATGGCATGATACCACAATGGGAAGTTTGGTTGTCGGACATCAAGATCAGAAAGGGATTAAAAAAATCGGTTTAAGGCGCTTGCGGTTTACTATGTTTATCGGGTTGCTGTTCATTGGGGTTGAGGGTACAATTTCTTTGAAAGTCTCCATTACGTTGATCCTGTTTGATTGCCACAAATACTTGGGTCACGAAGATGCTCAAGATGCACGTTTGTATGGGAGTGCTTGGATATATCCTATTTATATTTTCGACGTAAATGATCGTCATGGCCCACCGATCCCCTCTAGCTCTCAACACAACCCCCAATTCCATTCGTTACACACTTCGCCTTTTCCACCACCTACAACTCGTTGTGCTCCTGTCCATCGCCATCAGTGTCAGCTAGGATGGTCATTGCGGCCTCTGCGGCCTTGGATACAACACTGGCGGCTCCGTGCTTCACACCTTCTGTAGCGGAATCTGCTACGCTGCTAGCGGAGGATTTCTCGATAATGCTTACGGGTGCCTCGACTCCATCAATGCCCATCAATTCGGTCTCGAAGACTAAAAACCAATTAGCTTAATGATTGTGAAGAGGTAAAGCCATGAAACCCACTCAAGGTACTGCCAGCCGGAATTGGCCCCATAGCTCTGTCACCGTAGCCAAAAGCTGGTGGGATGGTGAGAGTTCTCTTCTCGCCAATGCACATATCAAGGAGGTTGTCATCCCAACTATTGCAATTGTCAGTCCACCGTTTCCTTTCTGCCCAACAAGCAACCAACTCACCCCTTGATGACGCTTCCCTTGCCAACAACGAAGCTCAAAGGCGTCCCTCTGTCGTAGCTTGCATCGAATTGCTTGCCTCCATCCTGAAGAGTACCTCTGTAGTGCACAGAGATCTTGTCTCCCTTCTGGGACTTGCGCTCACACTCGACAGCGCGGGTAACATCGATTTTGACCTCGTCGGCGGCCAAGACGGTGACGGCAGATGCCAAAGCGGCAATTGACAAGGTGAGGAAACGCATGTTGATTTTGTAGGATTGCCTGAGATTACGTAGTCAGTAAATGATTTCTGGGTGAGATAATGACCGGCTTTAACACTTACAAGAAGATATGGACACGTAGGATCGAGCTTCTGTTCGAGGGACAATTCGATTGGCAATTGGCGAATTTCCCTTGGAGCACAAGCCGGGGTGTCACTGGTGTGAAATAGCCGAAGTCACGAGTGCGGAGAGGGGTTGGCTGAAATAAAAATAGACTAATTGGGTCTAGTTTAAGATTAACATATGGTTAAACTTCCATTGGGTGATCATCTCGATACACGACATGTCAAATCAACGACGACTCTCCTCAACCTTCCCTCACTTCATCCCAAGCTTACATCGCCAGCAACAAACAATCCATCACGGCGGCTCCCGATGCCCTTTTTACAAATCCATCCGGAAGCAGCCATCTCGGTCGAGATGTGAGGCTTGAGTCACTGGACTTGTCTTGGCTAGGAGGTGCTGCCTGAAGGCTCCAATCCCCAATTCGGACGGGAACTGTCAGCATCTCAGCTGAAGCAGAAGAGCCAACCTCTTTCTTTCCCAACGCCCGAGGCAGCAACGTCTCAAAGGGCAAAGACGCGATCTGCGAACATAATGGGCATTTCGACCGAACACCCAGCGCGAATTTTATGGGGAATACGTCTTCTTATGATGTCGTCGCTGCTCTGCGCCGCTCGCCTCGCGGTCAGCCTCGCTGAACGAATTCGTACAGCGACAAACCGATTCGACTCCGCCACGGTTCTAATATGGACGGAATTGGTGTTCCTTCGTTCGATTCGGCCCTCAACGAACGGGTGTTCTCGCTCTCGCAAGCACCGCCCGAGGCCTTTTGTGAGGCCGACTCAACTTGCTAGTACAAAGACGTTCCCATTGTCTAATCTTTCGCTTGTTCAGAAAACAGTCACACGTCCTACCCCTTCCTTCCCCCAAACGGTCGCCAGAAGAACTGACCGACGTATGGCTCCATTTATTCTTTGACTCATTGCAAGTGCAGAGCCATGTTTAGCACTGCTTAGCACGTTCTTCTGGTCGATTGACCAGGCACCATCATTCCTGGAGTATCAGCATTGGCTTCGCCCTGTGTACCGTATCAATCTCCTGCCTGGATTGGCGCTGGTGGACCAGTCATTTGGTTTTTTGCCCGCTGATTGAGTTTGTATAAGTATTTCTTTCGCCCGTCCATTGAAGTTAATTATCCTATTATTTCCCTCCATCATCCACACTCCAAGTACAGTCACTTACACATCACGCCTCACTTTGCCCTACCTACTTAAGCAATCAGTTTCCCTAGCTTTTTGCGCCAGAACACGCCCAAGCACACTCACACAAACACAACATACAAACACTCACTCGAATATGTCCTCGGGGTCAAGATCACACTATTCTGGTAGTTCACCAGTCATCAAGCACTCTTCTTCAAGGGACTCGAGCTCGTACCATTCGTCACGGGACTATTACCCTTCATCCTCTAGAGACTCCGGGTCTTACTATTCATCACGGGACGAGTACCGCTCATCTAACACCAGCATGTCGCGGGGCAGCAACGCGGAGAGGCGAGACGAAAGATTACGGGTTCCAGACGATGGTTTGTCTTACCAATCAACCATTTATCAATCAAGTGGCTAACAATCAGCTTTTACAGATCGAAAATACATCACCAAAACGGAATCTGGCAAGAATTACATCATTGATCAGCGAAAACCAAGATACGATGTCAACGAGCCTCTTTCACGAGACGCAACACCGGAACACTACAAGAAATCAAGAAAAGACCAAAAGAAGTCGAGCCGACATTGAGGAGTCGATGTGGGCTCGCGCGCTGGTTGAACTGAGCGGACGTTACTTCAATGGTAGGGCTGCTCTGCCGTCGCTTACACCGCCACTGCCCTCCTCGCCCTACGGCGCCCTTCGCCCTGAAAGCTTGCGGGATTTTATGCGACGGAGTAGCTTCTTCTTCTGGACGTTTACTTCCTCATCACTCGATTCTATGCGGGATTTTGTACTAGCATAGCGGATTATATCTTACAGTTATTGGTTGTCAACCGAACTATCCGCCTCACGGCGACTTTTGGGAATTCATTGGAAGTTAGTCATTTTAGCGATACCAAATTGGAGAATGGATTGGGCGTTGTATATTATTATGATGGAATGACGGATGACTAGATAGTGTTAATTGAATCAGATCGAAACAAGTCGTTGAGTTTTCATGCAGAGTGGACGTGCCTACTATCTTCTTTCCCTACCATTGGTCGCGCTTACTATTTACCACTTCACCCTTCATCCAAACACCCATTTCTCATCTCTCTTTCCATCTCTCTTTGCATTTCTCCTTCCATCCCATCGTCACCTCACCCTCTCAATACAGCTCAACTGACGTTCGTCTCCACCCACGCCTCACCTCGCTTGTCGTATATCTGCATCCTTCAGCTCTCGGTACCTAGTATTCAGGTTCGGTACCTGGTACCTACCTGGTAGTACCTGGCAGGCCTCGTCAGCCCCTGCCTTGCAGGCCTAGAAGAATTTATATGATGCTGCCGCTGCCGCCTGAGGCGACTGGAAGGCTCCAGGGCGCTGATGGGGGCTGTAGGGCGTAGGGCGAGTGTCGTGTGTGCGGAAGAGGTGAGTGGGTGCGGAGTGATGAGAAGGGGGGACTGGTGGGAGGTGCGGTGTGAGGCGCGGCGGAGGCTGCGGAGGGCGTGGGCGGAAGATGAGTTTTTGGTGTTGAGAAATGAGTTTTGGGCGCGGAGCTCGTATCTAGTAAGCTGCGGAGATGATGCTTTCAGAGCGGACGATTTTAATTTTGCTTTGGACACTTCAGTTTGCCATCCCAGAACTACATCACAGAACTTGTCTCAAAAGACAATAGAACTCATCGCACCCCCTCCTTCCAAACTTCAAGTCTCTCCCTATTAAATCCTCTCCAACCCTTCCCCTCGAACTCCCCCCCCTCCCTAGCAATCTTCCCATCAAACACCTTCCCCTCCCGACTCAACCTCTCAATCACCTCCCCAGCATACAAAAACCACATCTCCCCCGCCCTTCGATCCACCTCCTTTGATTCCTCATTCTCAAACGCAGATCGCAACGTCCATATCGCGTATAACGAAAAGTCGAACGCGGGGATAGACGATGAGAGCGCTGTTAGTCGAGCGAGAAAAGCGTTGATGTTTTGCCATTGGGATGCTGAGAGGTCGTTGTTGCTGTTTGTTCCTGGGGCTGGTGGGCGTTAATAAGATTCTTGGAAAAAATGAGAGCGGTTATTAGGTGATCTTACCTCTATTCCAAATTTCCCGCGCTTGTGCGCCGAAAAGAGGCATATCCTTCCACACTTTCACTTTATCGCCCCATATCTCAATCTCACTCGCTTCTTCACTATCAGCGACATTTTGCTGCTGGATAGCTCGTAGGATATCAACGAGTGGCTCTTGCTTCTCGTGGGGGGTATCAATTGCTATCTCAATAACGCTCTTCCAAGATCTCGAAAAGTGCTCTTCGAGTTGTGGTTGCTCGGTCTGCCCAGGGACGAAAGCTTCACGTGTTGGTTTTGTGAATGCAATCGCTACTTCACCTGGATCCTTTTTTGCCGCAAGAGCATTTTTCAAAACTCCATATTCCTCAGCTTCCATACTGGCTGTAACTTTCCGTGAGGTGAGATGGGAGATAAGCCTGCGTCGAGTCGTGCAGATATATGTTCGGACCAAGAACCGAGAAAAGCATGTCGTTCTCTTGACACACTGATAACTATTCATCTAGCGGAGTCTTCCGCTAGGAGACTGCCGTTCAGTTATTATTGAAGCGTGCATGTGGTGTCAAGAGTCGTTGCGATTGAATACCGCCAGCTTCCTGATTGCGTCTAGTTCACGCCCGCCAAGCCCTGCCCGGCTCCTCCACACCAACCCTATTCCCACGCCATCTCGTCCTTCCCGTTTTAGGAGTTGCGGCTGTGAGATCTGGGGATCTTAGTGGAGGGAACAGTATCTAGGGTTGTGACTAGAGGGGATGTCCTGCATTAGAGGCGTGGGAATGCGGGTTGGAGTGGAGTGGTCCGGCATTGATGGTGGTAGTCTGCCACATGTTTATGGTTTTGTGAAGATGTTGATATTTGTATGGTAAGTAGAAAGTATATCAATGCCATTTCCCTCCAAGATCCAAGCCATCGTAGCTTCACCATCTCATCCTCCCCTCCTTCCACCCTCCCCACCCTAAGCGAACCTCCCCCCTTTCCCGCTTCCCCCAAATTTTCAAAATGCACTTCTCCCTCCTCCCCCTCTCCCTCCTCCTTGCCCTAACCACTGCCCACCCCCTCGAGCCCCGCGCAGCAACCACCTGCGGCTCCACCTCCTACACCGCAGCCCAAGTAAACTCCGCGGCCCAAAAAGCATGCACATACTACAAGGCCGGGACGAGCACAAACAGCTATCCACATACGTATAACAATCTGGAGGGTTTCTCGTTTACGGTTGCGGGGCCGTATCAGGAGTTTCCCATGTTGGCGAGTCATGCTGTTTATACTGGTGGTAAGTCATGAGGTGTAAAGGGGGAAAGATGGTGATTGGAGAGGGATGAGGAAAGAAAGAGGCTAATGAAAATGAAATAGGATCACCAGGACCTGATCGGGTTATCATCAATACAGCTTGTAAACTCGCGGGTGCTATTACGCATACCGGAGCGAGTGGGAATAACTTTGTTGGGTGCGCTGGGACGAATTAGATGGGTTCTTTAGAATAGAGTTTTGGAGTCTGTTATGTCGTTGATTTCTTTAGAGCGTGCAGGGTGAAAGATCTTCAAGCAACTTTTTTTAACGAAGTGATGATGGTGTTTGATGTTTGGATTTCAATGGTTTAGGGAAAATGAGACTTGGACTTTGTTCTTAACGGGTACACGAGTAGAGTGGACTTTCAGCATGGGGTCAATCCCTTTCTCATCTGGGCTGGAATTGATTTATGTCTCATAGTGCACAGAAATCACTTCATGCTATTTTCAGTATAATTTATATTTCCCCCTCTGTATTTCAAAGATACTACCGATTTTTCGTCCATAATGTGAATACATACGGATATTAAAAGGTGCTAGATCGAAATGCACTGTCATGAATCATTGCAATAAAGAGCCTGTATTTGGGCCGCGCCCTGGAATTACAGGGTATCAACGCCCTGAAGCTCACTAAATGCGACATGCAACAAAACGTCATCTCGAATCGCTTAATTTAGCTTCCCAATTATAAGTCATCTACCTAGGTATTCACTTAGCTATATACTTGGGCTGTATTCCCTGTAACACTTAATAGTACTGGATCCACGTAATTAACTACCTGGTTTCCAGAAATAGCTTAACACTCCCACAATGAAAGCCGTTATTCTCGCTTCACACATATTAATAGCAATAATCCCAGCAGCCAACCTCCATTTCCCCCAAATATAGAATGTATAACTCATGTATTCACTTGATTACATACCCAGACCGCACAATAGCATCTCGTCTTATTGTCCCCCGAGCAACATGACGATCTAAATCCAATTTCCAAATATAGTTTAAATTCCAAATGTAGTTTAAGACTCCCATATCCGAATATAGTTTAACACATCCCACATCCGACAACCAACACAAGATGCAAGCCAAAGCAGCGATTTTAACGATCCTAGCACTTACAATCATATGTGCTATCCCGGGCATTTGGGCGGATGTTAAGAAGAGAAAGAAAGAGCAGGAGAGTGGGAAGGGAAAGGGGTCCGAGAGTACGAGTGCGGCAGGTACGGCAGATGGACATACGTCAACGACGATCAGGAAAGAAGGGAGTGAGAGGGCGGACACGATAAGATCTAGCGATTTACCGAGCCCTTTAGGAAGTTCTGCGACTGCTGGTTTTTCTGGAAATCAAGATGTTGTCGTCACTGCTACTGGGACAGAAGTTCATAAGTCGCAATTCATGGGCACACAAACGATTGGGGATGTCGCAACAAGGACAAGCGATAGATCGCTCGCTTCAGGGGAGGCTTCGGTGGCGGGTCGTCCTAGTTTGGTTATGTCCAGTGGTGATGTTGCCGGGTCTTTTGAAAGTGTTACTACTTCGAGTGAGGCGAGGACTGAAGCGAGGCCAACTGGGAGTAGTGATGTGAGGACGACAGTGGAAGCCGCTTCTCCCTTACCGACAGCAGACGATAATGGCGTTACTAGGGAAGATTTCAAGGTACTTGCTGCTACGACTAGATCGGAGAGTCTACCTACTGGATCTCCGGAAATTCATACGAGTATTGCGAATGACATAATGCCAGGTGGAAGTGCTACTGATGAGAAGGAAATGATTCCTTCGTCTTTTAAAGCAACGAACATTGTCAGTTCAAGCACGGAGTCACATTTGACGAAGCCAGCACACCACCATCATAAATCCGGCGCAAAGCTAACCTCGAAAACTACGACTTTGCCAACTTCCAATTCTCAAGACTTCACGTCCTCGAGCTCAAATAGTACATCGACTCCGTCTCCCAGTTTTCAACATACTACAGTCTCGACCTCGAACAGTAACGCAAATACCCGTACTTCAGGCTTCACCGATAACTTACACAACTACAATACGACATATATTTTACCATCTAATACCATATTATCAACATCCAATTATCGGGACATGGAAGTTCTTACCACCAAGATTGTCACTATTACGAGTATTAAAACGGTTGTAACGAAGAATTTCAACATCAGAACGACATCAAGACGGGTTTCAAAGACGAAAACAGCCAGTGAAATATCCCTTGCACGAATCACCAGCTCGGGCTTTTTGAACAGGACAAATACGGTTACATCTACATCTGGAAGTGAACATTACGACCATTCTCGCCTCGACGAGCTAAGCGAGACCAAGAGTAGACAGAGCACGAGGGGGGTCAATCATGCTCGAAATAGAGCTAGAGATGGAACAAGTACACTCTCAACCGAGTCTGGATGGGATACAATAACGGGCATTCCAATCGACACACTGGAGCTACCATTTACAAGTTTTTTGCATTTTTCAATAGGCCCAGCTAGCACCTCAAGTACCTCACGAACTAGAAATTCTCGCACGCTTGGTCCTAAAACTTTCCCAACATCAACCAGTGCTGTTCTGCTGGGCTTAACTGATTCTGAAATGGCATCCATGACGACCGTACCGAGGTTCACACTCACTACTACATCGGATGTCACGACTACAACGGCGGAAGTAAATGTCACGTCGGTGGTCTCTGTTACGCCGGCGCAGAACACAAGTTACCTGACGACGCTTATTACCACGACCACGCCGGGCGTTGTCCCAACACTCGCAGCCACAGCCACGGGTCCAGCGAGTAAGAAATTAGGGAGTCCGGTTATTGCGGGGATAGCCGCAGCTGGGGTTTTGGTTTTAGTGGTAGTGTTATTTTTCCTGGGGAAGAAGAAGGGAGTGTTTGGAGGTGTTGTAGGGCGGGATAGGAGGTCGATGGCGCAGAGGGTGGAAGATAGCAGGAGTGGGTTGATTGCTGGTCAGGAGTATCGGTATATAATTGGGGGTAATGGGAGGTGATGAAGTATAGGGGAAGTGGGTTATGTGGGTTGATATTTTGACATATATTCCAATTATTTGAGTTTTTTAATTAATAAAACATGTGCCTGGGTATACCGTAACGCCTTGTATCGAAAATAAAGCAAAAGGGAAGGAGGAGTTAAACACCCTCATGAAATCGATCAATAATGATCTCCAAATCCATACTCGCAACCTCATCCCAATCAATCATCTCCCCGCTTTCCTCCTCTACCACTACCATTTTCCCATGGTGGATTCGCGCGTGACGGTCTGAAGGTTTTTGGAAGTGGATGGGGATGGAACTACGTTTTATCATTTCTTCGGGTTTGGGGACTGGCAATGGATCTTTTGGTGGCACGGGTGGGGGAATCGTCATCGTGTTCCTGTGATCTTCGAACGCGGTGTTGTAGTTGGTGAATTTGGGTTTGTAGATTGCTGGAGACGGCATGTCAATCGAATGCACGCTTTCCGTCCAACCTGATGGGAACTCATCGCCGTCATCTGTGCCGAATACTTTTGTTGGGAGCTTTTTGCGTAGGGTGTAAAGTGTAGGGACATTTGCGACGAATGCAGCTGTGAAAGCTTCGACGCTTGCCCAGGTTGTGCGGTTTACTTGGAGATTGGAGTCTTTGATGTTGAGGGGAAGACGTATTACGGTTATGATGACGAGGAATACGCCAAGGGAAAAGAGGAAGATGAGGCGAAACTTGCTGGTAGAGAGTTAGTATTGTGGGTGGCTGTGATGAGAAAGTAGACTTACTCGCCGCCTGTGCGTTTGACTTTGAGGAGGGCGGGCATTGGGAGGATTATGAGAATTACGTCTGTGAATATGTTGAGAGAGCCAAGGGTTATGAGTTGGCCGACCGCTTGGGAACAGACACCTAGAAAATAATTAGAATCATCTTATTTTGAGTTGAGGAGTTACTTACCTGGATCTGGTACCACTTGCCAATATAGCTTTAGTGGATGACAGTCGGTGAAAGTCACGATTTGGATAACGAGGTAGGAGACCCCAAGAATTACCCAATATAATCTGATGATAATATTGGTGTATCTGAATCCAGCAAGTAGGCGTTGGTAAAGTATCATGATGACGGCTTTTTGTAACCATAGGCTTGAAGTGCGTTAGCTTCATAGCTTTCAGGATTGGAGGGAACAACTCACTAAGTATTATACCAAGTCCTACTCGTAAGCAATAACTTGCTAGCAGTTTCTCTCTGGTATATATCCGTCGCTGTGAACACAAGTTTGGCCCGTACTTTCTTCGGAATGTTGTTCGTCCCCCAAATAAGAACGACATGTATGAATGATAGTCGAGCTAACAGGCAGATCATGCACACCATGGTGATTCTGTCGCTGATATCGAGTTTTTGACCTCGGTATCTCCTCATAACTATCCGAAGTGCCATGAGGAACATTGCTAGCCATGTAAAAACCCACAGAAAGGCAAGAGTCTGTACCGTATCGGCAGAGAGTGCCATGTTGAATGATTTCTTTTTCTGCGTAAGTGAAGAAACCTGCGGTAAGCTGTTGAGGATATTCTTTAGCTTGCTGTTACAAAGTCTATGCTGGGGAAGTGTATGTTATATGGAAATTTCCGGGGTTCGAGTTTCGTTTCTTCCTCGCGTGTTCTTCTACCCAGCGGAAGAAACAAACGGTGATCGACGACAGGTTGAGAGTGTGATACATGAATTATACGTCAGGGTATGATCATATATTTGTATCGTTTGGAGATGTTCCAGTAAGAAAAATATCAGCTTTGCCATCTAGGAAATATGTTTTGAGTAATTTCATGGTGACGCAACAAGTCTGCAAAGCGTTCATATTTCACCCCCTGGCGGTGGTCCTTTCGTCCTCTTTTGCATCGTAAGGTGGATATGATTGCAAACCAGCCTGAAGAAGTTCAAGGTTCCATTTTCAATCGTTACGTGAGTTCTTGATGAAGATAGTCTGTGGGCAAGAGTATCGAGTTTCAATCGCCATGTGAGTTATGCGGTTGGGCAATGGGAGAAAATCAGCCAGTCGCATGGCGGCTCGCTTAAGCCACTGAGAAAGACTGCCAAGCTTAGAGCGGCGGCTGCTCTCTGTATTTTCTCAGTGTTCCGAGGGTTCTTGATGCTGCTTTATCAACAGCCAATTCATGATCTCCAGTCGGTGCGTCTGACATGATGCCTTATCCTTTTCAACTCAACATCAATGTCTGGTGGTACGACTGTGTCACCAACAAAACAACTACCGTCGGTTATGAGTTTTGACAGGTCTTGAGTGCATGAAATTGGAAATAAACTCATACACTGCCGTCTGGAGACGACTCGAATCCAGTTACCAGACTGGCGCGCAAAGAGGGAGCGCACAGATATCACCTCATGGCCGTGGTTTCTTCAGGCTGGATGCCGACTGGACGACATAGTGGCTGAAGATAGACGGTTTCTCACTGCTTGTACTACCAAAGTTCAATCCATGTGGAAGTCTCTTAAAAAAGAAAGCATTTCGTTTTGCATAAGATCTCAACAAGGTGCTGTGGAATGAACCCTTTTGCCAGATTCCGTCACTGGAACTTTTGGAAAGTAATTCGCCTATGAATAGCTTCCCATACACTATTTGCCAACTTTAATGAGTATCTAGGGCTTGTTATATTACGAATACTGCGATACAACTTGTGGAAAGGCTGTGAAACTTAGAATAAGCGGAATCTTTTGTCAATTTCAATTTCGCAGAAATCCACAGCTTATCCTTCGATTCAATCAAGTTCCCGAAAAGCGATACTTGCAAAGACGTCTCCCCACTTTCCAAGTCAGAGTTCGCTAAAGATATCCTTGGTTTTGACCAGTTGTGGCGCTGAGAACTGTAACTCACATCACCCAGAATCCTCACGTTTCATCGCAGCGACAAAGCGCCTTTCACTCCAAAAAGCAGTTCAGCAAAGACCATGATTATTTCTGTGGCGGGCATAGACAACAACTCTTATCACAGATTGGAGTGAACCACACTTCCAGGTTTAATTCCGAAATGACGATTAAGCGGTCTTATAGAACGGTCCAGATAGCGACTGTGTCTCTCCGGATTGTCATCTCGACTTGGAACGCCCACAGAGGCCAATCGGAATGATGTTTCTACCAAATGAGGGCACTCGCTCGTGATTTAGCCTATCATCATAATCCAATTTATGTAATAATCATGGTTGCCGATTATATATAAGGTTAGATTAATGTTTGTACTGATAAAAGGTACTTTTGCAAGGTGTAAAATAAGCTTGCATGAATTAAGACACTCGAAACATATACCTATATTTATGACTATAGGCTGTATAATACCACTACCGGTAATGAATGGATTTATCAATCCATGATAATCATGGGGGGGAAACCATCTCCGTGCAGTCTTGACATGTCTTTCCCGCCGCCTTCGGTAATACACGAACTTATAATCCTACGTATGATCGACCGCATCGGATCCGAGCTTTTCCTTTCGGAGATATCCCCGAGTAGCGATGACTTTCGTGCATGAAAATCGATTCGCTTAATCGGGCTTGTCGATCATACATCATATTTCAGCGAGGTCTGGAGTTTACAAAAACGAGAACCAAAACGCATAAATGATTTTTTGCATGGCTCAGGTGAGAACATGATTTACAAAGAGTTCAAAAATACTTTGCATGAGGGTGGCTTCTGCCGATCTCTATTAATGGAAGCGTTGTGAGCTGTATCTGTTTTACTCCTAAGTTTGGTAACTTGGATGTTTGTGCCTTTTGTTTGCGTGACCAAGAACCCTCTGTAAAGTTACTGCAAAGTCACTTATTGGCAAGGAATCATTTTACCCTCAACTTTAATCTTGAGACTGGGAAGGAAAACCTCACAATTGGGCGTCATAGAAATATTTCTAACCTGAAAATAATCTTAAGTCTTGGACGCCATACGTCTTTAGTCTACGGATCATGAAAGTGTTCAGTTCTAGAAATAGTAGTACAGAAAGTTCCTGGCTTACTGTAGCAATAATTCCAAACTTAAACTTAGGGCAAGTTGAAAACTTACTATCTTACCTCATACCCTCAGTCAAACTTGATAATAGTTGTTCCGTTGAAAAACAGCGATACCGGGCAAATGACTCTTCTTTGTTCACAAACTCTTATATAAATATACTACAACTTACTCGCATCTTTCCTTTACAGCAAAGGCTGCCCGATCTCCTCCAAAGTCACAAATCAACTAAATCTTGACATACATCCAAAATCTTATCATGGATTCAAGGAAGAACGTGATGCGTGGAGGACCTGGATCTATGATAGCTCTAGGCTGTGTAAATGGGCTATTTTGCGCTATTATGATTCTTTTATTCCGTAAATGTCTAAAGGATTGCTTAGTAAGTCTTCCTAGGCGGGCAAGAGAACAGTGGCCAGTAGTTCTATCTATGGCCAGTAGTTCTATCTATGGTCAACTTAGATCGAGGGGATTTACAATCACAAGTCTAGGTCATTTTTTTTTGGATCCTTCAAATAAGAAAAGAATGAAAACAATCCAAACACTACCTTGGTAAATGTTTAATGTGAATATTTAACAACTTTCCTTCCTTCCTCTTGTTACGAAATTACATTGGACAAGCTCCATCTAGAACTAGAAATCAAGTAAATCTCCAAGCATATAAAGAACGCCACTATGGGCTTGAAATGAAAAGGACTCCCTTCGCCTCTTATAATCATGATTACTACTTTCACTGTGATGTTTGCCATGGTTATTTTTTGGTGTAAAACTAAAAGTATCCGACGCCCTGAAAAGTATCTATAGGTATGCAAGGCAGAGTGTGCCAGTGGCGTTAGCTGTTGTTAATGTAGAAAGAAAGAGAGCTGAGTTATAGTCACTTCACCATGTCCATATTTTTACTCCCTTTTTAACCAGAACAGAATGACAGTAATGATGGCTCTGTTCTAGACATGGCTTGACTTATAAATTTTAAATTTACCCTTCCTTTTCTCGTCTAATTATATTAAGTTAGACAATATCTTTTGTCCGAACTTTAAGACGACCAAACCTTGAAAACCCTTTGAAACTCTAAACATAAAAGCTATAGGGGTGTTGAGTAACGAGGCATGGGCTGGTATGGTCTTAGGCGCTAGCATTGGTGGGCCCTGTTTACTCATTGTATTTTACTGTCTGTGTGTTATATATATCATACCTTACTTGAGAAGTGTACCTAGAAGGACCAGAGAACAATGGCCAGTAGCTTTAGCTGCACTTAATTTAGACAGAGGTGACCTGCAGTCACAAATCTAGGGAATCTTTTAAGCAGTATAGAGAATCAACATAAGAGACTGTGCAGTAGAATCATAAAACTTCCGTATTGATAACTATGTTAAGATAAAATCATACTTTCCCTGATCTTCCTCTAATTAACATAATTTTTACAATCACAATAATTCAAACTGTACAAGAACCATATTTAAAATGTGCACAAAGAAATCAACATGGAATTTTATCTTTTAATGATTTATATGATTCATTCGTAGTATCGAGAACGTTATCCTTTTTTACTGATTTTATTTTGAAATGTGAGAACCATCTGTAGTTAGACAAAGGGAAATTGGCTAGTGGCTTTGTCTCTTATTAGTGTAGATAAAGGCGACAAAGAGTCGTATCTCTAGGACAATCTTTCAAATCTTGAAAGTCGAACAGTAGAACAAGAACAATCAGGAAACACTGAGACTCGTTCCTCGAAACTAATTGTTATAAGGACCCGCATTCTCTCAACATATTATCTGAACCTACGGAATATCTGTTCATTGACTGTTATTTAGACATCCTTCAGAGCTATCGTTTCAAATAAGGAAACCAAGTGCAGGCATAAGCTTCCAAAATGACTAAGATGGGAAATGGCACAGGTGCAGTTATCGGCATTGTTATTTTTATTGTACTATTCTTTTGGATATTCGTGCATTTCTCCAACCGTAGGCAACATGCAGCACGGGCTGTAATTGCGCGCGAGGAAGAATTTTATGATCCTAATCGTCATCCTCGGAGTGTTGAGCTGCGAACTTTACCACCGGCGTATTTTCCGTGAGCCTGTTCTGAGCGGCAGGACTTTGAAACTAATCAGCGGAGAAAGAAACATTGATTATAGTTCTGTCTGCGTTGTACTAATTTCAACTGCTCGGGTTTGGCGTACTATTATTATGGATGCCTTGAAAATTGAAATATCTCTCTAGAGAGACAAGTGAACCTTAGCCAATATCTTATCTGTTCTCAATGTGGACACACAGAAGATGAAGAGTGAATCGGTATGGTGATATTTCACCTCAACAAGAGAAACAATACAGTAAGATAAGAACAACCAGTTTAACCCCACTACGCTATCCTAGAAAACGCTTGTCACAACATTCCATAGTACATAAAGCTCATCCTTTACAACTTAACAAATACCTATTTCTTGACCATCATTCAGACACCACTCAAACGATCAGTCTCAAGAAGAAATATAACCACGATCACGATGTCCCAAAACGAACAAATCCCCGAAACCGATAACGTGGGAAAGACTATGAGACTTCATACGGGTCTAGCGTTCGGATCTATTGTTTTTGCACTTCTAGTAATCATATTCGTTACATTCAGCTGCATGAAACCGAGGCGCAGGAAACCTGCAGTACCAGCTGCTCATGTACACGACGATTGGCAAGCACCTCATGGCCCTGATCGTGATGCTGAAAGGATTGAGCTACAGAAACTACCACCGGCTTATTACCCGTAAGCCAATTCTGAGGAGCTGGGTTTTGGGCACGAAAAATTGGATAACAAAGAATATCTTGGGCAATCGGTCTTGGGGCATCCAGGGACGACGAACCACATTGCTAATCTTATCATCACAGGCGATACCCTAGACAAACAAGCCACGTCCTGGTATATAATCAATAAAAATCTAAAAGCCCACTTCAGTGCAATTATTAAACTATGATTGAACTATTTAATTATGATCTGTTTCACAAATACAAACTCTAAATCAGGAAAAAGCTTCAACGCCAGCCAGTTTCCAGTAGATAACACAACCTCGCCTTTTCAATACTTTGAACTAACAGTCATACTGATGGCATATCCTGTGACATGAGACAGCGACTGTGCTGTAATATTTTGTAGTATTGCGCTCTCGTAACGTCGCCCCAAAACCGCAAGAGACATAGAGCTAGCTAATATTTAACTCTCTTTTATGATGTCCTCCTGATCCAAGTCCTGTCTTTATCCTCTTCATATCAAAAGGAGTTTTATAACCAGAACAGGTGAAAAAACAATACTGAATAACCAGAACACAACAAACTTTTAGCACTGGTGGGTAGGTAACGCTCCCTACTGATACACATTTTCCCTCCAACCATACTCTCGTATATCCCCATGGTCCAACCCTAATTACTACCGAAAGTTAGCCTATCCAAAAGATAAAGACGATAGTAATGTCGCATAGTATGAAGGACATTATTGCATTGACCTTTCGCGATTCAACTACTTTCGTGGGGAGTGTGTTCGTCATTTCACTGCTGTGTTATTGTATCGCCAAGATCAGTGGTAGTTTGAGAGATATCTGGAGGCGTAGACATGCCAGGATAATTGCTGAGAGGGTCACTGCCACCAGTAGAGATTTGGAATTAGCAACTCTTCACCCTTAGTTACAGTTTTCCAAATACAAGCGAGTCTTCTCCTAAGTGAGGTACTGTCCAAAATCGAGGATTCACACCGGAAGTCTGTTCTACCAGAAGGGAGGGAAACACCGCGCATTCACCAGAACACCCAAAAGAATTCAAGCTACGCCCCTCATAATTAAGCAAATCTTCATCCAACCATAATCCCACAACGACCAAGGTCCCTCCATAATTCCAAACTACGAAGTAAAAACGACTCCAGTCTCACAACAACTACAAATCGAAATGGTATCCCTCTATAGCGTCAACTTCTGGCTCGGAATTGGATTTGCTCTCCTCGTGGTTCCGATTGTTGTTGTTATCCTAATCTACAGCTGCTGCAGTGGCTGTAGTCTCGGTAGTTTTTTTTTTTTGTTGTAGACGACGAAGACCTATGGGGAGAGATGCAGCTGTCAACGGAGATTTGGAATTGGCGACTCGTCAACCTTAGTTGCTGTTTTTCAAATCCTAGACATGTTTTCTGAGACTCAGATGAATGTGGATTCACTCGGAAGATGAACTGTTCTGATATATCGAGAAGTGAACGACTGAAGAGAATTTTGGAAGTCTTCAGCTCACTATAAATACCCTCTCATCTTTCCAACCATTACGTCTCAACTATTACACCACTCCAGACATACTCTCTCAACCACACCATCTCAGTTCTACAACCTTCTAAGTCCAAAATCAAACACAACTTCATCACGTTGTCAAAACTCAATCCGCAATCCATCATGACGTGGTTTGAGACTTTCGACAAGGCCTTGGATATTATCGAGACTGGTACAATGTTTGTTTTAGTCATCACCAGTATGACGCTCGTTGTCCTTCAATACATCGTCGATGAAAAGAAAGCCAAGAACCAGCAAAAACGTGCTGCTATAGCTGATGCGGCTGCAAAAGCGGCCGAAGAGAGACGATTGAGGGGTGAGGAGGATGGTGGGTTGTAATCTTCCAGGGCTTACTTGGGCGGGAGACTTCGCAACACGCATCCTTACGAGAAATATTGAAGAGCCAAATTTCAGCTTCTCGCATTCATCTTGAAACCCAGAATCGAGAAGGCATCACAAACAATCTATCCTAAGTCTTACCGCAAATCGATCACCGCCTAAATCACCTAAATCACCAATACCCAACCACTCCACTCATCCACAAAAGAGTATGCCACAGCAAACATCAGCTATTCAATCGCACTTCCTCAAGTACTACGTCATCCCAAGAAAAGCCCAAACAAAGCCAACAAGAAATAAAGAAAGGAGGAAACCACTAGACCTGCTGGCCAACCAGAGAAGCGACACAATGTGAATCTACTCGGTTATAGTCATAGTCGTGTCTGAACAAATTACCTCTCAGTAAACAAACTCTTCATAATGAAGTCCTTTTCAGGAGATTCCCCAACTCAGTGACACGAATCGTAAGTTCAAGACAACTTGAGGATCTATCGCTCGCGACCAGACCTCTACCCGTGTGTCTAAATATATGAGCATCAACACGCTAGTTAATAATTTACTAGTCATCCAATATAGTGATAGGTTGTCCCAAAGGACAATCAAACATTTCTTCAATAAGCTCGCTTGCGTATTTATCATCCCGTTGACTACCTATTGGCACTCGTGACTTTAGTATTGCTGCTGAACGTGTAAATCTTTGGACCTCAACCGGTACGCCCGAGGATCCCGAGTAGTTTTCACCGTAATCAATGATATTGTATTTAAGGGGTTTGAGCTGTTAGCAGAGTTTGGAAGCTACTGCGGGGACTAATCTTACCTGCTATTTTGCGAGCCTTGAACGATAGGAGTATAGCATCATGTCCGGCTTCTTGAAGTCATTGAAACACATTGCCACGCTTGACGCAAATTGAATCTCTTCAGTCGTCGTATTTTGCTCTTTGGACCAGACCAGGCGCAAATCTCTCACACGGTTTGTCCACCTGCTCTTGCCCATCATTTCAACGTCGAATTCAGGATATAATTTGAAGAGACCGAAGCCTTTCAGACTTTTCAAAGACGCCATACTCGATCGACCTGCAATGTTCACAGTTCCCTGGGAAAAGTATTCTCCGTTGTGGTATCTCGTGTCATCCCGGCGGAGTTGGAATAAGTTTTTTTCCCTTCCCTCAAGGTTTTCAATTTCTTGCTGATATGCTGTAATAAGCGATAGATCCTGTACGAATTGACCTCGTGGAAACTTCATGGTATCTATCGCGCAGATCCTGATATCCTCTGGGTTACTCTTAAACGTGTCACGCCTCCAGATTGCGTACTGAATCGCGAAAAGTAAAGAACTTGTCCAGGACATTAGATTATCAGAGGCTGCCCCGGAGCCCCAACAAGATTTGGTCAAATGTGCGTGCAATATGCTCGTTGCTTGGTTCTTTGGAAGAGAAAGAAGATCAATTCTGCTGTCCTGTAATGACATGACGGCCATCGTCGAAGCTATTACGCAGTCATCGTTTCTCCCAGAACTCTTTTGGTCAAACGTCCGGAATAGATACCGTGGAGTAGCTGTTGTTTCAAATTCCCAAATCTTGGTATTGGAGCTTGCTCGGGGGTAGAAAAGCGTTGGTCCACTGGGGCAATTATCCAGGACCGCAACCCAAAACTCAACCCAGCTCTGCTCTTGTCTCGCAGCCCTCTCTGCTCTTTCTTCATTTTGATCATGGAATTCCCGGGCGTAATCTTCGTCGACGTTAAGAAGGTTTTCGTGCTCATAGTACTCTGCAGGCTCGTATTCGAGATCATATGGCCATTCAAAAGCAGCCTCTCGATGCTTATCGAAGTAGTCTCCTGGATTCAACATGCCAGGACAGTTGGTGGCTTGATTGTAACATTCCTCTGCAATCTTCCAAAGAACTTGCGTCTCATCTTTTGAGTGGTCTAAAACATATCGAGAAATATCTTTTAATTCCACAACGAAGTGCGATAAGAGATCCTGGAGGAAAGACTTCTCACTAACCCAGGCAGCACTTCGACTTCCAAGGGAGACAAGATAAGCAAAGAGACAATCTTGCGCGGCGTCCTTGAAGTTATCCGCTGTCTCGCTGAGAATGCGAATTTCTTCTGCAAGTCCTGTGACCTTTTTATAACCTGAGTATAAATCGTTGATATATAGACTATCGACGATATTTGTAGAATCTGCCAGAGAGCGAGCTCTTCGCTCCTGAGAAGCAACAAATTTGGTAGATGATTCAAGTAAAGTAATTGAAGCTTGAATAACTAAGGCTGGATTATCAGAAGTCTGGTCGTCGGCCTCCGATGTCGTATCCGTGATTTCCAAACTGTTTACGGAGTTCGTAAGAGCAACAATATTGTCTGTCATCACGGTTGTAGATCCTGTCGATTGTGATAAGAGCGTTTGTATTGAAAGACACCTAAGAATCACAAATGTTGGATTTCAAGGTCAAGTGCGGGGTTGGTTTCCTGTGGGCTGACAGCGTTTGCTGTAGATACAGTTGGTATGCAAGTTCCTAGGCACGCAAGCTAAACCTACACTTCGTGGACCTGCGCAGGCTGCGGTACTTCGTGATAGGTTTTGCCTAGGAATTGAACTCTTTTAGAGTCTATACCTATAAGTGTCGGTTCATTAGAAATAAGGTTCTATTGCGTGCACGGCACGGTAATTCGTCGATATGCGGGCACAATATTGGGTATAATTCGTGATAATTAAGGAAGAGTACTAAACAACCCTAAAGGGCTAACCGTAATTGAAAGCTCGTAAGCTCGCTTTAGTACCCTCTGTATTTGGCAAGGTATTTTAGGTAGAATTGTGAAAACTTAACATTTTACAATTCTCAAGGGTGAAATCGAAAGAATGTCTCCTAGTTTTTCTATTATGGCAATTTCTCGAGAGTACCAGATTTGAGATATGTTATCTCTGAACATCACTAGCTTAACGAAGCAGACTCGCGTGTCTTTAATTTAGTCTTCTATTTTAATATACATCGAACAGAGCATCTAATCTATTACACCAACAGAAAGATAAAACCAAAAATATCCAACCCCATCCACCACTGGCCATCCCCTCACAGCACATCCTAAACACCCAACTCACCCTCCCTCCTCCCCCTCCTAACCTCCCAATCCTCCTCCTCGCCCCTCCCAAACTCCCCGGGCAAGCGCACAGCCCTATCAAGCGCAACCGGCAGTCCCCTATGCCGTCCCCTCAACATCACAATGATCAGAATAAACTTACTCGCGCGTCTCCATCCACCGCTAAAACTATACGCTTGGTCTGGCAGGCCCGTGGAGATGCCGACGCAGCCGTAGGCCGAGACGACTTCGAACATGATGTTGAAGACGGAGTAGGTGATGGGGTCGCGAGCGAAATTGGGCGTCTCGAGGATGACGATCAGGAGGATGGAGACGATGAGGAGCCAGATGTCGTGGGCTAGTTGGGAGCGGATTTGTTGGTTGATGAATCTACACACAGGAATGTTAGATGATGTAATTCTAGGGGGGGGGAGGGGACGTACTGTTGAGCGCCGACGCCGACGCCATGGGATGGGTTGACGGAGTTTGTGAGGGTGCGTTTGAGTTTGGAGTAGGTGCCTTCTTTTTCGAGGGGTGGGTCGTCGGCGTAGATTCCGAGACTGCGTTCTTCGTAGACGTTGGAGTGGCGCATGGTTATTACGACGGGGTAGACGGAGATGTACATCATTACTACGTAGAGGAATTGGAGGCCGATGCGGAGGGAGGGGATGGCGATGACCTTGCGTTCTTGTCAGCTAATAAACTCCAAAAGAAGTAAGAGGGTTGACTGACGTAGAATCCACCAGATCGGACAGCGAATGCCTGAAATAACCCATCTAGAACACGAAATTGTTTTGGGATATCCTCGACGGCTGCATTGCCGATGTTAAGGACTTCGAAGGCGACCCAGTCTATACCGTTAAGACAGACCACCATGAAAAGCAGCCACCATGTTGGCGTTGAGGGGAAGAGGTTTGTATATACACGACGAGGATAGCGGAGAATGAAGCGGAGTGTTGCTTTTGTTTCAGGGTGTTGCGATTCCAGTGGATAGAATAGGTTCATGATTTTGAGCCCGCTCCAGATGATCAGGCGGAGGAAGAGTGGATAGCTGGACTTTGTCAGTACGCACCGACGGTAATGGAGTATATCACAGTGAGCTTACGCTGTGTTTCCTGCTAGAATCATAAGAGACATTGTGAGGAGTGTGTATACAGAGTTTTTGAAGGGGATCTATGTCACGTTTAGTAAGTATTTAACGACCAGTAACCGACATGGAAAAAGAGATTTAAGAGAGATATTAAAATATTGAGGGTCATGCTTTTGATGGGGAAAACTCACCATATTAGCATCCAACAACGACATCCCCGAATTATTAAAAGCAGATGCACCATTGAAAATTCCCAACCACCTAACGAAGCCTGTTAGTTCCGTTTTCAAATTACCAACTTCATCACATACCAAGGATTAATCCCATTCATCTCCGCAACACTCGCTTTATTATGAGCCATATAAGCGCCCAACCCAACACAACCCAAAAGCTGCCACATCACAAAATAAATCGGCACGATATAAGCCAGTAGCGTAATAGCTCTATACTCAACCCCACCCAAATGTTCTCTCTCATCTCTCGATAACCCATGAAACTGGCTGTTTCTCCCCGTAACAGTTTTCGTAAGGTACGACGGATAATGCAAGTCATGTAGACTCTGCTGCCCAGTCGTCGCCGTATTCGACCGTCCCCTCTGCGTAATCCCACCCCTCGAATGCGGAAGCCGATAAGAAGTCGAACTGGCATTTGGATGCTCGCCTACACCCACGAAATTAATAACGCGAGTATTACTCAACGCCGGCGATGTAGGCGCAAGACGCAAAGTCGGGCCAGTAGTTGTAACAATACTGCCCCTCCGATCCCTCACCCCCTCATCAACAACCGTAGTCACGCTCCCCCTCCGATCATGCACACCCTCATCCACAACATCCTGCCCCCCAACCTTTACCATCTCATCCGTCTCCTCACTCTCCCTCACCGCCCCCAGCCCCGACTGATTCCCAGCCGGCGTCTCAAAAAGCCCATTCGTCGGGTCCCTGGGCCCAGAATGACGACTCTCAAAATCACTTTTCACAACCGGTTCCTCGGTCTTCCTCTGACTATTCAAACGCTCAATCACAGGTACCTCGCGCATTTGACTCATGCTCCTCCTCCTCAGTCTCCTCGCTTCGCGCTGCGCTTTCACCACATAATCAAAGCGTTTCTCAAACACGCGTTTACGTGTTAGCACCGTAGAAATAGAAACGAAAATCGCGCTCCCAATTACAATGAGAATCCAGAGGAGAACCTGTTGGAAAGTCGTCATTTGAGATAAGTTTACGGTGTTGAGACCTGCTTCAGTCATAGCCGAGACGACGAGGAAGAGGGAGTCGAGGTAGCTGATTGAGTGGGTTGGGTTGGAGGATCCCCAGAAGATGAGGGAGAAGATGAGACATGTGGTGATGAAGTAGGCGTAGTGGATTGTGATGAAATTGAGTGGTGGGAGGTATTTCTGGATGTTTTTGGTTCTGTCGTCTTCGAAGAAGGCGTTTGTTTTTTGTCGGAGACGGGTGGTGAGGGTCTTTGGGGACATGGTGGCGATTTGATTGGCTTTCCTGAGAAAGTCTAAGAGTTTCTGATGGAGTAAATCTGAATATATCGAAAGTGGTAGATTCGTGAATAATATCCAAAATCGTGACTGTTGATTTCGTTCCGTCGATTCGAATCCTCTCTCAAATCCTCAACCCTGTCAGGGGCGACAACGATGAAGCTTTCTTGGCGCGACTTAGCTTCCGCACCGGGAATATACCGGTCAACCTCGACCAAACCTCACCTCGATTCTCCCATCTTCATCATCATCTTCATCTACGCGACGTTTATCGATAGAAAAAAACCAAGAGAACAGACGAGGACTCGGGTGCAGACGTGAGCGCTTATCAAAGGGAATTGACAACAGATCTCCAATGTGGGGCACAGCCACAAAGCATCATCAAAGCCTGTTTGTTGGATGAGGATTGACCTAAGCGAGGTTGGAGCCGGCGCGTCTCAAAATAAAGAATATCGTGAGAACGGCGCGGAATTTCACGTAGATGGCTATGCTTGTTTTATTTTTGAAGGCGTAGGGTATTTTGGGAGGGGAATATGGGGTTTGAGAGGTGGGTTTGGAGGGGATGATGTTTGGGGCTTTTGGGTGAGTTGGCTTTTTGGCTCATCTTTAAAGAAGAACATATAGCAACGACATTCAGTTACTGGAAGTATACTTGATCGATATTGCTACCTTACAGACGTGTCGATCTCCCAAGATCAAGATCTCAAGCTCTTAATACCCAATGTATAGTATATCTGAAAATATAGTGTATCTTTTCACTTCTCAATTCCTCACTCCCAACCACCCCTCACAAATTAAACCCCTTCACCTTCACTGTTCCTTTAAAATCCGAATTACAGGAGCTAAAATATATTCGTAACTTCCTAAACACCCCAGTATCTAGAACTTCTATATCTCTATCTATAAACTCAAATAACCACAAATCCCATCCAGAAAAGCCACCCACTCAAGCGGTATATAAAAGATAAGACAGACCCTCCCATCCAAACCCACACATCCCCTAATATAAAACCCCAAACAACTTCCCTCCCTCCCTCCAATCTAGACATCCCGATCCCCTTGCATGTCAAACTCAAACTCAAATAACCACACCCCACCCACTTAAATCCACGCACACAAAAGGCTTCTGCAGCCCGTCAAATATCTGTCCGCAAACTCACTTTCAATTCCGTGATTCGGGCGTCATATTCCCCGTTCCCACCAGGATAAACAAGACCAACGTCCCAGAGTTTCTCGGTGGGGAAGATGGAGAGGTATTCTTGCGTCGTATCTACACTTAACATCAGCATTTTCGTTAGAAATAGGTGAAAACGGGGAGCTTACCCTCATCCAACAACCCCCTCAAAAACAAATCCATTCTATCCCTCCCGGTCTCATCCCTCCCGGATTTAGCAAAAACCTCCATCACAGCCGCTACGAAGAGTTTGTAGTCCTCCAAGTCCCCGTCGAATACGTCTATGAAATCGTAGACGCGTTTGGAAGCGACGTGCTCGAGGAAGGAGAGGTAGTAGGGACAGAAATAGGAGGTCCAGATTTCGGGGGAGGGGAAGGAGGATGTGCTGATGGAGCGGTTCGGTGAGCTAGGGTTATTTGGGGCGAGGGAATGCAGATAGTCGATGTTGAGGTTGATGAAATCCCAGTCAAACAACGAGACTAGACGGGTTAGGAGGAGGTTTAGGTGCGTGCGTGTTAGGTTGGAGGTTATGAGTGGATATGAAGGGGATGGTGTGATTGCTGGAGAAGTTGAAGTTGTAGGTGGTGTTGTCCATGGGTTTGAAGCGGATGCCTGCTGTGATGGTGATTTTGATGGAGATGGAGATGCCTCTTCACCCGCTCCATTTCGTCCGCACCCCCCATCCCCCAAAACAGATCTCGGAACCCATGATTTTGTCGGTATCTGCAGAGAAGTCGTACTCGAACTACTCTCCGAAGAACCAGAACCAGATCCTATACTCTGTCCCCAAAGAGAATCTGGTATAGTCGATGAATTCGACCAAAGCGATGGCGTAGCTGGGAAGTAACGAGGCGCTATGCTTGTCGCGCCGGCCCAGACACTTTTCCTCAGATTGGTGAGTTGTTGTACTTTGGGCTTCGAAGCAGGTGTCTGAACAGGTGTAGGTGATGATACACTCCCAATCCAACTCAAATCCATCAACGCCCTCTTCCCCCACGCTTTCAAAGTTTTCTCTCCTTCACCCTTTCCATCCCTCACCCCGACCCTCCTATCTCCCCCAACCCTCCCATTCCCCTTCTTTCCCTCCCCACCCAAACCCCTCCTTTCCCAACCCTCTTCCCTAAGGGACGGACTAGCAGGAACCCCAGCCCCCAAAGAAACATTCATCGGTCTCCGAAACGCACCCCCCAAATCGATTTCCCCCCCCTTCCCATCTCCATTCCCCTGATCAAAACTCTGTAGCCACGCTGCAAGCGGCATGTCATCTTCTTCACCTCCATTATCATCGGTGAAATCCATTTGCGGCATCGGATTCTGGAACATCGTTTCTCTGACTGTGCGTCTGAGCGTGCGTCTGTGGTTGTCGTTGCGTTGTGTATGTGTATGGCGTATGTGTATGTATGGATATGTGGATGGTGTATGTATCTGCTCGTCGCCTCTGCTAATATTCTCCGTATGCACAACGATTCACTCACCCTCAAATCGAATCCTGAAGCCTATTCCCCTCAAATCTTAGACTCGGTAGCAAATGCAGATGTCGAAGAACTCAGACCCTCGAGACTGGCGCAGATTTATCTCCCTCGCCAAACGAGGCCAGATGATTCATCTTGCCCCAAAAAATGTTATAGGGGAGGTGAGTCGAACATTTTGGTGATTCGGGGTGAAGGGAGGAAGATGATTAAGGTGTGAGGGATTGTGCTGTGAGGGTTAATGGGAGTGATGGGTTGATTCATGTGGAAGGACTTTTGTAAGATGGCGGGGATTGGAGAGACGTACTTGAATATTGTACCAAAGTAGATAGTATGATAATCCGAGGCAGGGACATCAATCACAACAAGGTAGGCTTACCAAAGAATAATAATTACCTGGACCTGAAGACATCACTCACAGCACACCAGAGACATGTTGTTGTTTGTAACGGGCTTGATTCCCTCATCCTCGCTAATCACGCCCTCCTATTCACTTTTGAAATCCTCTATCCTATACGCACTCCCTCCCAGGCCATCCTATCCAGACACAACCGAATCATCCCCCATAAATTCATATACCCATCCACGGACGACCCAAACAAAACACCCACTGATGCATCCCATCCATCCAGCCATCCAATCCCACCTCCTAATATTGACGCTTTACAAATTAAAGCAAAAGATTTCTTTCCACCATATATGTAAAATCATGGCCCCTAACCGAAAACGCCAGCTGTCTTCCCATTTCCTAGGATATGAACCAGCCAATTATGAATAGTACTGTAACTCCTTTAAGACGCCCCGTTGGATTCGTGACAAAATGAATTCCCAAAATGATGTAAATGCGACCGTGTAATGCATATAGGTACAAGCTACCTGGATGGCAGCAACAAAAGAGATGGTATAGATAGAGAGTGTTCTCGAATATATGGCGTAGCCGACAAATGGACTATAGAGCGAGAGTTTGTGGGATCGTTCCGGTGTGTGGTTGCTGTGTCACCTTTGAGGCCATATGCAGAAGGTATATGATATGATGTGTTTGTCATATAGTATGTATATTGCGGTCCTCCAGGTTCAATGCGGCTCGGCGCTTTATTTCGCTCGAGACGGTGCCTTTGATAGCAATATAATCCACAATAATGATGGATTGACTCGGCCCTAGTGTCGTCGAAATAATTCGACAGTTGATTGATGTAAGTTGATTGTTTCAACCTTTCAATGTCCACGTTGAGATGGATCTCTTGGCGGGTTGTAACCTCCACGGCCATTCTCTCCTCGTGCATTGACCCATTCCTGCGCACCACTTTGTCGTCCAGCAGGTTGTTCAATAGGCGCCTTGTGGTCTTCGTTGTGTTGTCGTGGTCGAGATGTCATCGATTGCTGTTCACCTGGTCGAATACCCGACACAACCTGTTGGGTGATTGATGAGATGACATATCCTCGGAGTTCCTTGTCCTCTCTGGCATCCTCCTTTTCGAGTTGGAATCGTTGATCCTTGGGCATATTCGATCGTCGTAAATTTCGAATCTCGTTCATAATGTACAGCATAACCTCCTCAGGACATCGTGTTCGTTCCAACGCCTGCTCGGCCTTTCGAACATATCGTCGAGTGACGTCTGTTGCACCATCCATAGAGAATGCGACACAATATGTCATCTTCTTTCCCCATCCGTCGGCGTATAATCTTGGGTTATCCCACGCTTCTTCACAGGCATCGACATGAATCCAGCGCTTCTGCATTTCAGAATACACCTCCGTCCAGACGTGATCTTCTGCATTCCATACCCATCGTACTCGTCCTCCTACAGCGCGACACAACATGCTAAAGACGTTGGCCCATTCTCCGCAGCGGCCTTGGCGAGTTTGTAATAAGCGCCAAACATCCGCGTATCGTGGAAACCTTTCATAAGCGCCGCAATTCTGTCCAGAACATCTATATAATTCGACTCGAAGAGCTCCGTATGCTGACTCTTCTGGTGTTGGTGGTGTCATGCCTTGGGCGATGGTTGGTGATAGGCATACCGAGCATGGAGGATTGTTCACCCAAGCGAAAAATGACCGCTTGAACCATCTAAACTGAGTCAAAAATGGCTCTCAGCAATTGAAGAGAGATACATACCTTAATAATGCGCGGATAACGCAATCCTGGTATCCCCATTCTGGCTGTCTTCCATCGCCCATACTCTCAGCCTGTGCCTGAAGCACCTGACTTTCCTCTTCGGCCTCGCCATAAATTCTATCGAGAGGAATAACCTGTAATGCTTCGTCGAGTAATCCAGGGTTCTCGTATTTTGTTGGTGTAAGTGATAATGTGATTAGTAGATTTCGGAACTTCTGCGATGCTGTGTCCGCTGGAGGTGAAGGGACTTTTGGCTGGCTTCGTAACGACGCATATGATGGAGGAGTCGCCGAGAATGCTGGTGCCGGACTTGGACCGGATGAAGTCGTCGGTCGATAGCTTTGCGAGTCCTTTGTTGATGAAGAAGATGCGTGGGCTCGTAGGTTCGCAGACGAGGTACGTTCTCTTGGTGACGGAGAAGTTGTCCGTGATCGTGTATCGAGTTCATTCAGTCGTCTCGTCCGTAATAACCCCTCGAATTGCTGTGTAAGTCCCTTTGCCCAATGCTCGTCGTATTGTCCGTTCTGCGACGAGCCGTTTCCACTTGATCGGTCCATGTTGTCGAATGTGAGGAGGATGTCGAGGGTGCGGGTTTCTCCAATGTCGACCACTTCTGCTTCTCCCAGCTGACACCTCTCTTCTCGTCCGTCGGTGGTTGCTGTCGTCGTGCCTGGCTTCAGCTCGATTTGCCGGGGAGGGAGGCCGGAATTGAAGGTTGTAGAGTCGTTGGTGTGGTCGACTGCTCGTGGCATGGAGTGAAGGTTCAGGTGGATGGGTCGGCCCCAGGTAGAGAACTGGTCGTCGGCCGTAAGTGCACAGCCCGACCCAGTCGTCGCAATCGCCACCCTTCGCTTGTGAAATTAGGCTGGTCGCAACTACTCGCAAGGCACCGAAATAGAATGGTGGGAGGATGAGTTCAACAGGACCATAAAGATTAGACAATAGAGAGAAATAGGAGTGACTAGAAGAATAGCATTAATCGTCAATGCAGACTCCAGAATCATAAAAGTGCAATGTGGTGAGATGATATTCTCTGCTGGGGCAATTTACGGGACTAGATTGCGTTGCGTTGCGTGTCTTGGGGGAGTTGCGTCGCCCGTTTCTCTGGCCCGTCGCCTGCGTGGATGATTTTCGCGTGCGAAGGGTTGATGGGTTTCTGGTGCCGGTGGACGCGTGGAGTCAACGGGCGAGCAGAGATAGAGTTCACGGTAGCACAAGCGCGGTGGATTAGATTAGATCTTGATGCATATTTTGACATTTGATCCCTAGCCTCGTTCATAGCATCTCATCCTCCTCCAAATTGATTATTCTACTCTTCCTCCCCTCCTATTCTATGCTTCTTGACTGCTTCGTACTGCATTTCCACTTCCGTCCAGCAGCAGCCAGTGCAGAGTGCAGCGGAAGCGGGATGATGACTTACGTTTTGGCCGAGTCGTGATTCGCTCACTGCATCGCCTTGCCCCGAGCTGACGACGACTTTCTCAGACAATCAGAGCCGCCATTTCCTCGCACTGATTGGCGCAATGGAGGCCAAGAGCTGGATAATGGGACTAACAAGGGATCGATTGACGCTTCTGCCAACGAGCGTTCGATGTTTGCTTTCGGCTGCCGCGATGATGGACGCAGACAAGTCAGAAGATGGAGATGTTCTCTTGGCAACAATGTACGGATTTACACATCTATTCCTTGATCAGGTGATTATTCTACCCATCAAGATCTTCAATGATTTGAGATTTTTGAGTGGGACTTCTTGTATGGGGACAGAGCTTCATCGTATTATACGGGCAACTCAATTTATATTGCGGCTCCGCAGGTTATGCGATCAAGTACGCAGTACAGATGAACCATATCATATAGAGAGTAAAGCAAGGTGAGAGAATTCCGCTTTCAACTTCAAAAAAAGAAAGCACTAGAACACAAGCTTGTCTACCTGTAGAGTCCAAGATATGTCTTGTCTGTGCTGGGCATGTTCTACAGTCCCTTTTCTCTCTCTCTGCACGAGTAGTCCCACAACTAGAAAGTTGAACTCGACGAGGATATTTATCACCACGTGACTCGATCTCTCCGCCCAGCGCATCCGTCAAAGCTTGGGACGCTTGAATCTGCGACATCCTCGACCCCACAATCTGAAACTCCCATGAGCCTCAACGCACACGAATCCACCACCGTTCTGGTCCAGAGGAAACAACCAACGAACTCGGAAATCATCAATCCGACGAAAATATGAAATAAGCATCGTGCCCAGTCTATGCTTCCAGGTTCCAGATCCTCATCCAAGCTTTTTCTCCCTTTACCAATTTCTCAAATTCAACTCCAACCCAAAATTTGCCTCTCACAGGCAACTTATCGCTACGCACGCAAAGGATGATTGTCAGACGCGGTTATCTCGTGGCGATGGAACACGCAATCTCGAATTATTAAGTTACTTCACGTCCGAAATTGAGTTTGCCTCTCCCGTCTACGATACATCATTCGACGACAGCTGGTTGACTGTGAAGTTCTTCCAACGTCATGATCAATAGACCCACCCTGGAACACCTTTAGTTGCTTCCCCCTCGATGGCCACGCAATAAAGGAATATCTGTCAGCGAGGTGCAATACGTTACAACGTACTCGCTAGATACGGTCGGAGTTAACTTTCGGATTACTTCAAGCTATTCATATCCAATTCCATGGAGCTGCGTTCTAGCACGGTCCAAAGGTTTGGTATCGAGTTCATCCCTACTCGTACAACTTCCTTACAGCCATCAACATGATACAATGTTCCACAGCATAAAGAAATGTAACTCTACGACCTTCCGATTCGAGACTCGCTCTCATCAATTTTTTATCTCTCTGGATTCTGAAAATTCTCTTGAAGAGGACGCGTACCCCCAGTCTTGGCAGTGGACCCTAATCAAAGGCCGCGTGCAATCTTGACTGGCGAGAACGCTTAAGCGAATATCAAGCAACGACTATTCAACAACTATTGGAAACTCGCTGCAGATAATACTATAGATGCTTTTGGCTAATAAACACTCAGGATTGCAGTTCATGAAGATGTGGTCTGTATTTTGTTGGGGATGTGAAAATGGCGGAAGGATAGTTTGGACAAGTTGGATGTTGCTGGGTCTAGATCCGATAAGTTGGCCATCACTTCAAATTTTCCATCGAGTGGAATGTGACAACCCCGTTTCCGTTACCTCATTGTCATCAGGACTATTTCCATCTTCCGATACGATTCGTCTAAAGCAGAACCTACCAGCTTCAACTCACATGAGTGGGACAAGATGGATCGTTGTCCCTCCCCTCCAGCGGGGACAACACACCATCTTTCCGCTCTACGGACTCGGATTCGTAACGGTATTTATCTTATTGGAATGCAAGAACTAATGTCGTACGCCGCATCCATCGACGTCCTGCCGTCTTTTCACCGCCTGACACTGGCGTCCGACTCTGGTTCAGCATACGTCGCCCTCTCCGAACAGTTTTCTACATAGAGCAAGTCAAACGAATAATCCAAGGAGTCTAGATCTTTCGTCGCTCGATAGAGGCAAGTAGCTGATTTGGGGATCACCCTCTTCACTGGTTGGAGGCCCGAGTCGACTCGACGTCTTCTACGAATGTCACATTCAACATACTTCTCGGCCGGCGTGATGAGGAGTGTCTCAATTGTTGCGTACCCCTCGCATAACCTTACCTTGGTGCCTATCGAGTTCAACGAGCGTACGTAGCAGACACATCAGAAAATCCTCATACGTACAGTAAGTCGCCGACAGACAAACCGTTCTTTGTCGGCGTCACCTCTGCGTACATCACTTCGACGGAATAGGGTAAGGACATTGGTAAGACCGTGTCATCTCATTTGTCATATCAGCAAGCGATATTATTTTGAGTAATCGCATATTCGAAGTACGTCGCTGATTTGTGAAAAGAAAACGACTTCTCTCATCGGATGGGGTGCTAATCCGAGGTTAACAGAAGGCTACCTAGACACGAACCTCAATGATACAACATCTTTTCTTATTCAAGGTGGCAAATTTTTCAACACGTCTTGGGGTATAGGCTGACCACTCTCTTATCAAATGTAAGATTGAAAGGAAAATTTTCAGTCACTTTTCTCCAGAGTGTACACCCACCGGCGCACGAAAGAACAACTCTACTTTGCACTATCCTAAAAAGATACATAGACAGGATTTTTACATTCTATCATAACTGGTTTCAAACTTACCACCTCGTAATGGCCAAATCAACGTACTTTCATTATTCTGTATTAGATTTGCGGAGGACTTGAAATATTCAAATATCGTACACAGGATTTGAAAATGTCACTTGCTTTGGCTGGAAGATTTTCCGGCGGCTATTCTTCCATTTCAGATACCAGAGTCCTAAGAAGAGCTGAGTCTTATGGTCTTTTTTGTTGGAGGATTGGATATGTCAAAATTAGTAAAGAAACATATTTGATTGTGACGATGTGAAACGGGGTGTAAAGGTTTGTGTTTTTGCTATGCCAACCTTCCACAATTTATAGGCAAAAGCTTCTTACCGCCCATTTCACAAGAGTGATCGTTAAAACAACATCTCACAAACTTAAGCCGCCCAAACAGTAATCAGTCCAAGTCAAATCATCCGAAGAGAAGTAACCTGCCGATTCGAGGCGGGTCACGTGATACGATGTCGACCCTTGCTCACTATCATTATTTCGCGAAGCCTCATGGATCATCCGAAGTCTCTTACACTTTCAACTTTTCAAAAACAACTCCTTTGTTGTTTCGTTTGGGGATATTCGGATGGATGTTCACTAGCCTGTGTTTATCTCCGATGAAGCCATCATCGATTATTAATAAGACATGTGTTACGCATCGCGCTTTCCATATAATCAATGTAATTCCATTTCTAACAATCTAATTAATTTTGACTCTCAACTTCATCATTTCTAGCAACCAAAAGCTCTAACATCATGGCCATACAATCTAGAATAGCAATCGTAACAGGCGGAAACAAGGGCATCGGCTTGGCAATCGGTATTTCCTCATCCCCCTCGCCTCCCTCAATAACTAATCAACATCCAGTCAAAAACCTCGCTCTTCAATATCCATCCTCACCACTTCGCTCCGGGCCACTGACCATCTATCTGACAGCCCGCTCCGCAGAACGTGGTAACGCAGCCGTAGAAACCCTTCTATCCGATCCTGCACTCCAGAAAGCCAAAGTCTTGTCACGAGATGGCGGGGACTCGGAAATCAAGTTTAGGGAGTTGGATATTAGTAGTGAGGAGAGTATCAAGAAGTTCGGGGAGTTTGTGGAGAAGGAACACTCGGATGGAATTGATGTTGTGGTTAATAACGCGGGAATTGCTTTAGATGGCTTCAGTATGTTTTGACTCGTGACCCCTAACTACACATATAGTAATGAGATACAGATCTCGACGTCGTCAAACAAACCCTCCACACAAACTACCACGGCACGCTCCTCGTCTCGCAAACCCTGCTCCCTCTCATCCGTCCAGGGGGGCGTCTCGTAAATATCGCCTCCATGGCCGGGCATCTCTCCAAATACTCCAAGGACATCCAAAAATCTTTCCTCAGCGCCGCCGATACCTCGATCGACGCCTGCACCGCTTTAATGGACAAATTCACGGCCGATGTGGCGGCTGGCAAGGAGAAAGAGGAGGGTTGGACGTCGGCGGCGTATGCTGCGTCTAAGGCGGGCGAGATTGCGTTTTCGAAGGTCCTCGCGAGGGAGTGGGAAGGCAAGGGAGTGCTGGTTAATGCATGTTGTCCTGGGTATGTGAAGACGGATATGACGAAGGGGAATGGCGCGAAGAGTGTGGATGGTATGTCATTATTTCTTTCGTTCTGTCTTTTAGCTGCCATTCTAGGTGGCCGTGATAGAGTTCCATTTTAACCACTCTAGAGTTGACAAGAAATACGCATGCTAACCTTTTTCTAGAGGGAGCCAGGACGCCGGTCATGTTGGCGTTGGCGGAGTTGAATGGGAAGGCTGGCGGGTTCTGGCAGAGCGAGAAGGAGATTAAGTGGTGAGTGGGTTAGCGTGTGGCTTGGTGGTATGTATGTTAAATCAGTTTTGTAATTTTATTTAGTTTGGTTTTAATAGGACGATGTTTAAGTGACTAGTACATCTACTGAAGTTCAAAAGCACTTTTCTATTCCCTCCAAATACCTCCTCCAAATATACAGCTAATATCTCCCATCTCCACCTCCGACTCCATAATCTTCAACCCCCTCAACCCCCCTCCCTCTCCCCCTCGTCTTCACCGACACCATCCGTTCCGCAAACGCATGACTGCTCTTCAGCTGCGCCTTCCATCGTATCCCGGCGATCACGCCCCCTAAATAAGATAGGAGACAGAGCGTTACGAAGCCGCCGACCAGGTAGATCCACGCGGGGATCTGGTCTGGGGAAGGGAGCTTGGGGATGGAGGGGAGGGAGACTCGAGGGTGGATCTAGAGGGTGTGTTAGAGGGAGATGGGGAGGGGAGAGGGGTGGGGGAGGGTGATGAATTGGGAAGGGGAGAAGGGAGGGGGAGTGGAGGGTTGGAGGGTAGGAGTGTTGGAGGGGAAGGAGGAAGGGAGCAGTGGAGGACGGGAGGACGTACAACGGCTTGATGAGAGGAAGTTGGAAGTCTGGTTGTAGCCGCATTGGCTAGTCCTAGGACGAAGACGAGGTTGTTTATTTGCATGATTATATACCGCCTGTAAGCGTGTAAATGAATATATTTCTACACACTCAAATTGCAGTTGACCATAAATCGAAGCACTCCACCCCGAAAAAGAAAGGATTAGATGAGGTGGTATTTCTTTGTTCGAAAACGGGTGATTGACATTTTGGGGGGTTTGAGGGGGGGAGTGTGGGATTTTGCTTTGTTTGGAAGGTTTGAGGGGAGTGTGCTGGCTTCTTTGAGATTTCTAGGCTGGGACAAAGGATGGGGAAGGGGGAGGGGAAGGAGATAAAGAACATTTAATTTGAGTTGGGAAGAAATTTCAGATTGCTAAAGGGCAGTAGGTATGAAATGTAACGCAGGTTTCAATTTGATGTTCAAGATGGGGAGAGCGGTATTTTGTATCGGACATATGGTTCTTTGGGATAGTTAATTTGGGATCTAATTTTGATTTGGAGTGATGTTTTGATTTGAGTTGACTCACTAGCTCTTCTGGTAACATCCTAGGCTTTTAGGTTTTGAACAACTTACCTTGGGCTTAGATCTTTCGAAAGTGAGCAAAATCTAGCAAGAAGTGAGCGATTGGTCATTTAAAACCAATTTCATCCTCCTAAACGGAGGAATTCTGACTCCCCGTCTCAGCCTTCGCATTTCGGCGCTGCTGAATGTATTTCCAGAGCAAGAAGCAGATGCCGGCGGCGATCTCGACGGAGATGATGGCGATGGCGATGTTGCCTACGATGGTTGTTGTGCACATTTTTGCTGGTTTCTTTGGTTTGTGTGTTGGTGGGTTTGTGTGGTGTGTGGGATGGGTTGGTATGATTTGGGTTCTAAGGGGGGAGAGAGGAGGCAAAGGGTGGGTTTTAAATAGGGTGTTTGGAGGTTTGTTGGGGGTTTTGGGGTTGGATTGTTCGTCAAAGGGGAGGGAAGGGGATGGTGGTGTTTTGTGGGTTCTTTGTGGAACAGTTGGGGAGGGAAGAAAGGGAGAGAGGGGTTTGAGAGGATTGTTTTTTGGGCATTATGGAGATAATAGACGAATCCGAAAATAGGGGTATTCATAAAATATGTTTAGTACGTCAGAGGGGGATTATTTGCTCATATACTGTGAAAATGATACTTTGTATGAGTGGTATAGAAATCTGAATAACCTAGTGTGCAAAAGACAATAAAGTCAACTTTTGATATTGGGTAGGGTGGATTGAGATTGAAAGTCGCACTCACAGGTGATAATGAACCATAAATGTAAAAGAGTAATGACCGTATGAATGATAATACTTATGAATAACTTACAGACGACTCGAAAAGAAGTCCAAATATATAAATCTTCCCCTTCATTATCTCCCCTCTCTTTCTAGCCAACCAACCACACAAGCATCAACACAATGGCGCCCACCCACGCCACCCTCAAAGCCCAACTCTACACCGAGTCCACCCTCAAAATGGTCTTCAAACTCGGCGTCGCCCATTCCCACGGTATCCTCCCGGAGGACCTGTTTAAGCGGTGGATCGACTTCTTGGTCGAAGATCTCGCGTTACTGGATTTCGGGGATACGATGTTGAGCGCGGATTACCAACGGATTGATGTGTTGTTTAAGGATTTGAGGAAGTGGGTTGATGGGCCGAAGGGGCCGAGTGGGGAGATGGTTAGGGAGGCTGAAAGAGGTGAGTGGAAGGATGGGGAAGGGGAGAGGGGGTGGTTAGAGAGGGATAGGATGCTAATGGATGTGTGATATAGCTGCGCCGAAGAAAGTTTGGAGGGCGCCGGCTTTGCATGCTACGGTTTGTAATCCCCTTCTGTTTTCCTTTCAAGCTCCTGCTAGAAGAGATTTTGGTCTCGGACATAGCTTCGATCAAATACATACTAACTTATCCTAGTGGAAATATGAAGTTAGACCTGGTGGAAAGAGGGGACCGGTAAGTTATAGACGGAAAGACTGGTGGGAGTGGAATCCGCCTGGGCAGAAGTATGATGATTATTGGGTTGAGGATGTTTCTGATCAGGTATGAGAGGATGAGAGATGAGCTGAGATGGTGAAAGGTGCTTCGTTGGTTTTGAGTGGGGAGTAGAAGCTTGTGGATGAGTGGTGCAGATGGGCACTTGCCGGTGGTGTAGGAAACGGGCGACTTAGAAATAGACTTGGGAAAAGGGACATAGAAAAACAGGCATGATCTTCGATCTCCAGGAATATGACCGGCAAAACAGCTTGCGAAAGAAGTCTTGCATTTACACATCCATAATACACCAGCTCCAACATAATATACAATATACATGTCAACCACTCCATCACTCCATCTTTCCACCCGTCAACTCCTCGGCAATCTTCTGCATCCTCTTCCCAGTAATGATCGCAGGTCCTGCATATCTGTCTACCACATTCTTCTGGGTTTTGTTGATTTCCGCCAACATCTCCTGCACGGATTTTGGTTGTCCCTGTGCATCCCAGATGTTGTTTCCTTGAGAGCCGAAGAATGGTTTCTCAGTAAATATCTCCTCAATCCTGGCGTCCAGCTGTTGCTCATTAACAATGAAGCTTCGAGCGTGCATGTACAATGTATGCAACGCATTTTGTCTCTCCTCTTCTCGGATCGCTTCTTTCTTGGCGACTCTGGCTTTCATCTCCTCGATCCTCTCCTCGCGCCTGGCGTCATTGATGTGCCCTACTTGAAGTTGGCTCATAGCTTTTGTGATTGTTGGATTTGTCAATCGTTCGTCCTCTCTCTGTGGTGCATTGAATCTCTCGGCGCGCAATTTCTGTTTTATGGTGCTCTTGTGCAGCAGCATACGGTCCGATTTCAGCTTCCTCGCGTGTAATGACAGCAATCCTTCCTGAAGATTCTTCCGCCTTGCAGCCGCCATCTTTCGTTTCCAAGCAACGTGATCATCTTGTGGTTCTTTCTTGTGTTTCGCCTTTGGGCTCGTGGCAGCAAGGTATTGTGGTGTGATTTTGGTCGCATCGCTCTTCCGGAAGATATTTCTGGGTATCGGAAGGACACCTTTAATTACTCTTCTTGGGGGTGCTTGAGGTTGTGCTGAGGTAGGAATTTCGATAAACCTGGGGTTTTCTGGTCCGATTGAAGATAGGGAGGTCGTTGTGCTAAAGGAACGGGGATTGAGGGTAAGATTCGGACATCTCAGGCGTGTTATCGCTCCAACTGAGCCTGAAGATATCGATGGAGGCATCATTAATTTGTATTGGGCCTCGGCAAGATGCGCTGTCGAAGTATATCTTGTGTGCTGGTGTATGCGATGTTCAATTGTCGAAATCTTTAGCGCGATTGACTAGCGCAAGAAAGCCACAGCTCCAGCCACAGAAGCTTTCTCGGGTAGCAAAAAAATATTTGCCCGCCTCTTTCTTATCCATCAATCCTCAACACCATTGTAAATCTGCGCACTGCGCAACACATTTGACTATGGGTACCGGAAAGAAAGAAGCGTCCCGAAAGGTTCGTCAGGGCAAGGTCGGCGATGGCATGGCGAATGTCAAAGTCAAAGGCGAGAATTTCTATCGGTAGGTCGAACACTCCCCATTCAGTGGTTGGCGGGGCTAATGGAGTTCTATTGTAGCACTGCGAAGCAAGTCAAGACCTTGAACATGTTTAAAGATGGAAAGGCGCAGCGAAACGCAAATGGTGATGTTACAAAAGCTGCATCGTTTCAGAGCAGACAACTTCCTCAAGCGCGAGTCGAGCCCAATCGCAAGTGGTTTACGAATTCGCGAGTTATCGGTCAAGATGCACTCAATTCTTTCCGTGAGGCAATGGCTGAGAGGGCTTCTGATCCATATTCCGTGTTACTGAAGAGCAATAAACTTCCTCTGAGTTTGATCCGCGACGGTCAAGGGAAAAATGGAATCAAGCAACATCAAGCGAAAATGACGGTAGAGACTGCCCCATTTGGAGAAGTCTTTGGACCCAAGGCACAACGAAAGAGGGTTCGACTTGGTGTCAGCACATTAGAAGATCTCGCAGATGATAGTGTGAAGTCGCACGATACATATCTTGATCGACTTGACCAGGCCAAGTTGCTAAGTGGAACATCTGGCGCTGACGAAGAAGCTATCGGAGAAGCAGTGGCTCCAGACCATGGGTACGTATCTAGTGCCCGTGAAGCGATTTTCAACAAAGGACAGAGCAAGCGTATATGGAATGAGCTTTACAAGGTCATTGACTCCTCCGACGTCGTCATCCACGTACTGGATGCTCGTGATCCTCTGGGAACTCGATGCAGAAGTGTTGAGAAATATATCAAAGAAGAGGCGCCGCATAAACACTTGATATTCGTACTAAACAAGTGCGATTTAGTCCCAACCGGTGTTGCTGTACGTATTTATTCCTTTTTCTCTTCCCCAGTCATCATGTTCCATCGTTAAGTCAAGGCGCCTTCTGCATTTACGTGCTATTCACAATGGAAGAAAGTCTGTTACAACTTTGGTAGATTGACTCCATTCTCGCCGCTCTTGGTTTTCGGACCTTGAGTAGATAGCTCACCGTCTTGGGGAGTCTATCGCAAAGAGTTTGGTTCTGTTTCGTTTGAGTTGAAGGCTACCCCCACAATCGTGGCTTGTAGTAGTTTTCTTAGTAATGATTCATACATTTCTGTTTCTCGGATATTTGATTATAGTTGTGTCGTACTAACATATCAAAGGCATCCTGGGTGAGATTCTTGTCGAAGGACTATCCTACTCTCGCTTTCCACGCATCGATTACGAATTCATTTGGCAAAGGCTCTCTTATCCAGCTTCTTCGCCAATTCTCTTCCCTTCACTCCGACCGCAAACAGGTCTCAGTAGGCTTTATTGGCTACCCCAATACTGGGAAATCCTCAATCATTAATACTCTACGAAATAAAAAGGTATGCACAGTTGCGCCAATACCTGGAGAGACGAAGATTTGGCAATATATTACACTCATGAAGCGAATATACTTGATTGACTGTCCTGGAGTTGTACCTCCAAGCAATTCTGATACACCTCAAGATATTTTGTTGCGAGGTGTCGTACGGGTGGAGAACGTTGAGAATCCAGAACAATACATTCCAGCGGTTTTGACCAAGACTAAACCCCAACACATCGAACGGACATACCAAATCAAGGGCTACACAAATCATATCGAGTTCTTAGAGCTCTTGGCCCGCAAGGGTGGAAGATTACTTCATGGTGGTGAGCCTGATGTAGATGGTGTTGCAAAAATGGTTCTGAACGATTTCCTTCGTGGAAAAATACCTTGGTTTACACCTCCACCTTTGTTGGAGGGCGCCGAAGACAAGGAGACGGGCGTCGAGGGCCGTGCAGGTAGACTTGGGGAGATGGGCAAAAAGAGAAAGCGTGATGATGAGACTTCAGTCGCAGATACTTCCACTGTCGCACCTTCAGTTGCAGCAGAGACCGAAGTGGATGAGGACGAGGAGTTCAACGGCTTCAGTGATACTGAAGGCGGCGTGCAGTTAGACGACGTCGTTGGTGATGTTGATGCTGCATTTGGCCTTGATTCAGAAGACGATGAGAGTGATGACGCTTCAGACGAAGAGGAGGTCCAAAACGATGGTGCGCAGGCCGCTGAGCAGTTACAAGAAGAGTTACACGACGACGTAGACCATGCAAGTACGAGCAAGTTACCTTCAAAGAAGAAGAAGCGGCAAAAGACATAAAAACAGGAAAATATATATTTTATACCCGGGGTGTAGCCATTGTGCTACCCTCACAGACTTCAAACATTGCTTTTACACTGAATTTAAATTCCATCGTGACCATTACAGACTGATGTTGCCCTAACCACAGATCAATGTCTGTAAATTGGAAGATGAGTGTCCAAAGCAGGACAGAACTGAGAATTATGTAAAAAAAAGTTTGACATCCCATTTTGATATTGACCATTAGAGGTTGATTGTCGAAATCTGGTCGCGACCCGTGGGCTTCACGAAGCGAGCTTCATAACCTTCAAAAATCCGAATCATGAAAGAAAAGAGAAATGGACAAGCAAAAAGTAAAGATTGACCTGGACGTCGAGAAAAACAAAGCAAAAAAGAAGGGCTCAATCCGGGATTGAACCGGAGACCTCTCACATCTTTTTGATCAGATGAACTGATCAATCCCAAAGCGAGAATCATACCACTAGACCATTAAGCCGAATCAATTGCTTGATTTGATGGATCAATGTTGTTTTTTGAAATTTATAAAGTATCTTGCGCACGGTGGAGCGCAAGGGCTGAGTTGCACTTGTGATTGGTTAAGTTCTTGGGAGTTTACGTGAAAGTGTGGCTAGGCAGTTTTCGTGACTGACTCGATTCGAAGTAAACGGAAAACAAGTTTATAATACATTCTTTTACTCACCTTCGGTTTTCTTTGTCAATCAGATATTATCTTACAAATTGTGACGCCTTACCATATATTTACCAGAGAAGCCGTGACCCGCTCCCTTCCGTACCGTACCGTTGACGCCTAACCAGTACATAGAAAATCATGACACATTATGTAGACCACACATCGTTTCGTCGAACAATTTTCTTGCTAGAACTCCAAGGTGGCGGTGGAGCACTATAATATCCGGGTCTTTCAGTTTTATTGATCGCATCCTCAATCCCATTTTCAAGATTCTCGTCGTCATCAATCTCCTCGATACATCTCGACTCGTCGCTGTCCGATAAGCTTCCTCGACTAATTCGAGGATTTAAACAGTCCTCCGCTTTCCTTGCAAGTAACCTTAAGAACTTCTCTCCTCCATTGATACCGCCAGCTGCACCTTGGACGCCTAAGCTGTTTCTACCTATCGATAAAAGTCGCACCATTTCCATCAGGTAGTCTCTTGGTCCAATCTCCATCGCTGATGCATACATATGATTTGGTTGCAGCTGGAGAACATCGGCAAGACTACATCCTATGTCGAAAATCTTCTCCAAGATTCCAACACCATTTGCTTCTAGTGCCTTTGGTGACAGATTCCGGGAAACAAATACAACGTCCCTCGCGATCGTGACCGGATATTGAAACGACATGGCCTCATTTGATGGAGCGGAGGACAGAAGACCTTTTGTTACGCAAAGTTGCCAGACCATAGTTTTTAACCACTGTCTACTAATGAGAAGATCGGCTTGCTGGACCTCTGTCCTCTGCGAGACATTCGGGATAGCGAATTTCAAGATATCTTGAAGTTGTATGAGCGACTGCGGTGATGCTGATGACCCAGAAGATGCGCCAACCGTGGTTGAAAGATTCCAAAGACTGAGGAACTCATCATCGAAGTTTTGGAAAAGCGAAACCAGATCTAGGAACCCTGACAGAATGATTGATTCTGGGCCAGGTGAGACCGTGGGAAGTGATATGGTGCGTTGAAGCGTCAACGGTCGATGGCGCTGTAGAGCGTAAGCTCTTTCTGTGATGAATAAAAGCCAGAAAGTTCGACGACTGTATGTCGCATACGGTTCGGCGAGATTTTGGTAAGTGTCTTCTTCGTGCAAGCGAAGCAGTTGCAGAACTGTCATCGCTTCTCGAATGTAGAACCATGCTGAATTATCTTTTCCCAAACAGAATAGAGCAGCGAATAAGAAGAACGAAGTTTGAACAGTTTCCAGTGTTGGCGAGTCGATATAATTACAGTATTGCCTCGCTCGGACGGTTTCCTGAATGAAGTGCTCCGATGCTGGTAGCTCCAGTAGTGGTATCTCTTGTGAGCCGTATGCCGTTGCAATCGGCGACGCTATGATCTCAGGTTGTTGGACGATTCCAGCACACAAAGAAGTGATAAGAGCGTATCTTTCAGGCGATTGACGGATATTGGGTAGTGCGGCATTGACCGATTCGTGCTCTAAAATAGGCATAATGGGATATTTGTGTGTAAAAAATGCATCGACACAGCTCGTAATGACCGCGTCTGTTATCAAGGCAGAAGGTTTAAACCCATTCTCTTCAGTGATGATACCTTCCGTAGATTCAGAGGGCATCCGAGTTCGATTAGTCTGGTGATTTGGTGGACTAGTATGTACCTTCGAATTCCCTTGGCCCATCCGCAACTTTTTCACACGTTTTCCTTCTTTTGCGCCATCTCTAAAGACTCTCTTTCCTTTTGGTCCTTTCTTTTTGGGTACAGCAAGATATGTACATGCTAGTATTGTCATTTGACAGTTGGAGCATGGGTTTTGTCCATCGCAGCGGATTTTTCGGGCATGGCAGCAATCGCACGCTTGCCTGACCTTAGGGAGTCGTTTGGAAGGCTGCTCTGGAAATTGCGTCTCGTCTTGGTTCATTTCAGACTGCTTAAATAGCAGTATCTCGATATTGAGGTTTCCCTTGACTGGATATTGTCAAGCTCGTGTCATGTTAGAGCGAACATGTAATGTTTTCCCCGCAAAATAGCGGCATGCCACTGCAAATCTTGTGGCTGAGAAGATTTCGAGCATTATTAAATCAACACATCGATGCGTTTGTTGTAACAACACTCAATCGAAAAGTAGAAATGGACGATTATAGTCAGTATGTATAATCTTTTGATTTCTTATGAAAATTGTAAACTCAACGCGAGTAGAAGGAAGCTGGATCAATCATGTGATCGAGCAAAGTGACGGCAAACACGTGTTTCTTTCACTCGGCCGAGCGACGGGGAGAACAGACCTGGAGAACATGAACCCCGTATTCCTTCCAAATCTTTCGACCACAAACTCCGCAACGACAATTCATTTGAACGTACTTGGTCGTCCGATGTTTATTTTATGTCCAATAACTCCTGTGGGCGTTCAAGAAGCCGTCACGCATCCCTTACTTCTGTCAATCATTGTCTGCACTAACATCAAACGGTGCTTAAAACAAAGGTAAACTTTATCGGGGAGTTGCCTCCAGTGTTGCTCCCACCCCGTTTTCCAGATTAAATCTGGACGGGATCATGATTAATTGGAGCACGTAGCCTAGTATGCATCCGATCATTTCTTACCTCGTCGCCAACTATTATCAATCACACGTACCGAAAGCTGAAAGAAGTCATAGCTGTAATCGCAATGATTACTATTTGCTCTAGAATATCCTTCTTGGGTTATTTCCTAATTCAGATGTGTATTTTCTGTGTAAAGAATTCATCATCTATTCCGATTCATTCATCTATATAACTAGGCCTTCGAGTTCCCCTAAGTTTCTCTCGTCACTTCCTCTCAACAGCAGTTCTCTTTCCCTACTAGACTTGTGGTTATTCTTCGCAATATGTCCCAACCAAGAATCTCGAAGCCGAACATTGTCTTTGGGACAGCCCTCATTAGCAGTTTCGCTCCAGATATTCTTAATTCGATTCTAGAAACGCTAGAGAAGCATTCAGTGAAAGAGCTTGACACGGCTAGAATCTACGCAAGTCCCGAAATACTGCATTATTTGACTATTGACTAACTACGTAACAGCCAGAAAGTGAGGTGACTCTTAGAAAGGTTGAAGCAGCTAAGAGATTCGTGATTTCGACCAAGGCACCTGGCTTGTTTGAGGGTTGCCTTGGCAAGCAAAGCGTCCTTGATGGAATGAACAAAAGCTTAGAAGAATTAGGGGTTGATAATGTGAGCTCGTTGATATTGACTCTTGTGTACGATCCTTAACAGTTGGATACAGGTGGATATCTACTATCTGCACATGCCAGATCATGTCACACCAATCAAAGAAACTCTTTCCGCTATCCAGCAATTATACAGCGAAGGGAAATTTAAGAGGGTTTGTGGGCTCAGTTACTAATCTGGAGCCTATCGATGCTAAAATCAATAATAGTTTGGCGTGAGCAATTACACCGCGAAAGAAGTTCAAGAAATCTATGATATCCAAGCGGCAGCGGGCTCAGTCTTGCCATCTGTTTACGAAGGCAATTATAATCCTGTAGCGCGACTTACGGAAAAGTCCCTTTTCCCGACTCTACGTAAACTTGGAATGAGCTTCTACGCTTATTCCCCATCAGCTGGAGGCTTCCTCGTCAAGGATTCCGCCACTCTTCGCTCAAATACCGACACTGGCAGATTTGGCCCTGACCACTGGCTCTCACCTATGTACTCCGCGATGTATAACAAAGAATCCATCTACGATGCTCTCGACGAGTGGGGAGTGATTGCAAAAGATGCCGGCATTAGTAAGGCAGCTTTGGCTTATCGTTGGGTAACTTACCATAGTATCTTGAAGCAAGAATATGGCGATGGAGTCATCTTCGGAGCCAGCAACTTGAAACAGCTTGACGAGACCTTGAACGCTATCGATGCTGGCCCGTTGGACGAAGCGATTGCCGAAAGAGTCGAACTCATCTGGAAGATGGTTGAACATGAAGCTCCGCTAGACAATTTCCAGAGCTACGTTAGTATACAAGGCATGCCCAAGAACGAAAGAAAATAGGATTTTATAGGTAATTATTTTGGAGACTTAGCATACGCGCACAATCTATTCATATGAGTCAATCTCGAATGTAGTCCTTGGTCTCTAAATTTACATTTATATCGCCAAAAGCTATGCACGATCTCAAATGTCAAAACACAACTACTTCATTGAACTTAAGTATTCAGTACACAATCTACGGAGTGACATTCATATTTAGACGCCAATAAGAAGCACGCACCCTTTCAAGCGGCTGCGTTCATCTCCCGCGGAAATCTCCAATTCTCGTTTCCGGATACCGACAATATTACGACCAGTATTTTCAGCCCTACATAGCCCGCCAAAACGGCTACAAACGTGTGGACCTGAAACAGTAATCTATTCCATACAACAAGTCTTCAACAGGCCCACGGGTCTTCCGTTTTAATGACCTGTAAAAGTCCCCATTTCGTCAAACCATCTTGCTATGGACCCCTTAACATTACCTAAAGATCTCGTTTTGGACAAATTTTGTGTCGCCGAAGGCTTGCATATCTCGACTCGATCGGTTCAGGACAAAGCTGAAAGAGAATGCAGTCAGGGGTACGGTCTCGCTTAATTGAAGGCTATGGTAATACGCCAATAGTAGATCGAGATTGTTTTAATAGGAAAGGACTCTTCAGGTTTTGCCTATGGTATTCCCGTCATTGACTTTACAGGTCCCAGAAAGTCGTTGCCGTTCAATCATGCCTTGCGTGAGCCAGCCACAATCGAATTTACCGAAAGAGACATAATCGTGGCCATGTGGCTGAGACAATGGAGGTATAATATTTGGATACCAGTACAAATAATCGACGATATCTTCTAAGATCGTTTGTTCATATCCACAGTTATTCAAAATATTACAGTATACACCAAACATGAAGTTATGTCTAATTCAACTTTTTGCAACGATCAGTCTCGTCAACCATGTCCTAGCAGCAGCTCGAAGCGAGTCTGAGAAACCTGCCATGGAAGTTTGCAAAAAGACTTTAAACTGTAAGCGTCACTTTTTGTTGTTGATGTAATATAGTTCTAACCATATATTAATTCAGATAAACGTGGCTCATCAAACACCACAAACTACTACACTTGCAAAAACACAACCACCTTATCCACCCAACAACGTCTAGACTTCACCGCCCACGACGTCTTCTACAACGGTAGCATAATCCTAGAATACACAACTTTCAACGGCTCAAAAACATGCCAACCATTCTTAGGCCCAAGAAACGCAACATTCTCAATCGGCCAGATGAATCTAGCCTCCAACTCCTCCATCTCCCGTTCATCCTGGGACAACAACCCATTCTACATGAACCTCCAACCCCGCGACGAGGTAGGCTCATATCCAGGCTGCGACGCCTCGAGCGGGAACCGTCAAAACTGCCCAGCATCATTGCGTCTCGCATCCAGTGAACCGGATTACTGGTGGACGCAGATCTGGACTCTTCAGAGCGTTAAAAACGGGAACTCGTTTGACGTTTCAGGGTATATCAGCACTAATAAAACATTCAGACGCTCAAACGATATTGAGATTAATTTCCCGGCTGAACAGGGACAGAGCAGGAAATGTGCGGGTTCGTTTGGGACGTCGTCGCTTTGGTTTAATGATACGGTGAGTATGACGGGGAAAGTCACGAGGGAGAGAGCAGATGTTGTTTTCACGATTGGTGATCTTGCGGATACGCCGTCGGAACGTCTTGGAGCTACGCTTGTTTTCAGATTCTCGGGGACGTGGTGGAATCAAGGTGCTTCTCTCGTCACGAAGACTGGGAACATCACCACATCCGGGAAATCAAAGTATTACAACTCCACTAAATCGACAAAAGATATTATGAAAAACATGAAGACCATTATTGTGATCGTCGCAGTATGCGGTCCTCTTTTCGTTATGCTCGTCATCGGATGCTGTTTCTGGCGGACTTTGAAGAAGAGAAAAACGCTTGTTGGTAGACGTACTTCGCTGTTCTTTTGGGTTAAGAGGTTCTTTGTTGTGAAGTGTGATCATTCGCCAGAGCAAGGCTTTCCTATGAATACCTCCTATGAGCGACAGGATTCGCCGGATGTGCCTCCGCCTGCTTATACTGAGGAAGCGCAAACGGGATTCGATTCGTCTAAAGATAGTGGTGGAAATTCAAGTGGAGATACAGGTGGCGGGAATACGTGTGGAGATACATAAAACACTTTAGAGGCATATACGTAGTTTGAATATGAGAATTTATGTTGCCGCCTATTCAAGCCTCACAAAACCCACCAATGTATTAGAATTGTAAAGCTTTCAACATCACGAATAAGAGCTGGATTAATTACTGAGACTAATCTCGTTGACAGAGAGTATAATTCCACCTACGCGACCCAACTCCCCAAACAAAGCGAATCCACTTTCAACCACATCCCACACCTAACTCCAACCCAACCAAACACCTGACACCTCCCATCCTTCCTATCTCTCAAATCCAAACAAGATTGCACCTATCCCTCTCTTTCCCATGAATCTCAAGTTCCAGACTATTCAAGCATTAACATCCCACATGAGCAACCTGATATCCCTAACTTACGCTGCCAATTTGAGGGTTTTGTGGTGTAAGCGTATCCAACCACATTCCAAAAACCACGCAAGTCCCAGAAAACACACTAAAGATAGCAATAACGTAAGGAATTCTCTCCTCAGCCCGTTGAGCGATACGTCTATTGAGTTCCTCCATGTGGGCGGCGAATTCGTTTTTGGCGGAGGCGTCGATGTGGGTAGCGACTTGGTTTTCGTTAGAGGCGTCGATAGAGAAGATCTCATTGGGGGGTGAACGAGATATGTTTGTTACTGGAGTTGATTGGATTTCGGGGATTGAGTGGAGGCCGTTTGTTACTAGGTTATTTGGAGTTTTGGGGATTGGGAGAGCGGCGGTTAAGCTGGCGAGGAGGAGGCTTTTGATGAGGGTGGGTTTGAAACGCATTTTGGATGTTTTGGTGTGTATGAAATTGGTAGGTGCGTTTGTGAGGTTTTGGAAATGAAAGAAGAAGAAAAAAAAGACTTTGGGGAAAACAGGCAAACTTATATCTGAGCGCCTGAGGGGGATTAAGTCATAATCGATAGCTTCTTGACTTGAAGTATGCTGCTAGACTGGAGCGGTCGGGCGCCAACTAGGTTAGGGTGCCGTTAAGGATCCCATTCCTAGAGCCATTATGACATATGCTAGAGACACTAGTAAAATTTATTCTATCGTTTTTGTCCTAGTAGAAAGTTAGTTGAACACTAAGCCCTATGAGCGTAACGGTGGGATCGACTTACTAAAAAATGTATTCAAATGACTTCTATGATTCCAGGTGCTTCTAAATTGACAACGAGATGATACAAACTCCATCGAACGCTTTCCTGGATCAGACTAGATCTTATGATGTGCCGATAGCTATATTGCACAATTCTCCTGTTGCACTTTTAACTCAATTTCACTTCACCACCAAATTACCTATACCAAGCTGCTCCATCTAGTTAAAATCATGGGCAAGATTATATGAAGTGAAACCACCATTTCTCCGATCAGGCAGCCACTGGAAACGCCACTGTACCCAAATTTTAAGGTCAAATCACCTGACTCACATCCTAACGGAAAATACCCACTTTCGATCATTATAGCAAATAGCACACTTCGCTAGCGTCGATAACCCAATAAATTTATGAGTTCATTCACAAGTAACAAACTCAGTCTTGTTATGCTTTAGTCTTAAAACCCCTTCCTGCTTGTATGTTGTGATTTGTTGCAAGATCTGACTAGTATCGGAAGCCAAACTTAAACCAGCGCGGTCTAGTCTCCCATTTCTGACGTAGTGTGTTAAACATCCAGAACATAAGCATATATATATCTGCATGTTCAGCCAATTCACCTTCATCACCACTGTGCCCAAATGCCTCTGATTCATGCCTCGTCTGCACTTCATAGTCCAGCTTTTTCTATAAGTGAATTACTGGCAATTGAGGTGGCGATGGTTACACAACTATGTCTGAGGGGTATAAGAGCTTCTGTGTTGGGTATTCTGTTTAGAAATCCAACCTCCAACTTTTGAATAAGCTCGATTGTCAACACTTGTACATTATTTTTCACCGCTCACTTCTTTCTGCGTCTCATTTGCTCGAAGAGTAAGAGATTCATAAATCAACAGAAACTTGCTTTGACGCCACCAATATAGATTTAACCATGGCTCCCAACAACGTTGCTGGTAAAGAAGATCGTGGCATTGCTCAAGAACATAGACTCTCCTGCCAACTTACTTCCAGTCGAGCAGCCATACTTGTAAACGGAGCACGCATACCTGTGCCAGTACCTGAAGTATGCATAAGGAGTTTCTTTCTGCTTCGTGGGTGCTAACAATCAATACAGGTTACAGAAAAACGCACTGCACCTCAAGCATTACTTGGGAGGAAAGGAAGCGATTATAGTTCTACTTCCGCCAATACCAGCATAGCGTCAAGCAACAACACTACGTACCAGACCACTGTTATATCTCCGGCAGACGAAGCTACCAGCAGTAGACCAGCAGTAGCACAGCGGGACAGCAGCTTCAAGAATCACTTGAAGCCAAGGAAGTGAGTTCGCACCAGTGGTTCATACACTTCAGGATATGCCGATTAAGTGACTGACATATTCGGCAGCAGAATCCAAATCGGCAGCAGAAGGTCGAACCCATCGATTCGGTTTTGAATAACATCAAGAACAAAATCGAAGATCTCAAACTCCAAGCGCCTTCCACAACCTCGATTCGACGGAACCCTGTTCCTACATCATGGAATAAAAATAGGTTCAGCAACTTGAAGCCACGGAACACAGCAGCAAAGGAAAAGCAGCAGCCCAGGTAAGGAACAATCTTTGTTGTCAAAGAAAAAAATTAACAGAAGGACGCTTAGTGGGCCATTGAAGGAGTTCCATCTATTTGGTAAACTTGCTGTCGAGATCCGTGTCAAAATATGGCACCTCCACATATGGAACTCCCCCCACCTAATTGAGATCGAGAAAGGACCAGGATTTCGAGAGGGGCACGCAATGCCGACTCAGGAGGTCATTGTGGGCACACACTCATGGTACCGCGTCTCACCACGTTCCAGAATCCCCCCAGCCATTCTGAGAGTGTGCTTCGAATCACGAGCAGAGGCGATGAGAGTCTACAAGTTGACAAACTTCGATTACCAAACCAATCATATCAGAGGCAGAGAGATGTGGTTCAATCCAGCCGTCGATATAATCTATTTTGGAGAGGACACCTGCTTGGCCACGATTATCCATATGAAGAAAACAGTTGATATTCGGCGTATGGCCTTCAACGTAACTGGCAGGATTACTCAATGCCATGATTTCGATGAACCGCTCTATGCGGTTGATGGAGGAGTCAATCCTATGCAGGCACTCCATGGGTTCCATGGAGAAAGAGAACAGGACACCCAGGATGGATTGTATTCGGGCATTCATTCGCTACAAGAAGTATTCCTGGTCGTGCAGTCGAACCTCTGTAGGCCAAACGCCGGGCAGATCGACCTATCGTTTTGGACTTCGTCCAGCGACAACTGATGGCCTTACAAGAGGCCAGAAAGGTTTGAAGTCATGGATGATGGCGGAAATTGATGTGGTTAATAGTGGAGGTATGATTTACGGCGTCGGCGAAAACATGTGGGTTGACGACAAGAAACCAACATTCCACTGGGTCAGCCTATCCCCTCAGGATGGTGTCGACGGCATATACTACGACGGGTTGGGTGTCGACGATGCCGCAGTCAAGTTCTTGAACAGGAGAGTGCATGTACTGGACGCTATCTCAAGACGAACAGAGTGTCATATTTACATCCCAAATAAAACATTCCCAAAGGAATTTCCGCGAGAGATTGGATTCAGCGGAACTCGAAAGGCGATTGAGGAAGCAAAGGCTGAGATTATCAAGAAGATCGCTCAGTCGGAGGGCTCTGTAGTACCTGTTAGCTCCCGGTCTGATTGACATTATCATGGATGTTGTACGAGAGGAGAACCTTGGAATTGTTATCATCGAGATGTAACTGGAATTCGGGTGTGGCTTTTCATGTTGGTAGAGAGTGCCATCAACTAAAGTGTAAATAATTTAAACATGGAGTACTTTCGATTAAATGATCAATATTGCAGTGCCATTCGTGTGCTTTGAACTGCAAAGAAAGTGAGACTTGGAAGTGTTGCGCGCCTGGCAGTAGAGACGAATGTGAATGAGATGTGTTGTGGTGAGAAAGACAGAAGGTACAGTGGGGTGCATTTAGTTTGCACCCCCTACCACTTTTTGCCAAGTTACTTAGGCCTGATTAGGGTTTGTTATTGTGCTGCTTTTATAGGATAAAAATGAAGCTATTCTAGTATTTTGTATACTATCCATCCGCGTCAATTACAGCCTTTACCCGCTTCTCTATTGTCATTGCTAGCCTATATAGAATACCGATATTAATAGCGTGCCAGGCCTCTTGTGCTGCCTGTACAAGTAGATCAAGAGTAGCCTCTGTATCAGGGGCTGTTTCAAGCTCAGGATAGAGTCTATAAATCTCTGCCTTAACTAAGGCCCAAAGGTTCTTAATTGGGTTAAGGTCTGGCGAATAAGGGGGCTATTTCATTACTTTAATATCTAATTGCCTTAAAAAGTCAAGAACAATATGGCCCCGGTGAGGACCTACCCTATCGTGTATAAACTCCCCTCCTTCAACCATAATATCTGGCAAAAAAGCTCGATATACCTCCCTTATAACCCACGAGGTTACCCCTCCTCGAGGAGCCTCTGGGTCGCCATCTAAAGGTATTAATCCTGTCCGACGATTTGAGCCAAAGGCTGCCCAAAGCATCTTCCTAATACTCTTTCTAGAGCCTCGAATTAGGTGTATATCCTTAAGAAGGATCTAGTCGTAAGGCCGAGTAAATGTCTACACTAGTTTAACCCCTTTCCCTCTCTCAATTGTATACTTATCTAACCAGGAGACCTTGTGCCAATCGATTAGGCTATAGGTTTGGTGCTCAATAGCCCAGGCTAGTCGAGTGTCAGCATGAGCTTGTGTAATCTTAGGTCGGTTTCGTTGCCTCCATTTTCTCTTATTTATCTCCCGGCAAAGGTATTAGAGTGACCGCTTTTTACAAGCGTCGTCGATAGAGTATAGGAGGTCTCGCATCTTAATCTGGGGGTTAATATGATTCGTAATATCGTAGATGTGATCCCTTTACTCTTCTATAAGAGTACGAGGCCGGCCGGATCGTAGTCTTGACTCGTTTTTAGCTCCTCGAGAGGCCTCGCGTTTAATTGTACTCTTAATCGTAGAAATCGGCTATTTAGGATATAGCGTGTATATCCGTTTAGGACCATAATGAAGTGTAGTCGAGAGCTCGCAGATACGATCGCGTATACCAGGGGTTAGCTCCTTTCTTGGAGGCATTGTGAATAGCTTCAAAATTGTTGTAGAATGGAGAAATCGATCATAAAAGCAGCATAGGAATTACCCCTAGTCAGATCCAATTAAAGTGGTAAGGATGGGACAGGGGGTGCAAACTAAATGCACCCCACTGTACGGAGTACGCTAAATCACTTTGATGTTTACCCAGCTCTTTGCTTTCATGGATTCTTCGTATTTCTTTCCACACCAACTCCACCAACAACATGCATGAACGCCCGAGATCTGACTGCGATCGAGTCGCATTTGATACGCGAAAGCTTCTCCTACCGTAACTGTTCCTGCGAAGTTTGAAATCTTCTTTTGGACTTACGCGCAAGTCTGCAGATTGTCGCCAGCCACGGAGGGAGGAATTGCAGGAAACGGGACTTCGAATTGACCATCCCATCCTACTCAGTTGAATCAATTCGCCTCTGTGTATGAGAGAGATTACAGTCAGATGGAACAGGAAGCAGAGACACTTTTGTTCGTGCCGCAGCCACAATATATTTACGAAAACCCAGCCCAGCCTTGGGAACAAACACGGGGTTGGAAGCGATGTCAGCACAGGCGTTTTTCTAACTGTGCGCTCTTTCCCACCATTCTCATTCACAGAGACAATCGGCAATCAGTGGCGAGTACAAGCACGCCTTGCTGGGAAGGATACGAAGTGAACCATCGATGCGTGGTGAACAAAACAATGTTATTATTCTTATTATTCAGATTCGACTTATGACTTCGACGATGCACCACCGCGACAGATGCGTAAGGTTACCGAGAACACCATTGATCAGGAAAACACAACCCTTCTTGCGTCTTTAATGAGTATTAAATAACGTTCATAAGCATCTTTATAAACTTCCCGAGTTCCGAGAGTACCGTATGCTTTAGAATTGTACGGCATCACGACATGCAATTGGTGCTGGCCCCTGGCAACCCGCTCAACCACAGCGATAGGCCCACCACCCGCCTCTCACCGGCGCCGCCGTCTCTGGCCTCTCAGAGCCGCCAGATCAAGGCTGTTAGCCAAAAGCCAGCCCTGTTCCTTCTGCCTTGGTATTCCCAGGCCAGGCCATTTTGTTCGCGCCCCTCGACTCCATCGTCAGCAGCCTCTTCCAAAGCATTTGAAATGGTGTTCCGTTGAATACTAACTTCTCAAAACCCACTATCGGAGGGCCGCAGTTGTCGCTGCGAATTGGCAATCGTCTCCTTCACACTCGTTTGATCCAGGTACGATGCATCTGTCGGCAGCCGAACTGAGGGGACGACAAGGAGATGGTTCAATCCAACCATCGCCGACTAGCTCTCTCAGCCTGTCCCTAAGTTTGTCACCGACTGCGACCTCAACTACCTCCTCAATATCACCAACAGCCACCTTACCCTCGACTTCCACTACATCCAATGCCCCGCCGAAGTTTATGCCGGTATGCTAGGTCAAGCCGAGTCAGAGAAGGCGTGCGCTAATTTTTGTATAGATTGTTATCGGTATCATAGCAGCCGTTCTCGCGCTCATGCTCCTATTTTTCGTACTTCGACACACACGGACAAAACACAAAAATCCGAAATATATCCCAACGCCATTTCTCAAAAGACTTTGGAAGAATTGGGAACCAAATGCCGGCTCGCGCTCTCACAGTCGATTGCCGGATGCGAGCGACCGTCTAGAGCCCGTATCTACTCGGAGTAATGGATCGAGTCAACTGCCAATATCTGGTGGTAATGCTGCGACACGTGGAAATGATGGGACGAACACCGGACCCGAGACGACAACTGCCTCAGGAGTTGGTAGGAACACTTCTGTCAGATCGGTGATGACACTGCCGGCCTACAACCCAGACCCACATCAGAGCGAGCAAGTCTTAGGGCGGGAAGGAGAGCGCGGTGGAATCGATGTAGTAGTGGAGTTCCCTGAAATGGAAGCAGATGAAGAACGGTTGCGAGAGGAAGAAATGGAGGCACTATACCAAGTCAGGCTTGCGAGAAGAAGAGAAAACGAAGAGCGCGAGGAGCGGCGCAGATTGCGGCGAGAAGCAAGAGAACGGGGCGACTGGGTGGCTTTGAGGGAACTGAATAACAGGGCGAGAGCTTCCTCAACGGCAAGCAATGGCAGAAGCGTTGAAGAATTGCGGGCCGAGCACGAGCGGATCAAGAAGGAACGTCAAAGAGCCGTTTCTTCTGTATCATACGGAGATTTAGGTGTGGCACGACATGACGGAACAAGATTGAGAGCAAACAGCATGGAGAGCGAAAGAGAAGGGCTTTTGGGAGACGCTGCCAGTATCGCAGCAAGTAGCCATTACCACCGCAGAGACCGCAGTGCCAGTTCAGTGATCAGCATCGACACAATCAACACCGACTTCCCATCGCCTGGTTTGACTCGCTCGCGAGGTAATTCCAGAGCAGAAAGTCCGTTTAGACAAATTGGCAGACCAAGTCAGGATGGTAGCATAACCAACGAGGGACGTGCAGGCAGCAGTCCAGAGATGGTCGAGCATGAAGATTTCCCACCCAACAGTCCTCCTGGTTACGAAAACATTCCTCTCGATACTCAAACCGATCATCACCACGAGCCTCCTCCAAATTATTCAAGTCCGGTTGTTGGAAGAGGAGAATGGAGGCCAACTTTTGAGTCGAGCGAAAGCAGCGGAAATGGACAGGGAACAAGGACAAGCCGTGTAGGAGAAATAATTTCTGAGCATAGAGGCGCTCCGCCAGTCGCAGCTGATGAGCGCGATCTTGGAAGTTCTTCATCCTGGACGGCCGGTGGGATTCCACAACTCCCAAGTCTTCAGCTAGACTCGCTTCCATCCATACAAGTTGACCCAGGAAGTCCAATCATAGAACCGAGAGATCGGCATTGAAGCCATAACACGACGTTCGAATATGTTTAGTGCGAAATGAATATAGCCTTAGCGATACGATTTACGATACAGCGAGTATGGAACTGGCACAGCGACATAGGATACGACTAAAGGGTATTTTCACGACGCAATTCAATCAAAGTTCTAATACCCTCATTTGAGCACGGCGCATGGGTAGGATATTTTAAGGGTTATTTTCTCAATCTGTAAACGTAACTTGGATTTATAATGTATATAACTCTTCAAATACTCGTTTTGGGTCCGGGCCACATATATCAATGGCTATTTCCCAACCACTTACCAGAAATCAAGTCGATATATCGACTTTGAGCAACAGAGGAACTACGGGAACACTCCGTCACCATACAAGTCAGAAGTAGGTAGCTCTTCGTGGACTTCGTGAGCTTCCAAGCTTTTTGAGGTTTTATTTCCACAATTGCTATTGAAGCAGCTGTTAGAAGTTTAATCCTAAGCATACTTTAGACGCCATGTAATCTCGACAAGGTTATAGTCAATGCTTAGTTCATCCTACATCATATAGCTGACGATACAAGTGACAGCCAAGCAGATGCGACCCCCTCGTAAGGTCTCCATTTGCAAGAGCTCGCTAAAATGGAATGCCTGTTTAGGTGCATATCACGAGTCTCCTGCATGTGCTTGTAAGACATGGGCGTGGAAGAGTACAACATTTCCTGAGAAGAGAGGGAAAGTATTTACATGCTACAGCATGCATAACGTCGGACTCGCTTGATCAGCCTTGGTCTCTGAGCTTCTACATATCAAGAAGTTTACGCTCTAACCGGTTGGAATCTTTGAGAGTGACAATCTGTTCGACGTTCGAGCTGACGCCGATAGCGACCGTCCCGTCCTCTTGATAGTACAGGTGTATCTCTTGCTCATTTTATATCAGAGCCGCCAGTATGGATGAACTCATTCAAGCCATTCACACCACCCCGATTATCGATAACCACGCTCATCCACTTCTGAAACCCTCAGCCATAAGCAAATATCCTTTGCTTACTATCACCACAGAAGCTCATGGCCCTGCGATCGAGGCTACGAAGTCAAGTCTGTCACACATTCGTGCTGTCAACCAACTTTCCAAGGTACTCAAGTGTGAAGTTACGTGGGATGCGGTCGAGAAGGCTGTTCAGGCCGAGAGAGAGAAGAACGGTTTAGACTGGGAGAAGAGATGTTTCGAGGGAATTGAGACTTTGCTTGTTGATGATGGATTAGATGGGGGAGATGAGGTTTTTGATTATGGGTGGCATGATCATTTGGTTGAGAGTCCGTGTAAGCGGATTGTGAGGATTGAAAAGGTTGCGGAGAATATCATTCAAGACATACTCGAATCTGGAAAGATAACTGGTCCGGAGGTACGCTTTATATCGAAGTTCGTCGGTTCAATTACCGATGCGCTTGCGGATCCTGAAGTGGTGGGATTCAAATCCGTCATTTGCTACCGCGCCGGACTTGATATTCAAGACATAAATCTGCTCGAGGTAAAGACAGAGCTGAGAAAAATATTTGAAGCTCTGTATACATCAGACGCCAAAACCTTCCGAAGAATCGACGAACCCGCTATCAACTATGCTCTTGTAACTATGACGGCGCGTCTAATTCAAGAATCCGCTGCACCGAGAAAACCATTTCAATTCCACACTGGACTGGGCGATAACGATATTACTTTGACCAAATCATCGCCGTCTCACATGCAGCCGTTCATCAGAAGACATCCTGAAGTACCCATTGTTTTGCTTCATGCCAGCTATCCATGGACTCAAGAGGCTGGATACCTGGCTACTGTCTACGAAAATGTCTATGCTGATATTGGAGAAGTGTTTCCATTTCTGAGTCAAGAAGGACAAGAGAGGGTTATTCGCGAGATCCTGGAACTTTGTCCAAGTGAGAAGATATGTTGGTCTACAGATGGCCACTGGTTTCCTGAGACTTATTTTCTGGCTGTGACTCAAGTCAGAGAAGCTTTAGAAGTGGTTGGTTCTCGCCATTCGTGACATTTCAGAGGAAACTGCTAATTGATTAGGTTCTTCCTGAACACGTTCAGAAGAAAGCAATGAGCATTCCTCAAGCAATCCAGGCCGTACAGAATATCTTTTTCCACACATCCAACAAACTATACAATTTAGACCTCCAACTAAAACTTCTACCCAGCCCCAGGCTGCTAGACACTTCCACTCAAGATTTGCAGCATTTCAAGACATTCCTTGCAGAACATCCTGAAGTAAAACACATCCGTCTACAATACGAAGATTATACAGCTACATCAAGACTGCGGGTTATCCCAGTCAAAAAAGCCCTTCAAGTCTTGACTGACAACAAAGCCCTTGAAGTTGGAATCACAAAAGCATCACTAGGCTTACTCCAGAACGACACACTTGCTCCAGGAGTCACCGCCACAGGCGAATACAAACTCCGCGCAGTACTTTCCACTCTCCGTCTCGGTCCAGGCCAGGGATTTGCCTCAGCGCAAGCCGAATTCTACGAACTCGACGGCACACCAGCAGTTCTCTGCCCCAGATCCATACTCCGGCGCACCATCAAAAAAGCCGCAGCTGAAAACCTAACATTCCTCCTCGGCTTCGAAATCGAAATCGTCTTTCTATCCCGCCATCCCACAGACTACCAACCTGAAACCCTCACCCACGCCGCCGCTCACGTCTGGAGTTCCGCGCGCGCACTTGACGTACCGAGGATGATACACATGCTATCTGAAATCAACGAAATCTTAAGTGAAGCCGGCATCGATCTCGAGCAATGGCACCCCGAAGGCGCAACCGGACAATACGAATTCGTCCTTCCACCCCTCACACCCCTCGAAGCCGTCGACACACTTCTACACGCCCGCGAAATCATCGTCGCAGTCGCCGCCTCCCACGGACTAAGGGCAACATTACACCCCAAGCCATTCGCCAGCAAATGCGGCACCGCAGCGCACATCCACCTCTCCATCACCTCCTCGATCGGCGAAGACAAAACCGTATATGAAGCTTTCTACCAAGGAATCCTGCAGAATCTGAATCAAATCACCGCGTTCACGTATAGCCACGCCGTGAGCTACGACCGTGTGAAAGACGGGTTCTGGGCCGGGGGACGGTGGATTTGCTGGGGGACGCAGAACCGCGAGACGCCGCTTAGGAAGATTGGGGGCTCGCATTGGGAGATTAAATGTGTGGATGGGTTGGCGAATATGTATTTGGCTGTTGCGGCTATATTGGCGGCCGGGACGGAGGGGGTGATAGGGGGGAAGGGGTTGCAGTTTGGGGATTGCGATGTTGATCCTGCGGAGCTGGATGAGGAGGGGAGGAAGGGGTTTGGGATTACGGAGATGATTCATGGGAGTTTGGAGGGGGCGTTGAGGGGGTTGGGGGAGGGTGGTAGTAGTGTGAGGGAGGGTGTGAGGAAGTGGCTTGGGGATGAGGTCGTGGATAGGTATGTTGCTGTTAAGACTGCTGAGCTGGAGATGATGGGGAGTATGAGGGGGGTGTTGGAGAAGTGGAGGTGGATTGTTGAGAGATATTAGATGTGTATTGCCTTTGAAAACGGTAGAACTATTACCATTTCAGAATATCCTCCTCCTTAGCGGCTACCTCGTCGATGTACTCGGCGGTAAATCACCCTCCTTAGTCCCCCAAGCACTCTCATTCCTCCCAAGCGTCAACTCAAGCACCCCACCCTCCAACCAGAAATCATGCGTAATCCAATTCCTCTCATAAGCCACCCCATCCAACGTCGCACTCTGAATATAAATCGCCTCGTACCCAGCATCAAACCCCACATTCCTAATCGTCGCAGTCTTCCCCGTCTGCGGACTCGTCACACTCACACTCGGAAAATACGGCGGCGTGATGAGATACACATTCTGCCCGGGCACCGGCCAGAGACCCATCATAGCCAGCGTCGTAAACGAGCCCATGGCGCCTGAATCATCGTTTCCCGCGATACCGTTAAGCGACGTGTTGAATTGGGAGGGGATGTAGAAGTGCGAGAATTTCGCTGATAGGGCCGGGCGGCCCGCGTAGTGGAATTGGAAGACGGGGAGGAAGGCTTGTTCGTCGCCGATGTAGAGGAGGCCCGAGGTGTGGAGGTACGAGAGGCGGTTTGTGAATGCTTCGGGGCCGCCGAGGGTAGTGATCAGCGTGGCCATGTCTTGAGGCACGTAGAAGGTGTACATCCAGGAGGAGCCTTCGTAGGTTTCGTGGCCCGAGGGGTTGAGGTAGCAGGATGTGAAGTTGTAGAGGGGGGAGCAGAGGGTGGGGTCTTGGTAGCCGAATGTGCCGTTGAGGTATCGTGGTTGTAGGAAGCCCGTGTAGCCGCTGTCGATTGTTTCGCCGATGTGGCCGGTTGTGTTGGTTACTAGAGAGGTTTGCGTTGGGTTGTACATGTTCTTCCAGTTTGAGGATCGTTGGAGGTATTTTTCTTCGTCGGCTATATGGCCTAGACCTTTTGCCATTTCTGCAATGCAGAAGTCATTATAGGCATACTCGACTGTTCGTGAGATAGATCGAGTAAATGGGCCAGAACCTAGGGTATCGAAATCGTCTGTTGGAATGTATCCTAGCGTTTTCCATGATTCTAGTCCGCCGCGACCTTCAACTGCCCAATTTAATGGCTCATCTAGGTCATGTTAGAAAGCTGGTTGATAGAATACGTGCTGGTTTTACCTTCAGCGTCTGATACTACGGCTTCATATCCGACTGCCCAATCAATACCCGCTGTAATGTTCTTCAGATATGAGTCTGCCAGAACAACATCGGCATTCGAGCCTCCTTGAGTAAACCCTTTACATAGTGACATACGACAATCTGGCAGTTTTCCTGACTTACATCAGCTTTAGAACTTTCACAAATGAAGGCATTTACTTTACCTTCATGACGATAAACATCTATCAAACTCCTGATCATTAGACTTTGACTCTCCGGATCAATTAACGTGATGAGTGGGTGTATGCTCCTAAAAGAGTCCCATATGCAGTAGTACGAATCATAGTACGGTTCAGTGGAGTTCCATAGAGGGTTCTCGTTGGTATAGTCCTACCAATATCAGTTAAATCCTTTATACTAAATCCCAGTACTTGCCTGTGGAGAAATCATAGACCTATACATTCCAGACCAGAAGACAGTCTGTAGATCCTTATCGACACCCGTACTGTCTACTTTTACGACTGAAAGCTTCTTTCGCCATGCGTCTTCTGCAGAACTAAGGACATTTGCGAATCCAAAATCTGGTATTTCGGTTTCGGCGTTATGACATGCTTGAGCTACGCTCATGAACGAAACCCCAACACGAATTATTATTTGGTTATTTGCAGGTGCATGAAATTGAGTCCAAGCTCCCGCTGGTAGCGGAGGATCATTGACTCCATCAGGTCGAGTTGAAATGGATTTGACACTGTTACCGGCGCGATTGTTTTGGAAAACTCCTGTATCTCTGATGGAAGCACCGTTAAAGTCGGCACAGAAATGCAGATCGTAAGTTCCTATTCCAAAAGAAGGGCTGAAAGTACCACTGCCGGATATACGACCAGTAGAGGAATCTACGCTAGCCGTAGCATTTGTACGAGAATCTGGCAAGTCCGTCAAGTCTACCAGAATCAGGGGACTATATGGTAAACCTGTTCCATTCTTGATTCCAGCTGTGGATGAATTCGTTGGAAAGCTGATACGATACAGAGCCGTATGGTTTGTGACTGTCGCCTCCGTATGGATAGAAGTGTTCAAACTGACTGCGAAATAGCCAGGATGTGCTTTAGCTGTGCCATTGATGCGTCGAGAAGCCCGGTCCGTTTTTGTCCAGAAACAATTGTTGATATTGTCACCGCGACAACCAGTTTGTGGGAATATTGGAAAATTCCCTAGAGAGGGTGACTAATTCTTAATCAGTTATTGTTTGTCAGTTGAATTTGAGGTGTCACGTACTCCACCAGTCCCCGAGTCGTGCATGTGAGAAAACCCAGTAATGTCACTATTATCTGAAGCAAACCCGCCTTGTTTCTCGTCGGGATTGTTCACGTCTGCTGACGCTTTCGCCATGCCTAACCAGTATCAGCGATTACTTGAATTTAGGCATTTATTGCTTACCAAACGGTAGAGTTGCTCCTGGAAACACATGTCCTACAAAACACCTCAGTACCCGGCAGATCGGACAATCAAAATTCGGATTTTGCATTTACCTCCAGCTATAGTGCCAATGAAAGGATCGATGAAGTCGAAAACATCAAAATTCTTCGCTTCTTGTTCTCCAGCGACTGAGGTTACGGATGTTGCTAGCACCGACCCCGCCAGAAGTAGACAGAGCTCGATCATCTTGTGGCTGTTTTGATACATCGAAGCCTCAAGAAAGATGTCTTAGAATTGACAAGACAAAGTGCCAGATACCAATCCTCCCAGAAAAAGGAGGCGGTTGTTCTGTTTTGTAGGCCCCGCCATTCTTACGAGTGACGATCTCTCAAGTACTCATCCTGATTTCCTTTCATATTTTACCACGTTACATAGACAACCCCTCACTTATTAACGTTTCTTAGCTTATTCGCGAACCCATCTGACAGTTTTGTGTCCCAAAAGTTGCCCGAAAGAGATGGGGATATGTCCGTCAAGGAGGGATGCGGGGTTGGAAGTGGGGTTTACCCTTTGGCGATGAAATGGGACCGGCAGCTAAAAATTGAAGGATATCAATTGACCCGAAAAGCAAACGGGTACCCGAATTGAAATTTGCTGAAATCTTCATCTTCTTGTACCTTTTATCATCATCACATCGATTGTTGTAGATTTGGCCGAGATGTGGCTTGCCAAGTTGCGATTCAGGAACAAGCGAAGAGTTGCCCCTTACTACAGAGGTGGTGACGATGTGACGCTCTCCATCATTACTAAACCGGCACATCTCCAATCGTTGTATAGCTCAGAAATCAGCTGATACGATTGCTCTTTTGATATGTTTGCACACCTTTCAACAAAAGTTCGAGGTATAGGTTTTCTATACTTGAGACATCTTTCGCTAGGACGTCCGAAAAATCTCCTGTCGACATATATTCCCGCTTGGTCATATGATCTTCAATCACCACCCTCAAAGTGTTTGATAGGTCTACTCAACTTCCATCTTTTCAAAAAGATCAATTGTAATAACTTCATGGCTAGACAAAATGATGCGATTAGTCTCGTTTGCTTTACATCATGTGATGCCGAACGAGAATTGCACTCTCGATTGGCTGATGGCCAACGGCCTTTGGATGACGCGCATATGCTAGTATCGGACGTCCTAACCATCATTTAGTACATAGGAGGTATAGCGTTCGCAGCCTTGAAAATGGATGTAACTCCTCCTCTCGGTTTTGCAAATTCCAATTTTGATTTTGTCAAAAAGTAAAAATGTCTTCCTCGTTTTACCATCAAGAGACGCCTGCAGAAATTAAAGATGCGAAGGCAGGTTTTTCGACAATGAATTATGGTCACATACTAACAATGAGTAAAGGGTCTTCATTTGATCACTCTTGGCAGTCCCAATGGCAAGAAAGTTCAAATCATGTGCGAGGAGTTAAGAGAGCACTATGATTTCGATTGTAAGTCATTTGCAATGGAGACATGATAAAGCTAAATTATTTTCAGTTACTTGGACATTGTTGGATACTAGAACAAACGACCAAAAGAAAGACTGGTTCCTTCGCTTGAACCCTAATGGTGAGGCTTCTATTCCTGATTACCAAGTAACTCAACTCACACAAAAAAGGCAAGGTCCCTGTCATCGTCGACAATACCAAATCGCCACCTTTCCCAGTCTTTGAGACTGCCGCTGAACTTCTTTACCTTCTTAAAGAGCACGATAAAGATGATGTCTTTGGATTCAAGGATGAATACGAGAGATCTGAGTGCTTGCAATGGCTGTTCTTTTGGCATGGTGGAGTAAGCGAGCCATTTAATAGCAGACTCTCAGAAAAAGGCGGAATTGCTGACATTATTGTAGGGAGGCCCAATTCAAGGTCAAATGACTTTCTTCGGCACGAAATTAAAGCAAAAGGAAGAATGTGAGATATCTTTTCGTAAATAATGACAATATGCTTACAAACCCAACAAGTTGCTACCCAAAGATTCAAGACCGAAGTTCTACGGACATACAACGTCATTGAAATCCAGCTTTCAGGGAAGTACACAGGTCAGGAGAAGAAATACCTTGCTGGTAAAGGAGAGGGCAAATACTCGGTTGCTGATATCGGTGCATGGCGTACGTTCCTCCTCCCCCCTTATTCTTAATTACCAGATCTAACACGTTGCAGCATGGGTTAGCGGATGGGGACACAGCGGCCTCATCTCAAAGGAAGAAATGGACGCTTATCCACATTTGTTGCAATGGATTGATCGCATTCGAGAAGTATGTTTACCCCCAGAAGAAACGAAGAATGGCCAATTAATTTTATCCCTAGCGTCCTGCCGTCCAGAAAGGATCCGATAAGAAGTACATGTTCCAGGGACCAATTTCATAGACGTTGTTTCACGCACGTGAGATACCTAAGATGGAACTAGGGGACACAGTCATATTTGTCGATTTTTCAAGCAAACTGCCGTTCAATGGCATGCTAAGAGAATGGAAAATGATCCCATCTAGTTATAAAATTCTTATTCATACTCTTCACCTGCAAGTTCTTTTGTCGTACGACAACCGATCAGAACGGAGTTCCTACACGTGGTGGGCTCGCTTAATCTTTGCTGCTAGCAACGACCACCCTTTCCTTTGCTCTTGCATTTTCAATCTTGAACATCACCAAGTACCTATTTGAGTTTGAATTACTAATCGCAAGAATACACCGGTCTAACTACTGGTCGTTCCAAAGTTGCCCCTTTCCTTCCTAAATTTTCTCATCCGCAAATTGCTTCCTGGTCTCTTGACCGTAAGCAGCCAACTCCTTCGATTCAGGTGAGATGATTGTTGCCGATTCTTTTGTTGCTGCCGATTTCTGTTTTACGATTTACAAGTGGTTGAGATTCACCTCGAGGTCTGACTAGTCGCTCTTGCATGTATTCAGGCACTTAATTCTCAAAGCTAATGATGCTGCAGCCACTTGATCGAAAACAGTCTTGACTCCAAAGACAGAACTTATGTTCGTAATTTGATGAACAACACATGCAAATGAGATTTTGCACATACGAGTCTATACAAAGATCGAAACTTCTAGTTTCTTCTTATGAAGTGGGGTCCACATCGGTAGGTGGCTCTAAATTTCCTATCTTCTCACCCTCAGCTCTGGCTTCTCCCTCTTCACAACTCCCAACACATTCCGTCCGCCAACCACATATTTACCAAGACCGAGCCATCACTCTGTACCTCCGCAATACTTTCAATAGACCATAGCAGACCTTGCTGCATATTTAAGCTTGCTTCCAAAAAAAGTACTAGTGGGCCGACAGTCAACGCTGGATACGCAGACAGATCGACCACCGCTTCAGCATCAAACATTATCACCACCTTCACCTGCAACGACCAATCCCTCCATCTACCCGATATCGATGTTTCAACCCGCCAAAATAAACCAGGACTCCTCTATGATTCACACAGTGGTGGCCACCGGTGTATAAAACACACATTTGATAAGATTACTCGAAGGAGTTTGCAGCACCATCACCAAAGTTGACGGTGTCGAACACAAACACCACGTTGCTTACACAGCCGTATCCTTTCTCCCACTTTATATCCTACTCGCCAAAATACATACGTACACTGCCAGTGCTGCATCAGTCAACTGCTAAGAATATCTTTTAAAATATTTAGAGAAGTCGTTTCTCAAAAGTGACAACAGCCAAGTCAACCACAAAAGCTTTAACAGGCAAGATCAACGAGTTCATTATCAACAGCAGCTATCCTTCGAACTCCAAACATACAACGGCTCTCACATAATTCTTACACTGCACATCGAGCTTATTTACACAACCGCTGACGACACTTCACAGCTTAAGAAAGACTGAATACTGAATCACCAGTAAAATCGAAATGTCAGGCGGAATTAAATCCACAGATTTTGATTTTGAGCAATGGCTCACGAAGGGCGACAGTGGATGGAAGAAAGTAAGTAAAAGCGATCTATCGCAGCTTCGAACTGTTTCTTATTCTCGACAGAAATACCAAAAATTCGATCAAGAAAAGTCGAAACCAAACAAAGTTAAATTACAACAAACCAGAAGCTGCGCTTCATCAGTTGGCGCTTCATCAGGTCGACATTCGACCCAAAGTTCTCCTACAACATCCTTCTCATCCTCCTTTCTCGACAGATCCTCGACTCTCCCAACTACTAATCTGTCGATCCCAACCACTTCAAGCGACGAAAACGAAGAAGACGGCCCGCCGGCTTGGGAAATAAACTACTCCATATCCGCGCGCCCCCAATTCGACCCAACATTCAGAACGGAGTACTTCGAAGTTAGGTCATCCCAGAACAAGGGGTTGGGTGCTTTCGCCATGAAGAACATTTCAAAAGGCACCTGTATTATGGAAGAGCCCCCATTATTCAGAGGGAATTTTGATAAAGTTTATCATGAATATCATAAGCTTACAGAGGAGGAAGCGGACGAATATTTGAGTCTGCACGCATGGACTGGGTCGTCGAGGAGGGATACACAGAAAATAAGTTGCATTTTTGCTACCAACCGGTACGGATATTTGTTGTCAACTATCAGCTATGACTTCTAATCTTTTGTGATTTTAGTTTTCGTATGTCGGAAGACGAGGATGGGATTTTCCTTAAATGCTCTCGTTTCAATCACAGCTGCCACCCATTTGCAACCTGCACATACGAATACGACGAGGAGACCGACAGGCTAAGGATAACAGCTTTGCGGGATATAAAGGCGGGGGAGGAGATTACCATCAGTTACACCAGAGATGCGAGCTCACTTTACGATAACTACGGATTCAATTGCGATTGTCCTGCCTGCAAGGCCCAGCCAGCTACTGGATACATCTTTGAAGCAACCGAGGATAGCTCCGAAGAAAGCGAGTACAAGTTTGAGGGCAGCGAAGATGGCTCTGAAGAAAGCGAGTATAACTTTGGTGGATGTGATGAATTGCCCAAGGATACCATGTGTATGTCACAATCTGATGACTCGTAATATCGGGTGTTCGATGGATGTTCGGTGGGTGAAGCACGTCTCAAAAACATATTGGGGGTAACAGTACTAAAGGGTCTGAGGGGCAGGGGACAGGGGAGGTGATTTCATGGGGGATTCGACTTGGTATTTTATAATTGGCGTTTTATTTATTCACAACGGTTGGCGAGGGAAAAGGGACATGGGATTGTATTTATACCGAGTAAACGGGCCTTTATGGCAGCACTCAACTTCGTTTTATTTTCCAGTTTCTTTTTTTGACTAACCTGGAACTAATAAACATACGAACTTATTATGTTACATGTGAGTAAGGATAAGGATAGCTACGTTAGTTACGCGGTACCGGCGTATCTCTGGCAAGAATACAGTAGTTTCTGCTGTTCTGTGGTTCAGCAATATATGTAATGTAGATTCAAAACTGACCTTCTCTTCTGTTTAGAACGGTTGTATATCGGATATCCTATGAGCCAAGTGAAATGATTCTGAAAGAAGCATGTGCGTCATAGCAAACTTATTCAGTGTAAATTCACTCACAATTCTAGCCGAGGGCGTCAAAAGCGAGAAGTACAAACCTGTTTCGTTAATCTCAAGACGTTTTTCACCCCATTAATTATTTTTAGTGTCATTCTGTGTTACCATCGACTCATTATTGTTTTCCTATATAATTAGTATCTGGCCACACTTCGAAATCCTACCTGCCTTGTAGACGGGTTGTTCGCCAAACGCACCAAGTCGATGAAAAATACCACACAGGTGTTTGCTCGAGGTGGGAGTATAGTGTCATAACACAACTGTCATCATTTGCTGTGAATACCCAATATTTCACCTTCACCTTCGATCGATTATGGTCAATCAGAAGAAACATCCTCTAGCTAGTATTCTAAATGGCATGGTTAGTTGATCACATCTCTTGAATGCTTACTGCTCAGATTTATTGGTCGTATGAATGTTAATCACAAAATCCATCTAGCCCACAATCCGCGAACGAGTCGAAGCCCGTCGTCAAGCCTTAAATGAAAAGAGACAGCAAAACGGACGAGTACGTTATGAAGATCCCACTAGGACATTAAAGGTTCATCCGGGAGTTTCAAGTGAAGCGTCGATGCAAAAGTACTCTCAGCTTCAAATCGAGCGCGACGAGTTACGCAGAAGTCAAGATCAAGAAAACGCGCCGTTGTCTCTCTCCAACGAACCAATCCGGAAGATCAATCTCCCCAACAACTACGCACAGAACCACCCAGAGCTTCCTCGCTATCAACCGCCAGCGCTCCGAGGTCCAAGGGATAACGCATCAGGACGATATGCCCAGTTTCTCTGGACGGAGAATGAGATGGCGAGGAATAACGGGTGTGTGGATTTACGGAGACTGTTGACGGATCGACAGCAAGTGTTCCGGAATGCGAGGGCGGTTGCGGAGGCGGAGAGGTTGAAGAGGGGGGTGCTGGTGGCGGTTGGGAATTGGATTGCGGGGTGTAGGGGGGAGGGGTGTGAGGGGTTTGTGGGGAGGGGATGAGGATGGGGTTGGACATAGTGGTGCAGTATAACGAGAAAGTTGTAGTCACTTAAGAGGCCAATTGGTTTGTTGATGAAAGAGATGTTTTGGGTAGGTTGTTGGAGGAATTGATTTTGAATTGAAGAGGGCTTTTTAGCTTGGGTGTAATAATGGAGAGGTTCAGTTTAGTGGAGACGAGCGTTGTTTGAATAAATACTAATAATTGATTTTGAATGCCAAAGTACAAGTTAATCCCAGACTCCAGCACAGATGGAGTGATTGCTAATCTACGTGAACCTGACACACTTCATTGACCCTACCCATTCATGATTATTGTCTTTGTTCTTTGTGGTGGACTATATAAACCCCAACCATACCATCTTCTCTTATTTCACTTCATCGGGTTTCTTGCGTGTGAGGTTGCCAGATTGTGAGCATCCTCATATCAGCAGCTGGATATACATCCAAATCATCCTCCAGTGACAATCCAACTTCCGAGATGACAGCTGCACACCATTTCGAGTTGGCCTCACAGCCATTCACAACAACACCATCAAAACCACGAACCTGTCCCAGATGCCCTCATCGACTTTCGGATTTAGCTTCGCATGTCGTTGAGGAGGATACAAGTTTAAGCGAGTCGAGTGCTGCCGAAAACCACTTTTCAACGGCATCAAGCCAGTCAACTGCTATACCCACCATCAGCCATAACATGAAGGGGAGGTCAGAAAAGGATGGGTTGCTTTCACACATAGCAGAAGGTTGACAACGCTTTGTTGAGGGTAGACTATTACACAAATAGAGAGATCTAAACGTCCATGAGGTTCCAGGATAAGGCGGAAAGTTAGCGTTGAACTCAACCCAAGTATCAGTTATGCATAGCTGGATCAATACACAATATCGTGTAATGTCCAAAGATACGAATCTGAAAGTCAAAACTGTCAGTAACACGTTAGTGAGTTCACTCGACCTGTCAACAGTCGGATGAGGTTATATTCATGAGACTCTTGTAAAGACCGAGCAGTTATCTTATAACGAAACCCAGAATTGATACCGAGCACGCGCTGAGAACACGATCAATTCTGCTAAGCTCTTAAAAGCTACAACCCCGCTCATACACAACTTAGATAGCTACCTCAATGCTAATGGGCGTCCACGCCACAAAAATTCAACGCTCCATTTTACTTGATCTTACAAATATATATTGAGAACAAGTTTCTTCCTATGAGACTGTAGTCTCCTTCTCGACAGCAAGTTTCGCGAACTCGGCATTAAGTCTCTCGACTTCCTGGCGAGCCTTAGCGTCTTCGGGGTCTTCTGCGATTTCCGCATCATGCTTCATATCGGAAGAAGAACTCGGTGTTTCGACATCTTTGGTGGAATCTTCCTCCTCCTCTTCCTCCTCTTCGTCCCCTTCCTCCTCTTCCTCTTCCTCCTCCTCCTCATCATCGTCAACGACACCGGCCCTCGCTTCATCCGCAGAAGGTTCACGGTCTTGAGGCTCAGAAACATTAACATCGGCTTTGCCTGCGTTATCGTCCACTGCTTCTGCCTTTTCCACTTTAGGAGCTTCGCCTTTGACACCAACAGGCTCTATGCTAGGCTTTTTAGCAGACTCCGAGGTTACTTCCTGGCTGACTTCTGATTTTTCCACGACAGGCTCTTCCTGGATGGTCTCAGGAATCGTCGGTTCCTCCTTTGCTAACTCTTCGACCGCGGCTGCTTGCTCGTCGACGGCTTGAGCTTTATCTGTTGAAGGCTCTGGCTGAGCATCAGCTTCTGCGGCTTCTTCGGATATCGCAGGTTGCTCCACGGAACTCGTGTCTTGAGGTTTTCCCTCAACCGGTTTCTTTTCCTTTGGCAAAGGTTTGGCTGGCTCTGCCGCCGATGATGCTTTCTTCAAAGTTTTGGGGTCCCGCTTCGGAGTCGTCTTAGTTGCAGCAGAAGCAATCGTTGATGTGGGCGTCTTCAAAGCTTTCTCCATCGGCTTTGTTGACTTTGTCAAGACTTTAGCAGGAACATGGTCTCTAATCTTTCTGGCCGGACTGCCCTTGGAAGAGTCATTTGGTTTGCTTAGCCCATCTCTCGTAATAGGCCGTTTAACTGATGGAGCTCTCTTCGGTGGAGAGGTCGTGGCTGGCTTTTCAGCGGTCTTCGAAGCCGAAGCAGTTGTTGGGCGCATCATCCGAGCGAGAAAAGAATCGTCAGCCGGTGCGGGTTGGTGAGGAAGACTTGTTCGAGAAGGCTGCTTCTTTATGGCAGCTGGTGGTGGACCAAGCGAAGGCCGGTTGCTGCTTTGCTTCAGAGTTGACGGTTTGCGGCCCAATGTGGACTTCGTTGTCGCAACACTGGCGCGGCTGGGAGATCGCGAAGCGGCATGATGGGCAGCTAATGAATTTGTGTGCTGAGTATTGCCAGATGCACGACTAAGTGATTGTCGAGCTGCTGCCGGCGGAGACACAGTGGTCTTCGACACAGAAGAAGCAGTAGGGGCTGTCAATGATGCCGGAAGCTTGACTGGCCGAGTTGGAGATTTTGGGCGAGGTTTCTTGAATCCCGTCTGGGGTGGTGACTCTTGTATCCGTGTCTTCGGTGCTGAGCCCTGAACCGAAGCTTTTAAAGGTTTGGATGTAGGCTTGGAGGTATGGTTGGGTGCTACGGAAGCTTTGGATGTTTTTGGTGCTGGGGCCTTAGTAGGCGGTTCCTTTTTTGTGGCCCTACTAGGTGTGGTCGGTGTCTTTGGTGGTGCTGGTGACTTCAGACTTTTATTTGGCGAAGGCTTGGATGCGGCAGAAGGCTTCGCAGTGGATATAGAAGCCGGCTTGGAAGTCACCTTCCTCATAGCTGGTTTCTCGTTGGGCTTGGTGGCAGTAGACGTGGTACCATTTGCGGAGGCAGGCTTTTCGTCGGTTTTGCTGGCCACAGGATTCACGGCCTCCCCTTTCTTCGGAGATCCATTGGCCGCCTGCATCTTCGTGTCCAGAGGTTGTTTCTCAATTGGAGACTCTGCGATTGTCTCCTCAGCAAGGGAGCTCCGCTGTCGATTCCCAATGTCTGGCCGCGTTGCCTGCCTCGGTTCTGACATATCTCGTGTGCTTTCGCCCTCGATACTGAAGCTACTTCTTCTTCGTGATATGCTAGGTTCTCCGCTGGTGTCTCTTCGCAGTCCCATCTGATTCCCTAATTGTCCGCTTCGTTCTACTGCTACGAAGCTGGTTCGCACTTTAGAAAGGGGTCGAGGTGAAGTTCCTGTGCTAGCACCGCCTAAAGAAATTAGTTGCCGTCAAGCGCAGCTAATCTGGGGAAGGAGCTTACCCATGGAACTTCCGCCAGGAGAACGTCCTCTATCCTCAGGTCGTTCCTCGGAATTTTTGTTCTCGAACATCGCTCGCAGGTTGTGCACGCCTCCAGACATGTTGTTGGAATGTGAACTATGGTGGTAATTATGCGGCTGTCCGATGCCTTTCCTGTCAGGGAAATAAGTTTTGTAGCTGTGCCCACACCGCTTTTAATTTGTGCTCGATAGCCCCTCGCAGATACAGATAAGTATTTATACAAGTGTGAATGGAAGGTTTCGCGGAAATTTGGTGATACTGGATGTTGAGTCCCAGACTAAGTGTATTTTGATGGTCGATGAGCTTGCAAGCTGTCTACAGAGAATATGACATGCGACGGGTATGATAAATAACGCGTAATTATTTAGTAGACGATGGCTCTTGTAGATCCAGAGGAATATGTGAATGACAAGAATGCGAAGCGATGTAACTAAGAAACATGGAATGGACTGGCAGATAGACGCTCTACGTCTTGAGCGCAATGGAGCTCTCCTGACAACTATTCACATCAGAATATGCAGGGGAGCGCGGTGGATTCAATTCCCTCGAATTGATCTGGTGGGGGAGAGAAGGGAGAACCCGTGGCCGTGGACGTTGCTGCTGGGATTCGCTGGGGAGAAAGATAGGGGCTGCAGTTTTGCAGGGGATTTCTGTATCATAACCGAGACGCAAGGGGTTGTCGATGCTCAAAAGTTTTTGTGACCGACATCGCAGCGCGCGACAACACCACGCAAAATGGCAGCCAGAACACTTCGTATAGGTATGAAGCATCTGCTAATGTTACAATTGTACTTTCCTGATGCTCGATAGGGTTGATTCCAGGTGACGGTATTGGAAAAGAGGTTATTCCAGCTGGTCGCAAGATTCTAGAAGCTTTGCCCGCATCTTTGAAGCTCAAATTCGAATTTGTCGATCTCAAAGCTGGTTTTGAAGCCTTTGAGCAGACTGGTGCAGCCTTGCCAGAAAAGACGGTCGAGATCCTCAAAAACGAATGCGATGGCGCTCTATTTGGGGCTGTCAGCTCGCCCTCGAAAGCTGTAAAAGGCTACTCCTCACCAATCGTTGCATTGCGCAAGCGCCTTGACTTGTACGCCAATGTGCGCCCAGTCAAGAGCGTTATGACTGCAAAGAATCCGATTGATATGGTCATTGTGCGGGAGAATACTGAGGATGTATATGTGAAGGAGGAAAAGACTTATGATACCCCAGAAGGAAAGGTGGCCGAGGCCATTAAGAGAATTTCAGAAAAGGCATCTTTCCGAATCGCCACAATGGCAGGAGAAATCGCTTTAAGAAGGCAGAAGATTCGGGACAGCGGGGTTCCAAGCATTCATAAGTCACCCATGGTGACAATTACCCACAAGTCCAATGTTCTCAGTCAAACGGATGGATTGTTTAGATCAACTGCCAGAGAGGCTTTGGCTGCGCATAAGTTTGCTTCATCTGTAGGTGTGGAGGAGCAGATTGTTGATTCCATGGTCTACAAACTCTTTCGTCAACCGGAAACTTACGATGTCATCGTTGCGCCAAACTTCTATGGAGATATCCTTTCCGATGGAGCTGCCGCGCTCGTCGGCTCACTGGGGCTTGTCCCAAGCGCAAACGTAGGAGAGGGATTCGCTATTGGGGAGCCATGTCACGGTAGTGCACCAGATATCATGGGTCAAGATATCGCAAACCCTATTGCTACATTGAGAAGTGTTGCACTCATGCTGGAATTCCTGGACGAGGAAGTTGCGGCTGCAAAGATCTATTCTGCCGTTGATGCTAATCTGGAAGAAGGTAGACTTCTAAGCCCAGATCTTGGAGGTACCGCATCTACAACCCAGGTCGTTGAGGATATCCTGAGGCGTCTGTAAACATGTCAAAGATATGATACAAAAATACGATAGAAATTGTACAAAATAAACAACCGAATGTTTAGTGATATACAAACAGCTATCATTCAGCTGCCGTACTCGCAATTCAAGATCTTTGCTCTAAGTGGGTGGTTCAGGCAGGCTTATGTCCAGCCGAATGAACGCCTTCAATGCCTATAATGTATAATACACATCTTCTTACAAGTCCTACAATACTCTGCACAATAACATTCCTCCAACTCTTCTCTCCACACATTCCCTCGCTTCCAGAATTCCCTTGTCGGTGGTGACAAACATGCTCTCTCCTGGTTTTGTCAATCCTTTCACAAAGCCTGCTTCTTTCCCTCTCACGATTCTCGCCAGCCCGTCAGCGTCCATCCAAATCCTCTTTGTAGGTTTGCTGATCATGCTCATTTCGCTCAGCACCGCTTCATTGTTGTAGTATTTGAGACCAAGCCATAACCTCCTCGTGCTAACGTTTTCTTGTGTAACTGGCTCTGGAACGTAGGAAGATAACGTATCGAGTCGTGGTGGTGTGAGGCCGCCGCGTGTTACTGAGGAGAGGAACCCTGATGTTTGAAGGGCAAGTGAGAGCGTGAGGAGCATATTTGTTGACGGGATGGAGGTCAAGCCAAGCCGGGCTTTCGAGGCATTTTGCAGATGCGAACACACGTTCGCAAGGTGTACGAGAGACATGATGAGCTTCGTAGTAATAATACAGTCGCTCGTGGTTCGAAAGATTAGCCCGCGCGGGCGCAAGTGATGTTAAAGTCCAAGTCCAGATGCGAGCTGCAGCGAGTTTGTGGCTCTCCAGCTGGGATTAGAAGATGTCGCAGAGGCGTTAATGAGTTTAGTGAGGTAGGAATTGAACAAGCGTAAGGCGCGAGAAGTATACAGGTCGGGCGGTTGAGCTCCAATGGATCGATTTCATTTCTCATGTAGAGCCGACCAACATGGAGTTCGGGTAGAAAAAAGTATTAGCCAAGGGCGGAATATTTGCAGCGCGGGGCGGGGCGGGGCGGAGTCGAGATTTCTGACTTTGCCGCCCTGCTATTTTTGATCGCTCATTGGAGCAATTAACCGCTCACCTCTCTCTCTCCCATCATTGGACTGCCCCTCCAGAACCAAAGGTATGTAATATTTCTTTGCGCGTTTCCAGCTTGCTTCATCTCCCCTGATTGTGAGTTGTGGTGTTTCTTTCCAAGCTATCGCCATCATCTCTTAAGTTTATCTGTACACTGAACGATCATTATGGCGGCTCGACCTGGGGAAGAGCTTGTCGCAACCTTGTGAGCCCGACCAAGCTACCCCACGCCAAACTATAGGCTACCAACTAACATAACATAGATTCGCCGACATTCATTACTTCTATGGACCTCCATCCGCTAAGCCTCCCCATCACAGATTCGATAAGAGTTCGTTCATATACCTGTTTGAAAACGCTCAGTACCGACGTGCGCGAGTTGAAGTCGCAAATAATGCTGGAACTCCAGAGCAGGATGCCTTTAACGGCTGTAAGTAATTGCCTAGCTCCGATAGTTGGACCATTCTAATCGCTCGTACAACAGATCTGGACAGCGCTCATATCCAATATTCCTACAAGCATTCCACCCTAATCACCTTGACAATCGAAGGAGTAAATCGTGGATCTTTTGGTAGCCCACCCCCTGATGGCCAAGAATGGCATCTTCCAACATTTGACCTTCGAAACGAGAACAAATATATGTACAAGCTACACACAATTGACATCTACTTTTGGGTGAAAGAGGATGCTTTGCAGTTTTTGAATGGCGTGCGGCGGGTTTTACCTGCACAGCAAATAACCGTTCAAGACGAGCCAGTCGCTCCTCCACCTCACCAGCACGATATGAGCGCAGTGGTTCAAAAACTGGAAAATGTTGCCATCACGGACCCATCTTATCAGCAGGGGCAAACAAGGAACTCCCAAACCACGTCAATTCCTGCTCCTCTGTCAAGAAGTAGTACAAGCACTTTTCCAGGGCCTCCTGCTCAGCAGCTATCTAGAAGTAGTACTGCGACATTCCCTGGCCCACCAATTTCTGCAACCCCGCAAAGTGTGGAAGCCTCGAATTTCAAACCAATGGCTTACAATCCTGCAGCACCCGCTGCTCCAGAGGTAATACAGCATCGGGAGAAGACACCACCACCTGAAGATGGAGCTGGCAATCCACTTGTTGCAGCCGCCACCTCAGATCAAGGTCAAACTTTTAATAACCCATATCAGCAGCATGTGGGCTTTTCAGGGCCTTCGGCATCACAGCAAGCTCATTACTTCGCTGGGCCACCAGCAGCAAGCGCACCACCGCAGTTCAGTCAACCGCTTCCGTCTGCGGGGTTACAATCCCCTTATGCACAACACTTTCAGCACTCATTTGCTGCTCCTCCCACAGCACCTATTGCATCAAGTCCCTATTCTCAACCCCCATCTGCAGTGCCATCTGCCGTTTCCGCACCTGGCCCCCCACCTTATCAGCAGCAATCTTCCTCAAATTCTCAGCACGTTCCTGTAACACAACAATTTGCGCAGTACTCCGGCTCCCCTGGCCTGGCTTCTCCTGGTCTCACTTCACCAAGCATCTATTCGCCGATGGGCGCTTCGTTTGCCAATCCTCAGGCCCCTTTAGGAGTGCCCCCGCCAACATCTGCTCCACCTGGTGGATTTTCTACCTACAATTATCAGCATGTCGGCAATCAGCAGCCGCAAGCAAGCGATTATTCAATCCATCAGCAGGTTTATAGACCTACAGAGAGCGAGGCAACTGGAAAATCTGCCAAAGCTCCAAAACCCCCGCGCGGCAAGCTCGAAGAGAGGGCTGGCCGCTTGGAAAAGGTGGGGGGAAGCTTGTTCAAGAAATTGGAAAAGAAAATTGGATAACCACAAGGAAAATCCACTCAACCCCGCTTCTAGTTGCTCATTACGTCAAACAACTGGTCTTGAGGTATGGGATTAGTCAGTTGGAAACGGGAAGGTAACGTGAGTATCCTCGGCCACCTCTTGCCCACATACCCGCTTAAAGCAAGCATGTTATGTTCTTCCCAGCCCATGTAATACACATCCAAATCAAACTCATATCTTTCCGGCAGAAAACCTTTATACAACTTATTTTTCACAGAACTATTGCATTAACATCAATGTCAACGTCTTGCCATCCGCCTTTTTGCCAACTCTCCACTTCCATCAAATCTACCAATGCTGATGCTACTTACAGTTTTCAATTTTCATGTTGTGCCAGCCAAAGTTGTGCTTTCTATAGCATCGTGACGATACGTTTGTTAGAATGGCATACGAACTATGCTGCTCACAGAATCAATTCTCTGTTTCAGAGACCAAGCTGACGGTAAATAATTCTGGCCATCTTTCGAGTCGGACTTCTTAGTTTGTCCCAGAAAGCGCTCAGCAACCGATCTAGAAGAAGAGTTTTTCATACATTTTACCCCATGCGCAATCTCATATATTGATGCAGCATTATACGCAACTATCGTCAACACATCCATGGCTATCTATACTGGTAGCTCAAGTCCAGCGAACGTGTAACAATGACTGGTCCCCTGAACATTGAGCAGATGAAACGGGAATGGCACTCTTCTGCCGGACGACAAGTTTGCTGAGTGGCCCATATCTCCTCAGCGCTTGTCGACCCCGCTCATTTCGCATGATCGAATATATTTACTATAGTCGAGGGTCACTTTACCGCCGAAACCCATTTTGCACTCTTGCCTGCGCTGGGGGCTTGCATATTTATTTAGCACGTTAGAATCCCATGAGAGCATCCTCTCATCAAACTTCTCCGGCCCAAACTCGCTATTCTCAGTCAGAGACTTGTTTCAAACTCCTAATCAGATTGTGGCTGGGTGCTTGATCAAGACTTTTGAAAACTTACTAAAATGTGAATGTGCGAGGAAAATGCCTCCAGAGAGTTGCTACGTGCAATAGCTGCAGAGGCTGAGCGAAGGCATGGATCTTTGCCCCGGAACTAGGGGGCGTTTGTCTCTGCTGAGATGAAGATTTATGAAGCCTTCTCTCTCTAAAGATGCTTCTTTAACCGCATGTGAGACGGCATGAGATCCATCAATCGCAGTCTTTTTGTCATATAGGGATCTCAGCCTACGTTACCAGAAGCGGTCGAGCTTAAGGCATTGAAATCAACTGCCATTGAGACGCAGCGTCCCTGGCCTGGGAAACCTTTCTTGATTTTCTGTGGAACCAACCCCACGTCTCACGGCCAAAGTGAGAGCTACGATGCATCTGTTGGGGGTGTTCGTGGAACGGTATCTAAACCCTGTGCTTCTCCACGGTGCACATTCGTATCGCTTGGTAAGGACGCTATTACAGCTTTCTGCATGAAAGCAAAACGTGTAAGGGATAACCTCCAACATTGCAGGATTATATTGCACTTCTCAAAGTCTCAGTGCTTTTAATGCCGGACTCATACTCCGAGTCGTGTCGGAAGCCATAATTCTTATCCGCACCTGCTTGAGTTGCTATTTGCACAACCATTGTTGCTTTTGTTGTGGCGGCGCTTTTGCTGGTGTAACACAAAGCTGCATGTTCCATGGATCTTGATAATTATCCTGACATCCGTTTCGTATTTCCGTTTAGCAGATGAGTTTATACAGGCCAATGATTGCTGGTCTCATCAACTCTTCAAGGAAAGAAGTGTGATAGCATGGCTGATATTGCAACTAACTGAAGAATACCAGGACTATTCGCTTGCTGTATTGGATTTGAGGAGATTAATAGGCCGGTTTGCGACCGCTTCTTCCAAAAAGCAACTCGAGGTTTTCCAAGCGTAAGACATATTTGGTTTACTACTCGCGTTCTTTCACCAATACCAGCCAAATCATGCGGATTGTCTTATGCAGCCGCATGGGCAGTGTTCAACACGTAGAAGATTCTCAGCACTGAGGTGCGACCACGATGTACCATACATGATATGCGATATCAACGCCATCAGACTCCACGCGGCTAAGTCTCTGACTTCGGCAGTGTTCTCGAAGACCAGTAAGAGCGAAATTGAACAGTCTTGGCAAGGCTATGACTGCCGGACAAAACGAAACTTCTGGCGCCACTATGCATGAGACCAATCGCTCGGTTAGGGCGTGCTGCTGCAGATGGATGACGAGGCGACGAGCACCTGGAAGCCCGATTGCACTTTGCACTTTTCCCGAACATACCTGTCTCACCTAAGATTTTGTAGTTTACATAAAATATTGCGGAATTTCATTCTTCCACAATCACTATGTCGGTACTGAGCCTCTACAGTAGGCTGATTAATTATCAGTTCGATAATAATTGGCTAAGCACCCTCGAAAGGAGACGGTATTATAAACAAACCCAGATGGAGCTCTCGATCTATACTCGAACACTTTATTATACTACTCTAGTCGCTATCGTAGTAGATTAACTAAGTACGATGTTAATTCCTAGTTAGCTTTATACGCTACGCTTTAATAACTAAGGATCTACGGCCGCTATAGTACGCCGTAATATCGAAAGTACTATAAAATTAAGCTTAACGACTACTAATTGTCACGAGCAGCGTCGGCCCCGGCGTCGTGATACTCCTAGGACCAAAGGTCCTAGGATTAGGCGAGGTCACGGGAATTAAGTGGTTCCTAGGACCGCCGTCTAATGGCTTAATTCGGTTAATGTTAGTAATGTTTATATTGGCGGATAGGCCCCGGTTTTGGGTAGTATTACGTAACAAGTAAGAGTTCGACAAGTTCGCTAGGTTTACTATCGAACTCGTCGAACTCGTTAAACTCGTCGGAACTTAGGTAGGGTAGGAAGTCCTATATAA